TCCTCGGCGTCATCCACGTTATCGCTTCCCGCGGCGCTGACCTTGAAGACGTCCGCCAGCGCACAGTCAACTATCTTCGCGAGAAAGACATGGACATCCTTGTTCAGGTCGAGCGCGAAGGAGACGGCCGGTGTTGGTGCGGCGGAGGTGGAAACAAAACCTCCTAAAGCATTAACATTCTTTTTTTCTTCTAAAATATACATAATCTTTCTATGATGACTCTGGATCGGGCTGGATAGACCGGTCTTAAGGGTTTTTCGTTGATCTTCCCCCTGATTTACTTCACATGACGCTGTATGTATGTGTCGATGTATGTATGTATCTATGTCTCATTCAACTTTCGCCCTTCTTGTCTCTCTTCCTATGAAAGGGGGGTATTTTCTCAGCAATTTGGTGGCTGTCCATAACAGGGTCCGCCAATAGGTATATGAAATGGGGTTATACGTTCCAAGCAGTCGTCTGGAAGGGGTAGCGACGGATATGTACTGTATTATAGTCATTTATGAGTGTACAAGAATCAAGGGAGTCCGCAACCTGTTCCATTTTTTCACATATATACGGAGCAATTGAGTTACATATTGCTGTATTGTATCCCTAACCCGATGGGTAAAAGAGAAACCGGACGCACACAAGAATGGCCCATTCATTAATGAGGTTTCAATGTTACAATTCAGTCACGTCGCACATGTGCGCTCTTCACGTGAGATTGAATCATCACATTATGGGCACCCTGCTCCTCCCCCCCTCGGCCATAGCTCTCCTAGCTTTCCAGCACGGAAAGCGTGACTTGAATGGTCCACGTAGCCAGTCGCAGGTGTATCCCCACAACTTAGATGGAAAATTCAGAATTCATCGAAAGTATACTACATCCCCGCTATTGATTCAAGCATCATGAATGGCAATATATACAGCCGCCGGATAACGGTCTGTATGGACCCCGTACCCGCTTTTCCGTATATACAAGTAGGACAGAAGCACAATGGGGGATGAGATATGTGCAGCAGTCACGGGTACTGTAGCTAGCTGCCTAGCTGGGGAGCTAAGTGAGAGACAAAGCCAACTTTTTCTGGAAGGTAGTGGGGGAGATTCAAGGGGGTGTTTAGCCCGGGAATCACAGTGTAGTACTGTACATCTTGATTATGTGGAATCGAAAAATGCCGCGGTGATTCGTCGGAGCGGAAATGAGACTCGCTCCAACTCTGACTTTCACCTCGTATGTAGTGAGTGATCAAGTTTGTGGGGAGAGAATTGAGATCTGATTTCCGGCATGATTTCCTTTAGGTTTGGCGTGTGTGGACTGTACGACATCTCGTAGCTCAAGGCATGTGACATGGGAGGAAGGGAGGACCGGGCTGGTATAGGTAGCTACTACTTACTTAGGTAGCTACCAAGTCCTTTGGGGAGGTCACTCTGCGAGGTAAGGAATGTATGAGCTTGTGCCACCGACTCTCGGTTCTTTCTAAACTTTACTTGATCGACTCGGTTGCAGGAAGGGCTCACTAGATTTTATTCTTTGTGGTGGCTGGACTATGCAAAGGAGGGCTCCAGCATCGCGAAAGCTACTGTCGTCTAGACATTGCAGATACCGCATCAGTCGTTATTATTGCACATTGCTACATCACGGAGATAGGGAATCAAGTACAACGCATCAATATATACAACTAAAAGCAATCCCTGATGTCCATCGCCCCCCTTTCCACTCCCTCACTGCACGGGGCAGAGATCAAGCGCAGAGGGTATGCGACCTTATTCGAGAAACACACCGTCTTCCTCACCGGCAGCACCGGCGCGCTGGGGGCCGTACTCCTCTACAAGCTCGCGGTGCAGGTTCCCACCCACAAGATCTACGTCCTGGTCCGGGGGTCCCCGGACCTCGCGATCCAGAAATGGAAGAAGGCGATGACCGTGCAGGCGCAGCCGGTCCTCCGCTCCCGGAAGGTTCATTTTGTAGTTGGGGACATGACGAAACCGGACTTTGGGATCGATGCGGCGGTGATGGATGAGCTGCGCCAGCAGGTCACGCTGGTGATCCACGCGGCCGCCAAAATCACCCTGGACGCAGACGTTGCGGAGGCGGTGGAGAACAATTGTCTCCCGTCGTTGGAGATGGCGAAGATCGCCTCGCGGTTCCGCAGGCTGAAGCTCTTCGTGCAGGTGTCGACGGCGTACGTGAACAGTTTCTTGCCGGATGGGCACGTGGCGGAGAAGCTGTACTCTGTTGAGGTGGAAGTGGGTGGAAAGGGTGAGGAGGATGATCCGGAGGAGCTACTAGGGGCGATCCTCAGAGGCGAAGGTTCCCCGCACGCCGAGCACTTCTCCTCTTCATATACCCATGCGAAGTATTTGATGGAGCGGCTGATGCTGAAACGGTTCCCCACGCTGCCTATGTTGCTGGTGCGTCCAACCATCTTCGGTCCGGCGGTCAGAGATCCGTATCCACACTATGCGCCGGAGAATTCCATACCGTTGAAGAGATTCGCCTCGCTATTTCTGATGACTCATGGCGAGACCCAGACCTGGCACGCGGCCGAGGGCTATGACAGTGGTGCGAATACGTTGGATGAGATGCCAGTTGACCTGGTGGCGAATGCCTGTCTTCTTCACGCTGTTGCGGGAACGCGAGGGGTCATTCATGTCGGATCGCAGCTGTATGTGAAGACGACTCTAGACGGAATTATGCAGTTGGCGGATACGTACGCCCCACAAGGCATGCGACATGCTTTGCCGACGGTACTTTTTGTGAAAGATCGAACTATTCCGCAGTGCTTCCTTGCGGACCTAGTCAAGGTTGGCTCACGCAATTGGTTGTTTGATTGTGGTCGGTCATTCTGGTTGAAGCAGCTTGGTGGCCCGCTGAGTTTGGCAGCATGCCAACATGATGCAGACAGGATCAATAAGCAACGGGCCACAGACGCATGGGAGCAAGTGTTGCGGTCAGTAAAGCTTTAGTTTGGGCTGTCCGTGATGTTATGTCGTGATGATTCACTTTGGTCAGTTAGCTGTGGGTAGTGCTCCGATTTCGGTTGAAAGCAGGCACAAGCCATGCAAAAAGCCTAATGCAGTGCTGTTGAAGAGTAGACCGCGTTGGTTGCAGTCGATGTCAAGCTCTGATCTTCCGTTCTGGCCACTGCAAAGCACCTTCCCACTGTGCATCGCAAGGACGAAGGGCACTCAGTAGCTCAGAAACCAGCGCCCTACCCGAGTTCTTTGCCCACCACACTTTACCATCAAGCTCCATTAGAAGTGCTCCCCAGTGCATGAGAACGAGTAGTGCAAGAGGCTGACGACACCTCAATGCATGCACAAACTCCTTGCTAGCCATCGCAAGCCATCCTAGAATGGATGCTATATCGCGAGCATGGTTGTATCTACAGAAGCAGCGCCTCAGAAGTGCGATCGCTCCATCGATGATGCGATATTGCTCTTCACTAACGCTGTCCTGCATGGAGTGGCTCAAACTAGTCAGTCTATCGAAGGCGGTCTCAGTCTCGGCGTCAAGAATCGAGAGTTGTGTTTCCCAGAATCCCTTTCGAGAAGTGACCAGTTGCGTGGACAGATGGTCGCGACTGAGTGTGTATATCTTGCTGACACCATGAAGCAATTCGAAAACGACGATGATGTTTTCGGTCATCGTGTTGGTCTCCTGGCTGTCAGAAGATAACCGAGGCAGGGCGATGCCGATGACTGTGGTGATAACCGAATGCGCAAAGACAGCATCGCAATTGGCCGGAGTCAGGTTGTCTATTGCGTGCCGGAACGGAGCAAATGCCCGGTCATGATACTCCAATGCGGTGTCAATATACGACAGAGCCTCTGGTGGGTCCATGGTAGCAGCGATATGCAGCGAGGCGACTGCAAGCAACCCACTCATGAGGAAGTCATGCTGGAAAGCTTTTCGCGCGATGACAGTCTGCCAGGTGTAATGGTCTACAGGCTCGTTGCACAGACTCTGGTAGGTCTCCGTGGCATATTTGTGCATCAACTCCAGCTCTCGTGTGCTAGCAAACTTAGGCGGAGCAGAGCTGCCATACCGGGATAAAGTCCGGCTGTGGCTTGCGATTTCGGGGGATGATCCTTTGATGGAAGGGACTGAAGGAGGTATAGAGCTTGTCGATGGTGAGCTTATAGTGCTGCGAGCTATTGGAACCTTAAAGTATGTACACTTGAGCTCGCGGCTGGTGCAATTCGAGCAAGGTGGGCCTTGTTCATCGCACTATACTTGAACATTAGAGGTCCAGAGTTGGTGGTGGATGAGATGAGGGATTTGACAAGCACATCCGAGAGGCGGAGGAAAAGAAACTCAACGTACCTTGACTCGGCGCTTTTTACACTGATCGCAGCCATTGCGTGACTTTGTATGGGTCCTCCGAGGCGGCATTCTCCATTTCGACGGGGTTGCTGAGGGAGACAAATTAACGGTGATGCTCCCACGTGGGGAGAGAGCGAGACACGCCGGGAAAGTCGGTGGAGGTCACGTGCATCGGACTTATCCGTCGGCTGGCAGTTCTGGAAGGTTATGTTACCCACTACGGCCACTAAACAAGCCACTGCTTGAGTATGAATCTCTCTTTCCGACTGCAGCAACAGCCTTCAAGGTTGGGCTTTTGAAGCACTTTCAGCTTATTATGTCCTTTATTCGGTCTATTCATGTCTTCGAAATCCAAATAGCACATAAGACCATCCTGACTTTTTCCCAACAGAGGTTCAGCAATGTCAACAAACAACCTATCAACATCAGATGGGCGCAGACATGCGCCTTCAGCATTGTCTTGTCCTGTTAGAGCTCAAAATTCTAGACTTGGCACATGAGGCCCCATATTTTCTCAGTACCCAAGGCTAAATCCTCTAATGCATGCTGTCTAATATCTTAGATATTCTGCCAGTGAGCTCAGAAGCGTTGTCCCACACCCGCCGGCGCTGGGGGCGAGCCGACCCACCTTAAAGAGCAGTGGGTCGACTGCAAGCGACGATGCAATCAGATTGCCAGGTCCATCGCAGAACTTGTCCAACCCCTGGGGTCTCTTCGAGACTATTGACTTTAGCCCAGAGCCTCAGCCAAGCTTCCAATGGGGATTTGTCAGGTTTCGTCTCAACTCCCCGCACAGCGCAGCTAATGTATACTGCTGTGGGCACTCAATGATGGAGTAGGGTCAGAGGTCAGCCTTACAAGAAGGAGGGAAGGTATTGAAAACCCCTCAACCTCCTTGATTCACATACGCAGTGTGATAACAGCAGTAGTTTGCTTCGATTACCCTCATCATTCATCCTGTATCATCCTTTCTGAGAACTGAGAATATCGAAGTCGATAAAGAGTTCTGTGACCTAACCACGCCATGGGGGACTTTCAGACGGTCTTGTCGTCACTTTTCTGGATCGGCACTGTTATCACCACACAGTACATGCTCAGAGGACCTCTCCCGATACTTATCGACATCATGTCCAACAAGATGCCAGATATTCTGTCCTCGCTTCCTCCCTCGCCGGCATGGGCCCCCTTTTGGCGCACGCTGTTCCACGCAGCCCCACCAGCGTTCAGTATCTGGTTCTGCGTCTGGATGGCCGGGCTTCGCTACAACATAGTCATCGCACTGATGGCGTATGTATCGATTGGGTTTCTTGAGATAGTTGATATAGTGTGGGATGGCTACGAAGATGGATGGACAGAACTCCTGGTGACGGGATGCCTGGGGCAGACGATCGTTGTGTCCATCTACACGGCGGCCATCTTCTATGTTCTTTCTTTCAGGCCTAGACGGTCAGGTATGTTGTCAATCCATTTACCACGTCAGGAGAATGAAGCTGACTGAATTGAGATATATAGATCACGAGGTAGAAGCTGGTGCAACTGAGAAGGAGTGATCTGATAGGCGATTTGCTCTTGGATACCATCTTGCGTCCGGATCTTATTAGGTTGTTGTTATAAACGATGACGTCGTTCTAGAAAGACGACGGCAATAAGATCCGGCCTGGAGAATGTATAGCTGATGAACCGGGAAAAACGTTGGCACCGAGGTTAAATTAGCCTCCATGCATTTCGACTTAACGAGCTGGAGGTCTTCGAATAGACTGGCCGTCCGCCCCAGCTGTCATATGCAGCTGCCCCATTCGCTGCGCTATTTAATGCAGATATCGACGCTTGTGAAGACATTTAAAATCACGTTACTTCCCACCGCTTCTTTGACCTTGGAACCGAGAAGAGAGAGCGCTGATTAATGCGTGTTGACCTGAATTAGCCGAAGATGAGGTCGAAAAAGTCAATCGGCTCTCCCCGCTTGTGGGGCCTTGCGAGAACGAGAACGAGAACGAGAGCGAAAGCGAGCCAATCACCGTGGTTATCGACCACGTTTTTCTTGATATCGATCCACCAGTCATCAAAACGCCAGCAAATCGGGGTTAAGGAACCAATTTAAACAATTCCCCGTATTGAAATAGGTCTGATCCCCCCTCAGGCCTCCAGATTACGAACATCAATCCTTTCGGAGACAACACGTCCATCTCTTCCTTTCTTCTTTGTCGTTCTTTTGCTTATAATAACGGTTGTTCCTGCATCGCGTTGCCGGTAGAGCTTTTTATTCCCTCATTCTGTTCTTGTCGATTTTCAAACGTCCATCACGATCACATAGACAATCAGCAGAAATTCTCACATCTTGAAGTCGGCAAGACTCTACAAAACCATCACAATGAGTTACGGCACCTGCGAAAAGGTTTCGCTAGAATGCCCCGTCGAGGCGACCACCTACGGCTACTACCCCAATCTCGGCGGCAACATTTTCTTCGCGGTCTTCTACGGCATCCTGGGCGTTTTCCAGCTGGGATTCGGCATCTACTTCCGCGCCTGGACGCTGACGATCGCCATGGTCATCGGCACTTTCATGGAGCTGGCAGGGTATATCGGTCGCATACAAATGCATTACAACCCGTGGAATGAGGACGCATTCAAGCTGCAGATCGTCTGCCTCGTGCTAGCGCCCACCTTCGTCGCCGCGGGCATCTATCTCACCCTCAAGCACATCGTCCTGTCGCTGGGGCCGCAGTACTCGCGCCTCAAACCGCGCCTCTTCACTTGGATTTTTATTAGCTGCGACGTCGGGTCCCTCGTCCTCCAGGCGGCCGGAGGTGGTGTCGCCGCCGCAGCCGGCAAGACGGACCAGACCCTCCTGCAGGTCGGAGACGACATCATCATCGCTGGTATCGCGTTTCAGGTGGCGACCATGTCAGTGTGCGGGCTGATCGCGCTGGAGTTTTTCATTCGGGTCGTTCGGCATGGGCCTGGCTTGGGCGGTGATCTCAACGTGGAGGGGGTGAAGCATATACGTCTGGTTATCTATGCGGAGATCTTCGCGTATTTCACCGTGTTGATTCGGTGTATCTATCGGTAGGCTCTTTCTTCTGCCTTGTTGTTGAGCTTACAGCAATAAGATGATTGCTAACGATGCTCTTGTTGGACAGTATCCCCGAGATGGCCGGTGGATGGGGTAATCCCCTAATGCAGAAGGAAGACGAGTTCTTGGTGTTGGATGGAATGTATGTTGATTTCACTCGAGTGCGCACGGGCACTTGGCTAACATGTGTGATAGGATGATCGCGTTGGGAGTGGCCGCCCTTACCGTCGTGTATCCTGCGTTTTTCCTGCCGTCTATGCGGAAGGGACGGCAGACGGAGAAGGCATAGAGGTTTTTATTTATTGACATGTATACACAGATACAGATACAGATATAGATACCCTGAATTTAGAATTGGCTGCTTTTTTCTGTGAGATGAACAAGTCTGAATCAAGCTAGACAAGTCAACGGTGCTTCCGTTCTCTGCCTTCGAGAGCAGAAGCACTTTCATAGCGTCATTTTATCCCGGAGGTACCACCTAACTCGAGACATACATAAACTGATGATCAGATTAGATAGGTTACAAACTGAAAACACCACTTCGTCTATTTGTTACTGATCGAATAATATTTACAAGTTCAATAAAAATTTCAACAAGAATCCTATGTACCTTATTTTTATGACAAATGTAAAGTAATCTCAAAGTTGAAAGGCATAAAAAGATCAATAATGTTCTCTTTATTTAGTTCCTTGGTCAAGCTAAAGATATTAAGACTTACTTTATTGGAAAGAACCAAGGTACACAAAATATGGGGGTTCTGTGAGGTATCTATAGGATTAAATTATCTTCTAGATCTGAATAAGTAGCTCTGGTACGATGAAAGTGGAGAAGCCACCCGAAGTCAGACCGCAAAGATCCCGATCCACGGCGAGTCATCCAACCCCGCATTAGCGCCTTGATGAACAGGGGGATTTCTCGCCATCAACAACCGAGGATTTGTACTGTACATACAACTAGGAACGTGATAAAGAACCTTCCATGCGTATGGCTAGAAAAAAAAGTCCACTCTGTCTGTTAGAATCCCAGACGTTGCCTGGACTTATCGTAGCGAACCTGACTCAAAAAGTCATGGTGTCGCGACAAGCATCGCCCCCGCCAGCAACTCAGCCCCCTCTCATCTACCACTCTGGTGACTCTCTCTCTGCTGCTGCTGCTGCTCTCTAATGAATCGCCCTTCTCTCCCCCTCCGACTTCGCCTTGACTTTCAAACCCATATCACAACAACCCTGAACACAAATCACACAAAATCTCGCCCCGCACAATGGACGCACGCAAGTCCAAGTGCAACGACGCCGATATCGCCAGCGAGAGCACATGCTGGCAAGAAGCCTCCGCGAGGCTGCGCACGGAACACCCCCAGCTCCACGCCCAGCTCGAAGGGCCCTCCGGCGCCGATCTGTCCGGCCAAATCGCGCAGTCGATCATGGACAGCCAAAATCACACGGTCGAAAAAGATCCCCCTTCCGCGTGGACGCATCGCGATGCACACGAGAAAGCCAGAGTGCGACGGCGGGCCATGGACACGATCCTCAGAGCCGTGACGGTGTTCAGGGATGTGGGCAGCGCGGTCGCGAATCTCGACCCGTCCCATGTCGGGATCGCGTGGGCGGGCGTGAATTTGATTTTGCAGGTATTTCTTCCATGTCCAAAACCCCCCCGCGGGGAAGGGTTTCGCTCGAGATGGCTCACCCGAAAAGCGTCACAGCTCGTGTTGAGTGGCGCCGAGCAGAACGCTGCCGCGCTGCAGGGGCTCGCGCACATCTCGCCCATGATCACGAGATATGCGAAAGTGGAGGAGATATACATGGAGCAACGACGGAAGCACGATGCGATCACTTTCGAAAAAGACTTCAGGGCGCAGGTCGTCAAACTCTACGTCGGTATTCTGGTGTATCAGGGGACGATCATCGCGCACAGTAAGCGGCACCGTATTGGTGAGTTTGGTTTCCCCAACCGGCCTTTTACCCGTATGTACTGATTCTCCCGTTGTGTAGTCCAGTATGCGAGAGCAGTTCCCAAGGTCGATGACTGGAGCACGTTATTGCAAGATATCATGGACGCGGATGCCGAGTGTAGGAAGTTTACTCGCATTTTCGATTCGGAAGGTATATCGACAACGTCCCCCCGATCTTGGAGTGGAGACTAGGCTTACAAAATGTGAATATCCAGAACACAGGGTCCGGCACTGGGAGCTCAAGGACATCTTGGACCAAAAGGACCAGCAAATGGAAATGTTATCTCGTCAAATCGGCGATATACACGTGCAAAGTGAAGCACTATTCAGCCATTCTGATTGGCGTGGTGCGTATTATATGCAGGACCCATAAGCAGACAACTAAAATCGAGCAGAGAATACGGAAATCCTTGATTGGGTCTCAACTACCATGCCCGGCGACGACCATACCCGAATCCTAGAGCATGGGAAGCTGAACAGCGACTACGCCAATTCAGGAGAATGGCTCTTTTCCCGACTGGAGTTTCAGTCGTGGAGTAGAGCCGACGACGACAGTCAGCCAGTACTCTGGTTGCCTGGGCCAGGTAAGCGAGTGTTGCCCTGGTGAAATTCCATCGCTGAAGAAACTTTACTTGGTATCTAGTCGGCACAGGCAAGAGTTCCTTGATGTAAGCTGGCCTAGTCTCCGTTTTAGAAGAAGCTAGAATCTAATTGGAGACTTTCACAGGTGCCTTGTTATTGAACAATGTCGGAAACTATTCCTGCCCGTTGGCAAAGAAGCTCATCAACTCGCATTCTTCTACTTTTCGAGAAAGCAGGGAACAGAGGAAGCAAACAGTCCGAAGACTCTGCTCCAAAGCCTTCTGCGTCAACTAGCTTGGTCACCAACCAATCGCTCAATCTCACCCGTCGTCAAAGAGAAATACCGACAATGGCAGCAAAATCAGGGCCATGGGGATATCGGCTGCGTACAGGTGACTGTATAAAGCTGATAACGCAGCTCATCTCATCCCAGGATCATACAAAGATCATCATCGATGCTTTGGATGAATGTTCCGACTATGACGAGCTCCTGTCTTACTTAGAAGAGATTATTTCTGCAAGTCAGGGGAAAGTCAAGTTTCTACTTTCGAGTCGGATGCATGTTCCCGTGCAGCAGACCTTTGCAGAGTGTGCCCGGGTGGATGTCGGTCTCGACAGTAAAGACATCGAATACTTCATCGAAACCAAGATCAAGCAGAACCAACGACGTCTGCGTCAATGCAAAGCGGTGGATCTTGAGGACCGAATGATCAAGACATTGAGTCGCCGCGCTCAAGGAATGTGAGTGCAGGAACTCAGTCCCCGGTGTCTTGTTCGCTTTCTCACTGACAGAGAATATAGGTTTCGATGGGTCGAACTGCAACTGGATATATTCTTCAGTTCCAAGTCTATTATTCGGCGCCGAGACGTCTTCGAAAGAAAACTTGACCGGCTTGAGATGGAATCTGGTATGCCAGAATTGGAGGAAGTGTACGACGAAATTTATGAAATGAACGCGCCGGGACTCGAGGACCGCATGGTTGCGGAGCGAGCACTAAAATGGATCATGTGTTGCCGAAGACCGTTGAATATCGAGGTCCTCGTGAAAGCGGTGTCTCTCGACTCCAAGGGTGACGGGGACGAGGCAGTGGATGCAGACTACATTTTGGCCATCTGCAGTAACTTCATCATCATCGATCATAACCAGACAGTCCAGTTTGCGCATCTTTCGGTTCGGGAATATTTGATGAGCAGCGCAAGGCATGCCTATACTACCGCTGATGCGAATACCCAGGCAGCAATGACCTCCCTCAAGTATCTGCTCAGTGAAGGCTCTCAGAGTGATGCAGATACAAGCAAAGCAGACGGGTTGCTCGAGTACGCAGCGTTGTACTGGCCCATCCATTGCTCACTAGCATTGGTGGAGGCAGGAAGAGACCCACCCCTTCAGCAGCTCATTTTCAAGTTTCTCGCCCCTGAAGAGCCAAGCAGTGGCTTCGCCCTGTGCTTGCGGATATGGGCAGCTGCTCTAGATGAATTCGACACCCGGGAGTTGCACGTTCCAATTCGAGCCAGTCTCAGTCAAACGAATTCCCCGGTGTTCACAGCATGTGTCTGGGGTTTCGCTATGGTGGTTCGGGCGGCATTATCTGGCGGCCTCGATCTGAACGAGCGCAATGATGATGGCGATGCGGCCCTGGCGGTGGCAGCCAGTTTCAACAATCTTGAGATAGTGCGGTTGCTATTGGAAGGCGGGGCAGACACTAATGCAGTTGGAAGCGTAGCAGGCTATACACCTTTACACTACGGGGTCCGGCCATGGCGCCACGGATCCTCGCTCGAGGTGGTCAAGCTGTTGGTCCAGCACGGGGCCGACGTCTCCAAGGCGATCAAAGGCCCCGTCAACGATGGATACACCCCGTTACATCGAGCAGACCACAATGATATCGTCCGGTTCCTGCTGGATAAAGGAGCTCGGGTCAATGCACAAAACGCGGCGGGCTCGACCGCTCTGCATTTGGTCGCTGGATTTGGAACCACCGAAACCGCCCGACTGCTTCTCGAATCCGGCGCAGCACCCGGTCTAGAAGACCACCACAGCCACACGGCTCTACACGTAGCAGCGACGAACGGGAACTAGGAGATGGTCACCTTCCTTTCCACGTACCTGGGTCTAGGGTCAGAGGCGAAGAAGTGGACGCGGCAAGCACGGTTCTACAATGCAGTTGATGAAGGCGATGAGGCTCTCGTCCGGCGGCTGGTGGAGGAAGAAGAAGAAGAAGAAGAAGAAGGCGTCGATATGCGCATGAGAAACTACCGGGGCGAATCCCCACTCCACTGCGCGATCAACGGCGGGCATCTGCGGATTGCGTCGCTCCTCCTGGAGAAGGGGGCCGATATCGATGCAACCGATAAATTCGGCGACACGGCGCTATTGCTTGCCTGCAGGCAGAGACAAGAGGAACGCATGGGATTCTTGCTGGACCACGGAGCGGACATCAATATTAGGAATGAGGAACTGGCCAATGGATACACGGCACTCTCGATGGCCACGGCCCTGGGGGAGCCGCAACTGGTGGAGATGCTGTTAAGCCGAGGGGCGAATCCACAAAGCGTGGATGTTGACTTGCTGCAGCGAGAGCGGTATGTTTCGCCTGAGCAGTTTGAGAAGGCGTTAGACGTGTTGCGTTCGCACTTGCCGACTTGAGGATGTATCTTCCGGGTGATATCCTACGTCAGATACACACACACACCACTTTGAGTTATATATATACACAACAGGGAGGTCCTGTTTCTAACTTGGAAGGTTATGGTGGTGGCTTTCCGTTTTTTTTGCCAGTTGATCAAATTTGACTGTGGTCGTTTTGGATGTATACCCCTCTCTACTCGTTGTACAGATACACTGTGTTGGCCATTATACAGTTTAATTGGGACTATGGCTTCAAAGAGACAGCAGGCAGCATGGTTACAGTGTCTTACTCAAAGCACATGTACTTCTACTCCCTGGCATCGGAGGAACACCGTCATTAAAAGCTACTAACCTCCGGCTGGTATGCTTAAAACCCTCCCGAGTCATATACTGGACATCGGCCCCCCCACCAATCGGCCCTCGTCTTCAGAATGGTCGACTGTGTCCCTGGATCAGAATAAAACCCCCCATCAATTCAATGGGTTTTCCCCGACCACGGACCACGGACCACGGACCATTCCGGGAAATCAGACTCAGGTCCACGGTACAGCGACCAGGAGTAGTGGTGTGATACAGGGCCTATTCGGCGATGCGGGGAAACGCTCGTACCGTATGATCGATCCTCCTCCTCATCATCTCACACAACCTCCGCTTCTACAATTAACTTACCACTCTTCCACATCACCTTCCCAAATACTCCTCCCTTCTCTTACACCATTACGCAAACTCTACACCTCATCTTACTCATGTCCCCCGAACAAGCAGTCATAGTGATCGGCTCCGGCCTGGCCGGGCTTTGCGCCACCACCCAACTGATCGCGCACCGCATCCCCGTCATCATGCTCGAGCGCGCCGCCAAACCCGGCGGGAACAGCATCAAGGCCTCGTCGGGGATCAACGGCGCGCCGACGCGGTTCCAGCCCGCGCTCCAGCACGACGCCACGGACCTCTTCCTCGCCGACACGCTCAGCTCCGCCGGCGGCCCGCTCACCAGCTCTGTCGCCGAGGAGCGCGCGCGCCGCGAGAAGCTCATCAGCACGCTGGTCACGTCTTCGGCGGAGGCGGTCCACTGGCTCGCCGACGAGCAGGGCGTCGATCTGAGCACGGTCACGCAACTCGGCGGCCACAGTCGCGCGCGCACGCACCGCGGCGGCGCCGGCCAGAAGCCGCCCGGGTTCGCGATCGTGGGTGCGCTGCTGGAGTCGCTGGATCGGGAGCCGTTGTTTCAGCTGCGGACGAATGCGAAAGTCACGAGGGTGATGCAAGTTGAAGAAGGCCAATACGAGGGGGAAGAAGGTATGCTGGGGGTGGAGGTCGACGCGGGGCAGGAGGGGGGCGATAATCGGACCGAGACGCTGTATGGGCCGTTGGTGTTCGCGACGGGCGGCTTTGCTGGGGATACGCATGGGTTGTTGGAGAGGTACCGGCCGGATCTGGCGGGGATCCCGTCGACGAATGACGCGCGCGAAGGCACGCAGCCGCTGCTGGAGGCGGTCGGGGCGGCGGTCGTCGATATGGATCAGGTCCAGGTGCACCCGACGGGGTTCGTGGATGCGAAGGATCGCTCGGCCCGCGTGAAGTTTCTCGCGGCCGAGGCGCTGCGGGGTGAAGGGGGGATCTTGCTGGATGGTCAGGGAGGGCGGTTTGTCGATGAGTTGACGACGCGCGAGAAGGTCACCGCCGCGGTCATGGCGAGCGCGAGTCCGCTGGAGGAGGAGACCACCAGTCTGCTGCGGCAGTGGGATGTCACGCTGCTGATGGATGAGGGGGCGGCGGCGGCTGCGAAAACGCATCTCGATTTCTACCTGTGGAAGGGGCTGATGCGGAAGACCACGGTCGGCGAGCTTGGGCTTGCTCTCCCTCTCGTTTGCGATACGCTCCACGGCTATGCCGATGTGGTCTCTGGCAAAAAGCCGGACGTGTTCGGGCGGACCTCGTTCGGAAACTGGACCTTGAAGGATGTGAGTTCCGACTCGGTGGTCTACGTGGGACAAGTCACGCCCGTCGTGCATTTCACCATGGGAGGCGTCGTGATCAACGAGCACAGTCAAGTGCTGGACAAGGACGGCGCTCCTATCAAAGGCCTCTGGGCTGCAGGCGAGATCACGGGCGGACTTCACGGTCAGAATCGTCTAGGAGGTTCTTCCCTTCTTGAATGTGTCGTCTTCGGGAGGATAGCCGGTGAGAATGCTGCTGCCTTCCATCAAGAACACTAGTATGAGTACCTTAGACAAGTAGGGTTCTCGTCCCATGATTCATGTTGCCTGTGGGGTGTTGTTTTGCCATGACGGCGGCGCTCGGACGTGTCTGATTCTGTGCAAATATTGTCAATATTGTGTAATTGTGGAGATAATCCTCATGAGCTATCAAGTTTCTGAAATGCCATAAGCCTCGATCATTTTGTCTTACGACCAAGAGGTGACGAACTGGCACAAGGTCGATGCAAAAATTGGGTCATCCATAATTTGGTCTGTCTCTGTTTGTCGCAGAGGGTGACGGAGCGAACAAAGTTGCCTTAGATCAAGGCACAGGGGCATGTAATTAGAGTCCTGCCAACATGCTGCTTAAGTACAGTACATGTCCAATGGTAGGGTTGGGAAATGCAAGATGATGCAGCTGCATGTGGTCAGCCCTAGCAGATCAGCCACTCCCTTAAATTTTACAGTCAAATAAAGTTCTATGCCCAGGAGGGTCCTGGGGCGATTAGGATTCGAAGAAACTTCTGCCCATGTTCTCTGAAGTCATAACTCCCTGGACTTCTTGTGCGCTGTAATGCATCATGGGTTCCATTGTAGCGTCAGGGGTGGCCCTCGGGTGGCCCTCGGGTGGCCCTCGCATGCAACGATCGGAAATGAGGGTGAAGCCACATTCCTGGTAGTCAGGAGATTGGTTGAGAGTGTGACATGAGGGTGATGTTTACGGTGATGGTGACAGTAGACAATAATCCCTTACAGCCTGGAGCAGTGCTGGACCCTCCTCCAGGCTCAGGGCTCGCTGTTGTTCCTTCTCGAAAGAGATGACGTCACTCTTCTCACTCGGTCGAGCTCCGGGGCTGATCCCAAAGAGGAAAAGCAACGGCCGCCGGCGACTCAGTGCAGTGACTGCACCGCCACAAACAAAAACAACTGGAATTGACATTTCTTCTCGAGTGGAGCGGAGTATCTTGATCACTAGTGAAAAGGGCCCGATTTTTGTTTGGACTATGCTTCGACCACCAGATGGGGAACCCTCCACCAGTGCTCCAGTGCTCCAGTGCTCCAGTGCTCGAGCAGTTTTCTTATCCAGGATGACCTTGGTTCTGCGATGCTGCGATGCAGTCTAGTCCCTAACATACCCCTCCTGCACCTCAGGATCTCAAGGTTCAGGCAACCTTGAGAGAAGTAAACAAAGGTGGCTGGTCCCAGCCCTCCCACGTTCACCACCTAACCTATCTTTCGCGGGCAGCCGAAGCTAATAGATCCCGTGTCGGTCCATGGTTAGCGACCGACTGGACAGAGATAAAGTTTCGAGACTTCGAGCTGGTGGTGGAAAATTCAGCAACCATTTCCCCACAACTGCTGGAAGCGATTCAAGCCGTGCGGTGCCCGGTTCCCCTCATTGCCCAGTGCAGTGACTGCAGCGACTGCAGTGACTGTGACATCCACATCCATAAGTGGCTAGTGAGCCGACGGTCAGCCACATCAGCGGTGGGCTGATTGACAAAGGGCCCAATAAGGATCGGCAGCGACGATCCCCTGCATCCATCCTGTCGGTCTTAACCAGCCAGCCAGCAGCGACCACCAGCAAAACCCTACTAAAGTATCCCTAGTCAAATCTTGGGTACCCAGCATGCAGTGGCATCGACTCTGACGTAGTTTGTAGGACAGCCCATCTCTCATCGTGCCGTCATTCCTACACAAATCTCTCCGATGAGAGAACCACCCGCTAAAAGCTTCATCAATCGAACCATCGGCCATTTCCAAAGCCAGTCAATGTCCCCGAAAAAAACAAAAAAAAAATAATCCCAAATGATAACATAGAAAATTCGGTGAGCAGACCGTCCAGATAGACTGAGGTAGACCAATGAAGCTCGAGATGTCGATGATGGGTGGAGTTTGGAGTCTGGGTCTGGGTTGATCGCAAACCCCCCAGCCACAGCAAGCAGTCCCTTTTCCCGGAACCCCATCTGGGCGCATCTGCAGCGCTGTTGATTTTGGCACTCGTGATAGCCAGTGGTTGCAGTACACTAATGCATTCTCCTTCACAATCAACCTATGAGGGCATTGTAGGGCTAGCCAGGAGCTTCAAGTGAGCCACGGCAGTCAATCTAACAGGCTGTTGCTGCGTAGGAATCAAGAACGATAGGGCTAGCTCGAGTGGAGATCGTGACTCCATGACTTCACCCGGCACTGTGAAGCTGTCCTGAGCCACGTTGGCTGGACAGCTGCCTGAAAAACAATCATCCATCGGCCAGTGACGATCGTGCTAGTTGATCTGAGACTGATGCTAGGTAGGAAGAAAAAATCAAAAACAGTAAAAAATAAAAATTTGAAAAGGAAACTGAATGGACAAACAAGAGTGGAGATTAGGGATCAACGCAGCGGGTAAAAGAAAAATAAGAAAGAAAGAAAAAAAAAAAACAGTCTCGATGCGGCCAACAACAGAAAGAAGGAAAAGGAAAGCACTTCAGGCGATGAATGATTTGCGCGCTCTTTCCCACCTCCTCATAACTTAAATCGGCTCATCTTCCCTCTCGTTGCCTCTCACTTCTTTTCCTTCTCCCTTCCACATCAACCATCGTTCCGTTCCACAACACTCGTCTTCGTGCTCCACGTCGATCACTTCGTTGATACCCCCTCTTGTTTGCCTCCCATCGCTTCTTTGATCTATCCTCATTCTTTGCGCGTGCCAGCTCTCTATCACTTCAAAATGAAGACTTTCTCGCTTTCCATGGTGTTGTTGGCTGCTGCCAACCTTGCCAATGCTGCTATCTCCGTCAGCGACTGCGCAGTATGTTTACCTGACAGGAACAAGTGCTGGTCGACGGCGACTGACTTAATCGCGTTCTAGCAAATGTGCGTCGACAACATGAACAACAAGGCTTCCGAGTTGGGTTGCTCTAGCGGCGATCTCAGCTGCTTGTGTAACAACGTCAACTACAGCTATGGTATCCGCGACTGCACTGCGCAGGCCTGCCCTGGTGACAACGCTGCCGCTGTGCTGTCCACGGCTCTGGCTTCCTGTCCTAGCTCGACTAGTATGTGACCAAATCACCAACACTGGGTGTGATTCTTGACTCGAAAGATGCTAACCTGCACTTTACAGGCGGCTCTAGCTCGGGCTCGTCGGCCACCGGAACTGCTTCTGGCACTGCCTCTGGAACCACCACTGGCGTTGCGGGCGTCTCGACCAACTCTGCTTCGACCTCCAGTGGCAGCGGTACCACCAGCGGTACCTCCAGCGGCACGGGTGCGGCTACCACCACCACCGTGACTACTGGAACCAACTCTGGTACCACCAGTGGCGCATCCACTACTTCTGCTGGAACTGTGAGTACCCTCTTGTCTTCTCCCTCAAGCTAATATGCTGACCATACCAAGACCAAGACCACCATCACTAGTGCCATCACCAGCACAACGCTGAGCACTGCTACTCTCAGCAGCACTGGTTCTTCGGCTTCTGGCACCGGTTCTTCTTCCACCGGCAGCTCCGGTAGCGGCTCTTCTGGTAGCTCCTCCACTGGCACCGGCACTGCCCCCGCAAGCTCTTCGACCTCCACCGGCGCTGCCTCTCAGTTGAACGTCGCTGGCAGCGGTGCTCTCGGCGCTTTCGGACTTGCTGCCATGCTTCTCATCTAAATGAACGGTTACGATAGGTTGGTCGCTTAATCTTGGCTGCGGTCGCGTCCAGCATCGAAGCACAACTTTGACTCGGGTGTATCTCACTATTACGGCTTATGACTTGTGATGTTTCTAATGCGGCTTGTATATTCTAATATGACGGGTCATGCGATAATGACTAGTAGATAATGTGCCAGTCTCCTGCTCTGGCCATGGGGGTTAGAGCAGGGCGAATGGATTAATGGTATGCAGGACTTGTCATTAGCTTCTTGAATCAATACATTCTTTAAATTCTGCTTCCCTCGCAATCTTGTGATCTTCCGCTAGGAAGTTTCTCAGGGACTATGCCATTAATGCGATTTGCATTGTGCAGTTGTAGATCTCAGGGTCTTCTGAATCCAGGTGTCTGTGCGTTGAGATTTGAGTGTACACGAAAGAACCATCAAGTAGAATGAGCAAGTCGACTTCGAGAAGCGACCTTAATGGTTCCAAGGAATGTCACCTCGATGACTAGCAGATCCGGTATGCAACCGTCAAATAGACCGGCCCCACACGAGCATCGAGCTGAACAAAGCTATTGATATCAGGACCCCGCCTTCCCAGCAGGGCATTCGCCTCCCAACAACAGACAGTGGATAATCGGATGACTGATTGCATGCATATTTGACATCTGATTCTTGCATGGCCTACGACATGGAGAAATTGGATGTGGAACAGCTTTCATCGTAGAAGTTACTTTAGCAGCTTCATCAGCAGCTTCGCCGTCTGAGTAAAGAACTATATGGCGGTTTATACCCTGGGGTCATGCCGCAGCGAAGCTCACCTTCGATGGATTCTCGAAGGAATACGGTGGGCATGAGTTGCGATGCGTTCATTTGCCAGTTGTTGCAACTGTCAAGGCGGGGATAACGTCATTCAGGGACTCTGGACGATCGCCGCCCGTTCTAGCCCCCCATCCGCATCATTCTTCATCATATCTTCAAATCGACAGTTGTTTTCCAGGTCCACATACCTCATACCCTAACCACTGCCCATCGATGCATATTGCCTCCCCCAAATTGAGAATTTGACTAAGTGGAACAGCTGTGCTAACACTATTGTGTGTCTGTGTAGGTCTGAGCTTCCCCATACTTCGCTCACCTCACTTTACCCTCACTGTGGCGAACCCTTTTCAATTCTCCGATGGCGCTCCATGCCATTCATGACGCTAGTATGAGGTCAATTGCGTATGTTCACCATCAGCGAAGACGAACAGAGCTCCCAAGCTACTAGCACAATGAATGCTATTAAAATGAGCCCAAAGTTGAACCCTTGGAGTGAGAAAATCCAAGCCTTCCAGCAAGGATAACAAGCCAGCACTTGACGTCAGTCATCAATTTCATCGCAGTCTCTCCACTTCAGACTCTCCCATACTCTAGTCTTACTTTCCTTTCCTGTTCACATACGGTAATCATGGCAGCGCTATCCACCTCATCCAAGTATGTCTTTGAAACCTTGAAATCCAATCCGGTGGTCACAGGGCTATGTGCGACCGCTATCATTGGCCTTGTCTGGTACCTTGAATGAGACGACCCTATTTTCTTTTCGGAGCCATCACTTCATAAGCCCTGGTCTCGGGAATCTAGAGTCTATGGCGCTAACGGGGTATGTGTTGCGGTGAATAGGACCGTCAACGACTTCCACGAATGGAAAGCATTTGGTACGGGCGGGACTCCGCCAACCTGGGCGTAAGTTTTTACCTCCACCTAGCCATCAACACTCCATCCCACCCTCTCTACCTAATCTACAACGAACTAACCAAAAAAAAATGCAGAGGATACATGCGCATGTCGAAACTGCGGGCTCGACGCGCCCTCACCAAGAACAACCGCCACCACAACCTCCGCGACCCCGCCCCGCTCCAGAAGACGGGGCCCTCCTACCTGCCCACGGGCACGCTCCCGCTCCGCTCGGGCCCGCGACCACGCATGATGCCGCGGACCCTCCCGCAGCGCCAGTACCCGGAGCCCATCGACCCGTCCGTGCAGGCGCGGCTGCGCGCCCTCGTCCGCGACCTGGCCACCGCCCACCCGGAGCTCTTCGACCTGATGCCCTCGCACACCGAGGGCCGCACCACCGACGGCCTGTACGCCCGCCGCAACCTGCCCACCTTGAACCCGCTGGCGGGCGACCGCATCCTCAGCTACGAGATCGCGCACATGCACCCGGCCGAGAACAGCCTGCATGTCTGGCTGAGTGACGTCGATGCCCGCGAGGTCATCGAGAAGGGCTGGGGCCAGCGGTTCCCCCTGCCGGCCGTGCCGCAGGGTTGGGTCATGGTGTATGCGCCCCGGGATGAGGGGGAGATGGATATTGTGGAGGGCGTGGTGAGGGCCGCGGCGCGGTGGGTCACCGGTGTTATGGTCTAAGATAACAGCCCCTGGTTGGGCTTTGTGGGTTTTGATGATGGTGATGATCATGATGGTTATAATGATGATGACTTGGTAGCGAGGTTGGGTTTCTTTTAGCGAGCGATTGGGACGATGTGTACGATACTGTATATTAGCTTTTTCTTTTCTGTGACGATAATGCATGTCATGAGCTATGCACGATTTTTGGGCATTTCTTGAGCGTTGCACAGATGAGTGTCCATACTCAGGGACGCTAGCTGAACCGAGGGGTAGGTGGACGATTAGCGCGTGGCCTTCATTTGGTACGTGGCTGAAGCAGCCATTTGGTCTAGGAGTACAGTACATTTGAGACTGTACATGTTTAGCCATCGGGGATGTCACATCTATCCGCTCTTCCTTCCCTTCATCTGCGCTACAGCCACTAGTTCAATTCACTAAGCTCGATCTCCGCCAGGATGTGCCAGCATACCCCTCTTATTGATATTTGGGCTTCGAAGTATCCCTGCATCGCACCGAGCACTCGGTATATGACACGTCAATAAGGAGTCAACCCATATCACCCATCAACCCATTTCCATCTCCACTTCTCCTCCTCTCCATAACCTCGAATCCAAAACCCTCCCCACGAAAGATGCAACCCCGCATGCGCTTCGACGATGCAGCCTGGGAAGCAAGCGAAACCGACTCCGACAGCTGGGTGGCCGGCCTATTCCAACCCGACACCCTCCGGGCCATCGGCGACTTCATGATCAAACACCGACGAGGCGTCCCAATTGAACTGTGTCAGCCCCGAGCGGGGACATTTAATGTGTCATTTCGGATGAAGTTCGAAGACGGTGGCTCGGCGCTGATCCGCTTCTCCAAGCCTGGGACGACCATGTTCCCGGAGGAAATCGTGAGGCATGAAGTCGCGACGATGCGGTACATCCAAGAGCATACTTCGATCCCGGTACCTTTTATTTTACACTGGGGCACAGGGGAAGAGAGCCCGCTTGGTCTCGGCCCGTTCATTCTGATGGAGTACGTCGAGCATGCTATGGATCTGGGCGAGGCGTTGAACACGCCCACTCTCGGGGTTGACGATCGCCCGGTTCTTGATCCGGCAGTTGATATTGGAAAGCTAGAGATGTTGTACGGACAGCTCGCAGACATATTGCTGCAACTGTCGCGGTGCTCACTACCCCGGATTGGGTCTCTCATGCTGGTAGATGACTTCACCTGGGAACCCAAGCACCGGCCTTTATCGATGGCCATGATTGAGCTCGTCCGCTTAGGGACTCTTCCTCGCTCAAAACTGCCAGCCACCACCTTCGAGACGGCGTCCGACTATTTCCAGGCCCTCGCTAACCTGCACTGCGAGCATCTGTACCACCAACGCAACGACGCAGTAGACTCTGCAGACGACTGTCGGCGTAGGTTCGTCGCCCGCCGGCTATTCTCCAGACTCGCCGGTGAGCGGGGACGGCTGGCCTCCTCATGAACCGACCACGGACCTTTCACGCTCTGGTGTGATGACCTTCGGCCCTCGAACATCCTGCTCAACGAGCGCGTGCAGATCGTCGGTGTCGTTGACCGGGAGTTCACCTATGCGGCGCCGGTTCAGTTCTCTCAGGCACCGCCTTGGTGGTTGCTGCTCGAACAGCCGGAGTACTGGTCTGGTGGGGTAGAGGCGTGGGAAAGGATATTTGAAAGTCGTCTACCAACATTTCTCAAGGTTCTGGTGGAGCGCGAAGAGACAGCCCTGCGGGCAGGCAGGTTGAACCCGGAGCAAAGGCTTTCGGGTCCCATGCGACGGAGCTGGGAGAATGGTGATTTTTGGGTCGCGTATGCTGCGAGGAAGAGCTTTGCGTTTGATATGGCTTTCTGGGAGAGGCTTGATTCCAGGTTCTTTGGTCCTTGTGCGGTTGCTGTCGAAGATCGCTGGAAGGAGAGGTTGGCGTTGTTGACTGAGCAAGAGAGACTGTGTATGGAACGGGTTGTGAGTCGGAAGGTTGAGCAGATGAAGACAAGGGAGCTGGCTTGGGAGCCGGATGAGATGTCTTGACTTGCTTGGATTGGGGCTTGTCAGGTTACTATTACGGTGGGTTGTTCTGATAATCTATGATGAGGTTGTTCGGCTGGGATTCGAGGCATATATAGGTGTCTATTTTGATATGGGTTTGAATGCCGGTACATCACGACAATACAATAGATTATCGGTGGGTGAGATGAAGTTTAAAGTTTCTATGGAAAAAATCTATTCTCAGAAGACAATCCTATTGACCATCCACATATTGCCATCATCGGCTGCTAAGAATACATCTAAAACTCCTTAACTTCAAGTTCTCCATCGTATCGGCCCACTTCGGCCGCACTAATATTAGACCAGCCAACCTGGGCAACCCGCTGATAGGCTGCTCAGCCGCGTTACTGCCTGTGACTGGATGAGTGTCTGCCTGATCCTTCAGGTTGTGGTAGCCTCCAGGCACCCCCAGGCCCCCCCCAGGCACCCCCTCGAAATGAACTAATCTCACCCACCTTTCCCTTTCCCTCCCCCGGCTTATAATTCTTTGTCTTGCCTCACTCCATCATCATCCCATCATCCAACTGTTCGTCTTTCGCTATCAAAACTGTCAACATATATCATCACACCACCTCTCCTTCATCCAAACTCTGACTCCTACCGATTTCAACCATCGCCCACCATGGCCATCTCTTCCCTCCTTCGTCGAGGAGTGGAAGCTGCTGTGGACTACCAGTCCAAGCAGCCCTCCCAGAGCCAGCCAACCATCCATTTGGCGGGGTGGTTGTCGGCTTTCTTCATCTTCACCGTCCTCGCTTTCATTGCCATTCTTCTTTCGGTAAGCATTCCTCCGAGTTGGTTCCATTTGTCGCGTCATCCTAATGCCTATTCTAGGTCGAGTACACTTACGGACAGCTGGTTCCTACCCTCGCTATCGTGGAAGATACGAACCCTGATATCTACGTCCGCATCGATACCGACTTCGACCCGAACAAGCCCGTCGATGCGACCGAGCCTGAAATCGAGACCCGCCCGCAGCCCATCACCAACAAGTTATGCACCACTATCCGCCATCTTCGCGCCCGGGCCGGTCCCTGGTCCCGTTTCCGCGGGCTGAGCATGTACTTGGCCTACTGCTTTGCTCAGTCGGCTGTATACTCCCTGGTGCCCTTTTCTGCTGCAGCATTCCTTTCTCATTACATCATGTACGTTCTCAGCGGCGTGCTTGTGGCCAACCTCCAGCTCGCGTGGGTTCACATTGTCATCTCGGAGCCCTCTCCGAAGCGCTTCTACCAGCGCATCGGGGGCTTCCAGACTTGGAAGCGGATCGCTCCCGTTGCGGCATTCGAGCATGCTGTCACCGGCGCCGGCCTGTACGCTCCCCTTTTCCTTATCGAGGCCTTCGGCGGCTTTGACGGACTCAAGGACTTGGACTCCTTCACCCCTTCCGATCCTTCTTTCACCAAGGCTATCTGGACCATCTATGGTCTCCTCCTTGTGCCCACCGTGGTGTCATTTGTGGCCTCCATTCCTGCGCGGGCTATCTTCCTTCGCGTGGCTGCTTCCATGCTTCCTGAAGAGGATGAGGCTATTGTGCCTTTCGACCGCTCCTACGGCGGCAAGGTGCAGCCTGCCATCCTGGGTGGCAGTGGTAAGCTCAGCATCTCCGATGCTTGGAAGACCCTCGATCGCGCTGCACTGACCCGCTTCGTGAAGTCGATGTGCAAGGCGGTCGCTATTGAGGCCGGCGTGACTATGTTCTTCACGCTGCTACTTACCGGCCAGATCCTCGCCGGCGCTGTGACTTACGGGTTCCCTGGAAACAACGCTTAAGCAGATTGACGTTTTGTTCTGCCCTCCACCGTTACGATGACCCTCACCCTCCTTCTGTCATTTGGCCTACGTGTCTCCGTTTTATATATGTGAATAAATTCTGTTTCAAACTCGGCTGAGCCCTCCACTCTCTTGTATCTATCACCATGGTCTAAGTAGTGGAATGGATTCCACAGGCATACGCAGGCTGGATTCATTAAAGCTTAGAGTTGTAGTTCGGTAGTAGGGTTTAAATCGCTGACGTCGCACTAACATACCCTGACATGTACGTAGTCACGCATGGTCCTTGAGTACCTTGGGCTAGGAAAAGCTGCCTCATCCATCACTACGTAGACAGGCACCTCCCTTGCGCCACCAAGGGCGATCGAGCCAGTGAAGAGGAGGCTATCGGGGGATGAGACGTTATCGTACGGCGGCCCCGCCACCCCACTCTCCCTTTCGAGCACACCGCCTTGGATCCATCGATATTTCTCCTCTGACCAGTCAGTCAGTCCGTTTGTCGATCCTCTTCCCCCAGGGTATACAGAGTCACTTTGGTCTCATTCCTTCTTCTCGTTGGGGAGATTCTCACCTCACCTCTTTTCACCTGTACGAGCGTACTCTTCTTAGAGCCACTTAAGGCCCGCGTGTTTCTCTCGCCGCTACCCACACCACCTCTCATCCCTCTCACGATCCCGTTCCACTTCGTTCCACCCCCTCGCAACAATCCCCTCCTTTGCTTCCCTTCCCCCGCCGCCGCCGCCCCCTCTTTTCCCCTCCACGCCAACGCCATGGCCACCACCGCCGCCGGTCGCATGCTGTCACGGCAGCTGCAGCAGATGCAATCGGACAAGGACATCCCCGGCATCAGCTGTGGATTGGTCGACAACAACGTCTTCGAGTGGGAGGTGATGCTCATGATCTCCGATGATGTCAAGCTCTACGGCGGTGAGTTTTTTTTTTTCTGGTCATTTGATCCCAAGTCAGTGGCATGGCTAACACCGAGGAATGGGTGCGAAAAATCGCAGGTGGTTTCTTCCGCGCCCGGCTCTCCTTCCCCCCGGATTACCCTCACATGCCGCCGAAGATGAAGTTCGAGACTCCTCTCTTCCACCCGAACAGTATGTTCCCGCCTCCCTGTCTCCAGAGCGAACAACGTGGACTCGAACCTAGCTAGCAGCTCTCACTTCTACTTCGACATGATACTGACGCAAGGATGAAATTGGCACAGTCTACCCCAACGGTGACGTCTGCATCTCCATCCTCCACCCCCCGGAGGAGGACAAATACGGCTACGAATCCGCCGCCGAGCGCTGGTCCCCCGTGCAGACCCCCGAGACGATCCTGCTCTCCGTCATCTCCATGCTGTCCAGCCCTAACGACGAGAGCCCCGCCAACGTCGAGGCGGCGCGGCTATGGCGCGAGAACCCCCAGGAGTTCAAGAAGCGGGTGCGCAAGTGCGTGCGCGACAGCTTGGGCGAGGAGTAATCCTCCTTTCGGTTTGGGTTTGCAGTTTGCAGTATGCCCGTGGTGGTAGAGAGGATTCCTTTCGCATTCGTGGCATTGCGCGGGTAGCGTTGTGGCGCAAGTTAAATGGGTACATATCTTTTTCTTCTTCTTCGTGTTGCGTATCTCTTTCGTGACGTTGTGATTTATGGTTTATACGGCTTTCTGCTTGTTGCGGTTTGTAACTTTGGTGGTTGATGGGGAATCCGTTTCCCTGTTTTGTGATTTATGGTTTTGATTCGTGGGATGTCTTTTCTCGTGGTTGGTAGCGAAATAGATTCTTGGGGTGGTTTTCTTTTCGTTGTATGGATTGGAGTAGGTGTGTCGTTGTTTGGAGGTTGGGTTTATGCTGTTGCCATGGGTGTAGGTGTGCTTCTCTTGAGGGATCTTGGTTGTCTCAACGACCGGACAGGGATATCAGATATATTCATCGTGATGAGGCGGGGCTATTCTGATGACAATCAGGCTACGGGATGTTGAGTATCCTAACATTCTATGATCCTGTAGTGCTCTCCATAAATGATCAATAGATTCGTTATAATACAGCCAAGGAACCAAACCAAGCCTTGAATATGTCGCATTTGGGAAACTCGATCAGACAGCTCCGGGTCTTGGTAGCGATGCCATAGTATCATATTGTTAAATTTGCTTGCCTTTGACATCAACCAGCATCATTGGTCTAGTGGTAGAATTCATCGTTGCCATCGATGAGGCCCGTGTTCGATTCACGGATGATGCACATCTTCTTTTTGTTTTTGTCCGGATTGTCCCCATCCCAAATCAGAGTGTCCTATCGTTATCGATATCGATATCGAGTCCGATCCCCGCATCGAGTCCCAATGGTTTGCTTTTACCGTTCTTATCAACGGTCACCCGCTGGCAGCATTGCCGGGATCCGATCCGACATAGCGGGGGAGCCATTCACATATCAGAGCCGTCGTTCCCCGCAGGTAGCTTGCCCATGACGATGAAATGCACAGTACAACTACAGCCCCAAGTTTATTATATCATCAATCATGACTACAACCTCGTCTTCCCTCCCCTCCGCTCCCCCCATCACCGTATCCCCAAACATCACCCTCCAGCCCCCGCTCTCGCGCTGCGGTGAAGGCCCCGGCCTCCTCCTCATCCGCCCCGCCAACTTGGCGGGCTGCCAGACAAACAACACCACGCTCGACCCCGCCCCGTTACAGAAATGGGCGGAGGAGAGCTACACCGTGGTGGAAATCACCCTTGACACGGTGAGCAGCGGCGACGCGGTGGGTGTCTCGGATGCGATTTCCGCTGCTGTGCGGGCGTTATCCAAATGCCCGCAGTGCAGCGGCCGTGGCCATGGTGACAACCTGAAGTTCGGGATTCTGGGTGAGTTCCAGTCTCCCCAACATCACCCGTCTTCCAGCACAGCAAGCTAGTCGGGTTCGAGACGAGGCACGAGCTAAAACACAAGGTAAAAAGTCTACGGCTCCCCACGCGACTACGGCCCCTCCTTCCCCGCGCTCCTGCAACAGTCCATCACAGCCCTTACCCCCGAGCAAGCCCCCGCGGCAGCGATCTACTTCAGCGCATGGGAGAGCCCCTGCCCAACCATCCCAGCTCTATTCCACCTCCCGGCCGGGCAGACCCTCGCGGAGAGCATCACCGCCGCCACCACCACAAAAACCTACCAGTACCCCTCGACCCGCTCACCAGGCTTCATCATCCCAGGCCACGCAGACTTCGACCTGCGCGCCGCCGGCGTCGCGCACACGCGCTCCCTGACCTTCCTGAAACCCCGAACCGGCGGACCGTACTTCGACCTCGAGCAGATCTGGGAGGCGCACACGCACCACGAGTTCGGGGACCGGTCGGTCGAGAACACCATGGCGACCATGGTGCAGGAGCCGTATGTGAATCATATTCCGACGGTATGTTGTCTCTCCCCTTTCTACCCGGGTGTTGATGGGGGCCAGATGGAGGGCGTTAGCGTTAGCGTTAGCGCCCTAAATGGTGGCCTACCGACTGCCTGCATGGTTTGCTGGAACACCACCACCACCTAACTCCTCGGTGATTTTGCTGCATAGATAACAGGCGGGACCGGCCGCGCGGCCCTAACGCGCTTCTACGCGCAGCACTTCATCTTCGCCAACCCAGCGGACACGGCGCTCGAGCTGATCAGCCGCACCGTCGGCGTGGACCGCGTCGTCGACGAGTTCATCCTGTGCATGACGCACGACCGCGTCGTCGACTGGCTGGTGCCCGGTGTGCCGCCCACCGGACGGCCCCTCCGCGTGCCCTTCACCGCCGTCGTGAACATCCGCGGCGATCGGTTGTTCCACGAGCATATCGCGTGGGATCAGGCGACCGTGTTGAGGCAGCTGGGGCTGTTGCCGGAGTATTTGCCTTTTCCTTATGCGGTGGCTGGTGATCCCGGGGAGGGGAGGAGGTGGGAGTATCGGGTTCCGGCGGCGGGGGTGGAGACTGCGTTGAAGTTGCGGGGGGATGGTGGGGTCGTGTCGAATGCGATGATGGGGTTTGAGGTGCGGGAGGTGCGGGATTCTTCATTAGGCTGAGGGGGTCAGCTCAGCTGGGTATGGTGGTGGCTTGTGGAGAGGGAGGGGGAGCTGGAGCTGGAGGTGTGGTTGTTTGTGTAGGCTAGGATCGGGTATGGTAAGATTGATTGCCTGGGCTTGTTGGACTATCGTTGGTGGGTCACGGTATAGGAGGTTTAGCTTATCTACGATTGTATGAGTTATAGGGTCCTGCGAGTGGGAGGCTTGAGGTGTATATGAATCAATAGCATGTGGCTGACTGCGCTATACTCCCCTCATAGCCATTCTGTTCTCTCCCCTATAAAGAACACAACGCACCCAATTCAACCCAATGTAGACCCTAACAACGAACAAAAGGAATCCCACCAGCTACAGCTTCAGGATCCCTTCTCCTCCCTCGTCCCCCGGTAACCCGTGACCCGGGAACTACGAAGTAAGGTACGAGAAAGACGGACACCAGTTGCGGCCCGTCGCCATCGATCACATTCCAGACCCTCGGGGCGCCGCCATCCATCCCTTGTTTGACTCCCAACCTGGTACGGTACCCGAGCCTTATACTTCGCTTCCGAATCCGGAAAACAATTCAGACCCGTTCCCGGATACATCGATTCCCAATATCAATTGCATATTGATTGAATATTTCGGCTCTTGCCTGCCGAGTTTGATTCACATGAGAGAGATCTGGATAATCTATATGTAGAAACGCCCTCCCTGCGAGAGAATCCCGACCACCCAGAGTACACCAACCTACTCGAGAAATGAAACAACTGGCTCCTCCTGCTCCCACAGACAAGGAAAATGCACGTCACGACCCCCCTACTCCTCCAATCTATCCTTCTCCTAGGGATAGCAGGAGCAGCACCAACAACAACAACAAAATCGAACCTCCCCATCGTAGATCTTGGGTACGAGTTCCATCAGGCTTTCTCCCTGGATGTATGTCACACCTCGATCCTGACTATAAAAGCCCGGTCCTAACGGGAATCAGGAGAAATCGCAAACCTACAACTTCAGCAACATTCGCTACGCTGCGCCACCGACCGGATCACTTCGCTTCCGACCACCGATCCCCCCAGCTCAAGGAAATCGGTCGGTAGTGCAGACCGGAGCACAGGGACGGGTGTGTCCGCAAGCTACGTTGAAGTGGGAGGAAGATGTTATGCCCGAGTTTGTGGCCGAGGTGTTGTCTTCTGCATCGGCTGCAGCTCCGCCATCGGCATCAGCAGAAGGGGGAGAAGCATCGACGAGTCCCGCGAGGGATTATTCACCCTTCGCCGGGTCGATAGGGGGTGACGAGAGAGTGACTGAAGACTGCCTGTTCTTGGATGTTGTTGTCCCTAGAAAGATTTTTGAACAGAAAGCTCTTCAGCAAAAGCACCAGAAAGAAGGCAACGGTTTGGCTCCGGTCCTTGTCTGGATTGATGGCGGTGGGTATATCTCTGGCGATAAATCGGAGCATAACCCCAGGGGGTTGATGCAACGCAATATGCTCGACGAGGATGGGATTGTTTATGTTGCGCTTAATTATCGGGTAGGTCCCTGTTCTTGATTTGAGGCTCGATGATGGTGCTGACTTCTACAGCTAGGAGCTTTCGGCTGGTTATCGGATGGCAATGGGACCACTGCTAATGCTGGTCTCTACGACCAACGTCTCGCACTGGAGTGGGTGAAGCGATATATTAACCTGTTTGGCGGAGATCCGGACCGCATCACCGTCATGGGTCAGTCAGCTGGCGCAGGGTCCATCGTTCATCAATTGGCCGCTTATGGAGGCAACAAGGAAGCAAAATACCTGCCCTTTCACCAGGCCATCATCCAGAGTCCCATGTGGTATCCCTTGACGGTGAACCAGCAAACGTCAGCGCGAGACGCATTCCTCGAATTGCTGAATGTCTCATCCATCGAAGAGGCACGGTCTCTTACATCGGATCGGTTGATTGCGGCCAATGCATATCAAATCGCGAACACGCTCGTCTATGGAACCTTCACTTATGGACCGGTCGTAGATGGATCACTCATCAAAGACTTGCCGAGTAACATCTTGCTCGACCCCGGCTTCGCATGGCAGGGTCTTCGCATCATGACAGGCCATACTTCCAACGAAGGCCTTATCTTCACTCCGCCAGCAGGAGTGAACAGCTCGGCCTATTCGACTATCCTGAGCGACTTTCTCCCGAATCTGGTCCCCGAAGTGGCGGAGGACATCGCCCAGACACTCTATCCACCAACCTTCAACACCCCAGCAGCCAGCCTGGGCTATAGCGATGCGGTTGGAAGATTAGCTCTGACAATCAGCGACGCTTTCTTCAGGTGCAAAAACCTGTACCTGAGCACTGCCTTGGAGACCGTATACGGGTACAGTTTCGCTGTGGCTCCAGGTCTGCACTCAGAAGATCTATACTTCACCTTTTATGACCCTACAAACCCCGACTCGAGCGTCGTCGATGCCGATGTTGCGTTGACCATGCAAGATTATATCGCTTCCTTTGTGCAACAGGGCCAGCCCTCTTCTTCCACTGCCAATGCGACAGTCTGGAACTCTTATTGGCCACAAGGCCAAGTCTCGAACATCCAAGCGGGCAATATATTAAGCGTCCCAGATCCGGTGGACATGGATCGATGCCAGGTGTGGTGGAATATCACCGGCTGATCGCACGCAAGGGGGAAATTCGAATCGAACTATCCGAGGGCGGAACGCTCGTATCGAACACCGCCAACACTTGGCGTCCGGTGCGCCTTGTGAAAGGGGCCATGTTTGAAAGAAACTCTGGCAATCCTTAGGCTTTTGGGGCGGTTTTGTAGAAGAACGATGGATTATGGTGAAACAGGGATCCCTTTGTTTAAGGCTCACAGGTTGGAACTATAGTTTGATACTGTATAGATGAGCTGCGAACATGGTTCCCGAGGGAAACGCCATTGCGAACCCTTGCTGGACTGACATGTTGGACATTCAGCCGCATGACGAGTTTTCTAGAACTATACCTAGGTCGCATGAGGTAGTGTGCATGGCTTTCGGGCACGGAGTCCATCACCAATGAGAAGGAATGCAATTGGCGAGGGAGCCCCTATATGACCCACGTGGGATCGTGCGCCATGCTTGAATGGATAATCGGGGAGAGATTGGAGCTAGCGGGCATCATTGCCACCAGTCGCCGATGCTAAAAAATCTCTGTCAGTGTCATTATGGTTCCAACATGGCCGAAAGGCTCACCACCCGCGAAGTGGAGCTTCTGGTGGCTATATTTTCTCAAGTCACAGGGCGAGTTTCTGCCGACGGGCCGGATCCGGGATCTCAGTCAGGGGTAAGTCTTGCGGTAGTGGAATGCGCGCATCAGAACCGCGTTCAAGTTTGCTTGCGGTTGCAGCCATAAGCACGTGAGATTTTTCATCAATGATGCAAGCGCATGTTCTGAAGTCGCTGATTGATCAGATCGTCTAAGGTAATTCGGCCTCTTGATAAACAAAGTACAGTATAAGCTCCAAATTTGCGTCTGTTTCTGCCTGGAATCGCCGTTTGGGTGGAAGTTTGGGTGGAACAGTCGGCGATGTGACTCAGCACTAAAAATAACCAATGAGCCAATGAAGTGAGCTAGACAGTTTCAAGGGTTGACCGTCAATCAGCCTGAGGGTAAAGAAAGATTGGAGTCTGGTAGAGAAAAACTCTCAAGTTCGGGTCCAATGGTCCATACCTTGAGCACGTTAGCTCAGGCACATTTTTTTCGTCCCCCATCGGAGTTGCCTTAGCTTTCAGTGATTTGCAGCACTAGGATGGATAAGTGCATTTGTCCGTTACGCTGCGATCCTGCTCCAGCTGACAGTGGGGATGGCGCTCGATGAGCTGGCCGGCACGGAACTTGTGAACATCAGGTCCAATCGTCCAAGCCACCGGCCACTTCGGGATCGCCTGTGACTCTATGAGGTTACGAAAGATGATATTTCCCATAACCTTAAAATCACGGTAATACGATGATTGCCCATGCCCTGCGTCATGCAAGAATTGTCAAATGAGACAGCTCGAATTGCCAAAGAGGCAGCCGAAGAAAATATCCCGGAGCCATGATGTGCCAATCGCAGGGTCCGATTGCACCTTCGAAGCGCACGCTGATGGGCTGGGTGATTACTCATTTTTCCCCGAAGAGTAGAATTCCGGAGGCTTCGTCTACGGTTACCGAACGGAGGCGGCCGACCGAAGTGACAGACGGAGGCTTATTGGTAAGGTGTCTGAGGGGTGGGGATGGACGGTCTACCCATATCGCAAGACAAGTAGCGAGGTTAGGGAACGCCGATTTGTCCAAAACTAGGCAGCCGTTTGTCTGAGACTTGTGAAGAGTGAGTCTTGGGTGTTCCGAGTCGGAGGATAGAGAGGTCCGAGGGGAGAAAAGGAATCCACAGCTAAAATGATCCCCCGGCGATAACCTCATCGCTAAGCTTCCAATGACCCATGAATGGAGGGAGAGGGAAGTGAGAGCCTGAATGGCCCGTGGGGGCGACCAGGTGCAGCTGGATTGATCATTGGCAGAGCGGGCAGCGCTGGGAGAGCTTAGCAGAAGAAGGAATGAAATAGCACAGCTCGCCGGTGTCCGCGGGCAACGGAAAAGTGGGGGAGACAGGCACTAAAACACGGCTAAGCCCAAAGAGAAAAAGGGTCTATACTTAATAATAGCACATTAGATTATTGTGAGTGCCTGAGAGGAGAGAGGGGGCGAATGGCTGTGCTGGCTGGGTGTCTGGGTATCTGGGTGTCTGGTGTCTGGTGTCTGGGTGTCTGTCTCTGACTTTGCCGGACTTGTTCAAGTGCGTGCTGTCGTTATACAGTCAGTCAAAAGAGTACAGTAGATACTCCATTCTCGGGTGCCAAATACCCTCCGAGAAGCGCCCATGGGGTTTGTTTCAAATCCAAGGGATTACCATCGAGCTGAATTGCGGTGACACAAGCAGCAGGGACCGGTGGTACAAGTGATTTGCGCCGGTGGAAGAAATGAAAGTGAAGGGACCCTGGCCCCCAAGATAAAGGAAGAGAAGGTAAAGTAGTGAAACCAACGAGTTGAGGCAGTGTTTATTTGTTGGGCCGGGTGAATGGATGGAGGAAGCGATGGATGGATCCATGATGGTGATGAAATGGCGGAGTTGGAAGCCGCAAGTCTACTTGCAGAGTACAGTCAGTAACTTAGTATACTACGGAGAGCCTTCAACTTCTTCCGCACCCAGAACAGTAAGTAAAAGAAACAATTACCACTAATTTTATTATGGCAGTAAACACCACCACGACTGACCTTAACAACTTAACTTCCATTAACTTAACTCTACTTTTGAGTCCTCGGACTTCTGACTCCACTTCCTCACTTGGCCTTGCATTGACCCAGAATAATTCCCGTTTCGCCCCCCTCTCGTCCGTCTACTTCTTCCTGCTGTGCCTTTGTCTTGCTTTGCCCGCTGGGCCAAATCTTAGCGTTTGCTTGGTCGCTTCTGCTCGCTTTTATATGCCTCTGCCCGGCTCACAGCACCCTGCATGATTTTTCCAGCCTTGGCTCTGTTGTTTCTTCTGGTCTTGCATCCTATAAACATTCTCTTGTTCCCTCTACGTTCCCTCTTGGACCTAGTCAAACATTCGTTCCCTTGCATCACTACCACAACCCACCACCACAACTCACCACTATCACCACTGCCATACCAACACACCACCTACCACTAGACAACTTACCAACTAACTCCATCCATCATCACCTTCTCTTTCTAAATCATCGACCTATCTACAACAACAACAACAACAACAACAACAACAACAACCATGTTGCTTCGCTACCTGTCCGTGACAGGCGCTCTCTGCCTAAGCAGCTGTGCTGCCGCTGCTGCCGTCCCTTACTCCTACATCAGTTCTCCCCGCTCGGCCAGCGCCCATCAGATAAACTTGCCTGCCGTTCCATGTGCTTTCTCCGACTCCAGCTGCAACGAAGCTCTTGACCCCTTTGCACACCTTGTATGATGATCCTTGCCGAAAAGACAACTCGAGTCTCAAACTGACAATACCTAGACCATTGATTTCTCCACGCAAAATGGCGTCTTGCTGGCCAACAAACAACCCATCTTCCCCGCATCCGTGCCGATGCAGTTCTCCGTGGACCGCAAATGGGACGGCAACAAGCAGTCCGTCTCCGTCGCCTACGCTCTGGATGTCCGACCGCTCCCATCTCACCCTGGTGCTCCCGTGGGCGATATCTACCACCTGAAGCTCCGCCTCTTCGACCTGCACGGCCGTCCCGTCACCGACCACGCTGTGGCAATCGGCCTCGTCCGTGACACCGCCGACAATCTCCAGATCACGGTCATCGACCCGAATTCCAGCCGCGAGCACGGCCACGGCAACAAGATCTGGCGCATGAAGGAATGGAAGTCCAAGGTCGAGTCCTACGTCAGCAACGCCAAAGAAGCGGTAACTGACTGCCTGAAGACGACCCCCTTCTCCCACGGCCAGCACGAGCACGAGCACGACCAGATCCACGACTCCCCGGTCCCTGCCGCGGCTGAGTCCTCGCACGAGAAGTCTGCCTCGATCAAGTACCCTCCCGTCTTCCGCACGAGCCACAACGGACAGTTCTTCTGGAGCGGCCGGGAGCGGGGCGTCATGCGACAGATCCGCGCTATCATCTTCCCTGCTCTGCTGGGCGTCGTGGCCGGAGGCGTCGCCTGTGTCATTGGATTTCTTCTTGGTCGGATGATCATCTCCGTCTACTTCTGGGCACAGGACAGCCATCGGCCCCAGATTCCCGTCATCACTGTTGAAGACGAGGAGCCGCTGTCGGAGAAGGAGGCGCTGATGGAGAGGTACAGCGATTCCGACCCTGAAGCCAATCTTCCCCGTGATTAATCCACATTTCCTTCCTTCCTCACATTTCATTCCCTTCTATTCCCTTGCTGTCCTGTTTATGAAGATATCCAATGTAGCATGTTTACTGTTAACTAGCATACGCACATGAATGAAAGCGAACATTTTCCCTCGTGCTGGATATGTATCCCTCAAGCACTCCGGGGTATCAACAAGGCCGGCTGGCCCAATGGTAAGGCGCTTGACTACGAATCAAGAGATTGCAGGTTCGAGCCCTGCGTCGGTCAATAGTTTTTACCTTTTTGCAGGTTGCCACTGTGCCCCAGAGTATCCTGTCCGATGTGGATAGCACTGGGGACAGGACACACGGAGAATTTTCGTGTGAACCACTTTTCCGGCATCGTCGGATCCACCCGCCGAACTCGACGCTCTCAGCCAACCACATCGATCCGCATCATACTATGTAATCTGGTCCAAGACACACTCCCACTCTCCCCTCGACGATCTTAATCTCGATGACCGAGTCCGGTTCGGGGATCTTGGGTGATGTATCTCGGGGAGGTTTAGATCCAAGACAAATGATATCGCATGTCTTGCATTTTCCGGTTTTTCTTCTATGGATGCGGAGGGCAAGAGTGGGGTGGGAACTTTTTTGGGCAGGGGGAAAACAGGGCAGTGGAAGTGTTTCTCCGCTGATCGAGTGTGGTACTTTTTTGCCACTCGCGGGTATTATTGTATATGTATGTGTAGACTGGTATCTGTGCGGTTGAGTTTGAGACCCTTCGAGTGAAATCAAGATTCAAGATGTAGATCTGTTTTCGTGGATGGGGTTTGTGGGGTGCAAAATCGGTGGGGTTGATGTAACCCTGGGTTTGGAAGGTGGTTGTTTGTTCTAAGTTCCAGTTGGATGAGGGTTCTGATAGTTTGCTACGGGAAAGTTGAGCTACTGAGGGAAAATGGTTGATCTAACGCTGGTAGAGACAAGTCCGGAATGTAGTACCGGGGAGTGTGGCCGCTTGCTATGATTAGTCAACCACAGATTATAGTTATCGATAATAATTCGACAAATTATGACCGACTGAAGTCGACTAATGACTGTAATGCCAGACTACTACTACAGGCACAATAGCCGATTCCTCAGGCGCATACTTCATAACCAACCAACCAGTATCAAGCAAAAGCAACGGTAGGCACACACCAAGCATCCCAACGCCAAGCTATCAACCATAGCTTATCTTCTTGAGCTGTCCCACCGGCCTACATACAATTTACTTGGCATATATGCACCTCTTCGTCATCGACAACGTCGCATTCAGAACCAAAAGTCTAGATACATGCTCTCCTGGATTCTTCTCTACCCACTTTCGATCCTGAAACAGACAGGCAAGCCCGTCTAAACACACTCCGACTTGATGCTGACCAGGGTCACATCCGCCTCGAAGCACTGCTTCTCGGTGTCAACGCTGACGGTCTCGTACAGGGTGGACTCGTCGCAGCCCGAGGCCGTGTAGGTGTGCAGCACGGCCGAGGTGCCGTCGGCGCAGCTGCCGGACTCAACGTACGCGGTGAACGACTTGATGGGGAAGTTCTCGACGTTCAGGCACGAGCCCGCGTAGGCGTTGCCCGCGTCGATGCTGGGGGTGGTGCAGTTCTCGTAGAAGTAGCCCGCGTAGCCCACGGTGGGGTTGGCGGTGACGGCCACGGCGAGGGTGGTGGCGACGAGGGCGAGGGTCTGGGGGTCGAGGGTCAGTAGGGCTGAGATTGAGGGGAGAAAGGGAGGCTTGGGATGTAGGGGTGGGGACGATCGGGAAGGGTGTTTGCGGACCTTGGTCATCATCTTGAAGTTGCTGAGGAGTTTGGATGGGGGATGGATGGTTTGAGCTGGAGTGGTTGATGTGTGATCTCTGGGTATCTTTCGAGGTACTCTCGAGGGTCAACGACCGCCTTTATATAGCTTTTTCTCTCGCCATGATGCTGCTGCACGCGTCTCGTTTCCGTGGACAAGGCATTGGGTGTTCCCTCTCGTTCTCAGCTGAGGTCGATGGAGCATCGTTCGTTATCTTCATGGCACTATTGAAGGAGACTTACGTATGCTCCGGGGCTCCGAATATCTCCATTCTGCAGGTGAGAAAGTTGAGAACCGGTTCGCTTCGGCGCGATCTACAGCCTGACTAGCCGGATGAAGATAAGTGGTGGGATATAGTCCCTCATCCATCTAGTCAGCTCAGCTTACGGTGGGTTGTCCAGGTCGAAGTATAGCTCGTTCACGTTCGTGATGTTTCCGCGATGCTTCGCATTTGTGGCGTGAGACGAGGCTCGAAGCAACCTCTGAAGGGGAGGTATTCACCTTCTCTAGTCTGCAAGAAAGTGTCTTGCAAGGGAGATTAGATGCTTGTCGCGTTGTGCATTGAGGCTCGTTGCTTGTCAGATAGAAATGTTGATGATTCTCCTGCAGGCTGCAACTGGTAGAACGGACCCACTTGGTCTTCTGTTCAATGCTTGCATTGGCAACCAGTCGATGGGGCCACCACTCCTCCTTTCATTGTGATGAAGGATCGCATTCACAAATTAATCAAAACAATCATTATCTAATTCTTAGGAATCAGCAGGCAGATTGCACGATGAGCAGACTTCAGTGACACCAGTTTCCCAAAACAGCCTCCTACTGCAGGTGGCTCGCGGAGTAGTGCGCCTGCCAAGCAGACGCGGAGGATCTTGGCGGAAGCCGGCCAGGCCCCAGGCTGACAGGATCTTACCGAAGCAGCAGATGACAGGGCACTCGGCTCAGATAACCATGATCGCCCTGAGATCCTCTGGCTCTGGGTATACCTTAATCCTAGGTAAGACCTATTTATGGATTGAAGAAAAAAAAAAAAGAGCAATGATCTGAAAAGTGTATTTTGGGATGGGGTTGGGGATTCGGGCATTGACGGATGTGACAGTGACAGTGACAGAATTGATAAACTGGTAGAGAGGCTAGACCCTTCCCGTCCCTGTCGGCAAAAGTCACGAGAATGAGACTCTATTCAGCTTTAACTTCCTCACCCACAGTCCACTTCTTCCTCGTATTCCTGCTGCACAATCCCCACTCTTAGCTTGTTCCCCCGTTGCTCGGCTAAACTTACCTGCCCAGTCGCCCCCTCTCTTGCTTCTCTTGTGTTGCTACGTTCCGCTTACAGATGCATTGGTATATCTGTCTTAGTAGGTACTTCTCTATCTTAGCTGTAGCGAGCATGGTTGCTGTTCTGCAGTGAGATACGAAATGCTGGCGCTCTGCTCGGAGTTTTTCTTTTCTCGCTCTCGGACTTCAAACCATAGACTATCTTGGTCATTACTTGTTGTCCTCGTACAACCCGTTTCTTTGTTGTGGTTCCATTGCGCGCATCCATGTCTTGATGTCACGGATCACAAGATGACGGCTCGATGACTAACATGTCTTTCTGGCTGGCTAGTTATAACCAGACAACCGTTGTCTCTACTCCCTGCCACCTGGTGCATCACATCCACTAAACTCGACTGACACAATGTGAAATATCGATCAAAATGGCCCAGTATCTTAACAGGCAGATCATCGCCATTTCCGCAGATACCCCATACTATGACCTCGGATCCTTCCATCGAGCAGTCACCACTGCTAGCAGGGATGCTCAGGTCTGGTTCGACCGTGGCCTGACCTGGTGCTATGCTTTCAACCACGAGCAGGCCGCCGAATGCTTCAACCAAGCGATCGCGCACGACCCAACATGTGCCATGGCATACTGGGGACTAGCGTTTGCGCTCGGGCCAAACTATAATATGTCATGGGAGGCTTTCCCTCCGCAGGCACTGGAGATGGTTGTGGGCCGCACGCACTCTGCGCTCACCCAGGCCTTGGAGAACAGTGAAGCTGCAACGCCCGTCGAGCAAGGTCTCATTCGAGCGCTTCAAGCTCGCTTTCCTCAGAAGCATGCGCCGAAGGACCCACAGGAGCTCCAGTCATGGAGCAGAGCATATGCGGAGGCAATGCGGGTCGTCTATGAGAGGTTTCCAGGTGACTTGGATGTCACTGCACTATATGCTGACAGCCTCATCAACTTAACACCGTGGCGGCTCTGGGATTTGCACACCGGACATCCGACCGCAGGATCATGTACACTGGAGGCTAGAGATGTCCTCCACCGTGCGTTGGATGAAGACGGCGGCTATGCCCACCCAGGTTTATTGCATGTGTACATCCATCTCATGGAGATGTCCAGCCAGCCAGAGGCGGTGTTGCAAATCGCTGATCGTCTCCGTGGGTTGGTTCCCGACTCGGGTCATCTTCATCATATGCCGACCCACATAGATATCCTCTGCGGGGACTATCAGCGAGCTATTCTCTCCAACTCTGATGCAGTGCGGGCTGATGAGAAACATCTTGCCCTGTCTCGGCCTCAGGGTATCTATACGATGTACAGATCCCACAATTACCATTTCCTGATCTACGCCGCTATGCTCGCGGGGCAGTTCAAGGTCGCACTAGACACTGCCATCAAGCTGGAAAAATCACTTTCCGAGGAAATACTACGCACGCCGCATCCCCCGATGGCCATGTTCTTGGAGTCGTTTGTGCCGATGCGCGTGCATGTCTTGATTCGTTTTGGGCGCTGGGGAGACATTATCGCGATCAAACTCCCACAGGACCAGGAATTATACTGCGTGACTACCGCCGTGATACACTACGGGAAAACTGTCGCCTTGGCTGCACTGGGAGAAATCGACGAGGCAAGCAAGGAGCAGGAACTGTTCCAGAAAGCCTTCCAACGAGTTCCACCAACGCGTACCCTGCACAACAATACTTGTCTTGACATTCTAGCTATCGCACAGGCCATGCTCGACGGGGAGCTTGAGTACCGCCGTGGCAATACCACCAAGGCATTCCAGCATTTGAGCCATGCCACAAGTCTCTATGATAAGCTTCCATACGACGAGCCATGGGGGTGGATGCAGCCCATCCGCCATGTTCATGGCGCTTTGTTGTTGGAGCAAGGACTTGTGGAAGAGGCGGCGGACGTCTATGCCGCGGACCTTGGGGTGGATGATTCTTTACCGCGAGCCAAACAGCATCCGAATAACGTGTGGTCGTTGCATGGGTACCATGAGTGTCTTGTCAGACTGGGTCGTGATTCTGAGGCGCGCATTCTTGGGTTGCAGCTTAGGATGGCACTGGCTCGGGCGGATGTTCCGATCAAATCATCTTGTTTCTGTCGGCTCAGTACCGGAAGAGCTTAAGCGAGCCATTGGAGGAACTATTTGACGTATGGCGTTCTGGACTGTGGGGCGGTGTGGTATTGTGCTATTACTAGTCTCTTGACTGAGATGAACCACTATAGCATGCAACTATAACCTTCTCCGCTGGTGATCGGGATTATATCACAGATTGAGGCGATGATTCGATATCGGAGCAGCTCTATGTTTCTGCGGGGACCTTCTTTGGTTTGGGCTATGTTTTGCTGGTACTCGTACGAGCCAGGTCAAGACCTCAGAAAACATACAAAAACAGGCATGTAGTAGCATCTGAGTCGTCGTCCAGAGAAAATCGAACCCAATGATAACTTACCAGAACAATGTCCAGAAACGCCGATGTGAACAATTCTCACCTGACCCGTAGTATCCCAGCTCCTTCAACCGAGACAGCGGCATTAAGACACTTCATCCTGTCTCTGATCCAGACCATCGCAACTACAACCAAAAGAGCCATATCGCCTTGTCATTGCAAAAGCTCGAAGACCCTACTAACAACATTCACCGTGGCTCGGGCAGCAATCCAGAATTCTGGAAAGGATGATCTATCTCTTTGTACTCTTTGGCTTTTATCAGCGCCTCATTGTTTCCCTCGTCGGGGGGCGCATTGTCACTTTGCTCTATTATTATCTCTCATTATCTTTGTCTCACGATGGTGTGGAAAGAAAATAATTCCTTTGTAATTGCATGGTTTTCGTTGAGAGAGGTATTTAACCACAGTCCAGCCCATAGGTCTCCGAGTATGCGGATCGAGTATACCAAACCCCTTCTTTACACATCTACAGACGTCAGACTCGATATCACTAACTTGACGCGCAAATATGAGCATCGCCAAGCTCCCAGTTGAGCTTTTCGAGGCCATCGCAGACCTGGTCGACTACGAAAGCGAGATCAATGCACTCGCCCGCACGAACAAGGATCTGCGCGAGGTCTTGAACCGACGGCTCTATAAGCACAATGTGCGCCATGGGGACAGCACGGCGCTAGCGTGGGGAATCGCGCACCACTCCATTGAAACCGTCAAGCTGATTCTCGAAGCAGGCGCCTCCCCCCACGAATGCGATCGGCGCATGGACTGGCGACCAATGGCACTGGCGGTCTACGAGGGACAGGAGGATATTGTGCGACTCCTGTGCGAGCACGGGGTCGATCTGCGTCAAGTCCGCGACTGGGTGAATCCCCGTCACCATGACTACTCGTCCTCCCCCGCGCAGACCATGAGCCTCCTGGCGATCGCGGCGAAACGCGGCCACGAGCCGCTGGTTCGCATGCTCATGGACTACCTGCCGCGGAAGGGCGATGTCGATTTCCCGGCCGACGGGCTGCGACGGACGCCGCTGATCGGCGCCGCCGAGATGGGCCATCTCTCCGTGGTCCGCTGCCTGGTCGATGCGGGCGCGAACCTCGAGGCTCGCGACAACGATGACCAAACCCCCCTGGTTCATGCGGCGAAAAATGGCCGGCATGAGGTGCTGGAGTTCCTCCTGAGTCGGGGGGCGGATCCCAACGTCAGATCTTTCAATGGAGCCACGCCGCCCATCTCCGAAGCTGCCCACCATGGTCATTTCGAGTGCGTGCGGTGTCTGATCAATGCGGACGGCGTGATGGACAGCCTGCCGAGTCTGGAGGAGACGAGTCACCCTCTTGTGTGCGCCACTAGAAGCAGGCACCCGGCTATAGTTGATCTCCTTCTGGCGCAGCCTCAGAGCTACGCGCAGCTCGGCACAAATCTACGTGCGATGCTGTGTGTTGCCGCTGCGCGGGGTGACCTCCCTGCTGTCCAGGGGTTTCTGGCAAACCCTGGTTGCCATCCGAACTCTGTGATCCAGTTCGTACAGGGTTCACTCAATGGTTCCCTCACGGCTCTATGTTTGGCGGCCGACCGAGGCCACACAGCGGTCGTGCAAATGCTGCTTGAGCGTGGCGCTCTGCCATCTAGAGAGGCGATCCTATGGCAGGAGATGTCTGTCGTCCATGACCCTGAGATGATCATTCGGGGGCCACATGTAAATCAGGTGGTTAGACAGAAAGCACTTCTCCAAGCGATTTATGGGGGCTTCCAGCCCATCGTTGAACTGTTACTTGAGGCAGGAGCCGATCCGAACGATGAAGACGTCTTCCATGGAACTGGCAACCCTGCTCTTATAGCGGCCATGCCGTTCCAGGGGATTTTCCAATGCCTGCTGGACGCTGGGGCTAGCCCTGGCCGGATGAATGTGGAAGAGACGACGGTCGTAGCCGCGGTTTTGGGCTCAGGCCGGACTGCACTGGTGCAGATGCTGCTGGACCGTGAATTTGACTTGCCGCTGCTCATGGGCCGTCGTACCAGCTTCATTCACCAAGCCATCGGAGGCGGTCGAGCGGTCTTTGAGCTTCTCCTGCAACAGCAACGATGGGACGACCTGCTACTCCCGGAGAATCTCACCAGCATGGCCTGTGAGGAAGCTCTCAGCGTGGCGGCGACCACCGGCCGAGTGGAGATGGTCCAGTTCCTGATCGACCAGGGGTTTCACGCTCGTCTCCCCCGACCCCAACAGGTTGACATCTTTTGCGTGGCGGCGAGATCCATGGACAGGCCTGACGCAGACCCAAGCGCCATCGTCGATCTTCTCCTCCGATACGGCGAAGATATCAATCAAAAGGTGGGGGGATTCACGGCCCTGGATAGAATGGCGCTCCTGCGTGATCTGCGCTGCGTGCGTCTGCTGCTCCGTTATGGAGCCAACCCGTTGCCACACAGTGGCACCCGGCGGTCGCCGTTGCTTAATGCTAGTATGACGCAAAGCACGGAGGTGATCGAGGCGCTTTTGCAGGCGATCGACGCAAATGGCACGCCTTCGGAAGTGGTCCGGCCTTACCTGGAAGCGGCGGCGGAAGCGGCGCGAGGCATGGGGTACTTGCAGTGTGAGAAAACCTTGCGGCAGTGGTATTACAGGAGGCTATATCCAGATAAGTCTTAGATCATGGTGGTTAGATTAGCTTATAAATATGCAAAAATTTATTGACACGTATGAGTATGCAGTAGTAAGAGAAGCATAGACCGTAGCTTTTACCGCCTTCTCATCTCAAGACCAATCATTCTAGCTTTATAGAGGCATAAGTCGCTGTGGATATAGTAGTGAGCGGAAAACCGCACCACGTGACATACCCGCCCGGACCTCTCACGTGCATCCACTGAACAATCCCCAGCTCCCGACCAGCTTCGCGGCCGCCAAGCTCACCTGCAAGCAAGCTTCAAACACCATCAAAACACACTCTCACTCAATTCCACCCACCATACACCTACGCACCCACTCCCACATAACACTTCAAACCCAATGTCTCAATAATCACCACCACAATAACCACAACGACCACAACCCACCACCTATCAAAAAAAGACACCTCCCAAAACCTCCGCGAAAGGCCATCAAAATGAACACCCAAGTCCACACCACCCTCACCACCCTCGACTCCGCCCTGCACACCCTCCTCACCACCCTGACCACCTCCCCGACCGCCTCCGGCGCCCCCGCCGCCGCCCTCGCCCTCCTCGCCGCCGACGACGCCCTCACCTCCACCATCGACGAGCTGCGCGCGCACCAGCGCAACTACGCGCGGCTGCTGGGCCTGCGCGCCGAGGCGCAGGCCCTCGAGGAGAAAGTCCGGGGCATCGTGCGCGAGGTCGTGGAGTTCGAGGGGGTGGTACGTGGGGTTTGTGGGGACTCGGACTCGGACTCGGAGGAGGATGAGGAGGATGATGATACTGTGTCTGATTACGAGGGGGATGGGGATACGGAGATGCAGGGTACGGATTCTGCGTTTACTGGGATGACGGGGTCCGGGGCGAAGCGGAAGCTGCGTGGCGTCAAGGAGGTGGATTACAAGCTTCTTCTGGACTTTGCGCGCCGCATTAGCAAGTATAATCATCAGGCGGCGGCGGATGCGGCGGCTGGGGCTGAGGAGCGGGTTGCGGCGGGTCAGGCTGGGAGGGGGTCGGTTAAGGATGCGGAGATGGGGGGGATTGGGGCTGGAGGCGCGAATGGGGATGCTACTACTGCTGCTGAGCCGGTGGCTGAGGTCACGAAAGGGGCGACCTCGTGGTTGGATGAGAGTGCCCAGTTGGCGAGGCAGGTGTATATGCTGCCGTATCCGATGGAGGATCGCATTCGCATGGGGCTGATGGGCCAGATTCAGTTGGCGGCGGCGGAGGGTCGGCCGGGTTTTCAGGTCGAGGCGGAGGTGGAGCGGTTGATTCGCGAGGCGGAGGGGTTGGGCGTTGCCGCGCCGGTGGCTGCGGCGCCGGGGCCGGAGGTCGCGGAGCAGGTTAGGCATGCGGATGAGGCGGCCAGGGCGGCGGCGTTGGCGGGCTCGTCTGCTGCTTCGGGGTCTGCTGTTGGTGGTGGTGGTGGTGGGAGTGGGAGTGGGGGTGGGAGTGCTAGGCCGGCTGCGGCGCCGCTGCCGGCCAAGCCGAAGGCTACGTTGGATTTGGATCTGTATGATCCCGATGAGGATGATGAGTGAGGTCTTGTGTACGGTACGGGGGGTTCTTGATTGATAGTGGCAGCTGGTCTGTCTTGATGATTTACGCGAAATGTATCTAATGTTGGGCGAGGGATATTTGGTCTCATGCAATCCTATGTGCGAAGCCTTTCGCCATTTGCGTCCTGTGTTTTCCCGAGAGTAGACTATTTGGAAGAGACACTGCCGTGGGTGGTGATTTCTAGCATGAAAGGCTGCATGGGATCGATCTTCTTGATCCAATGATATTGACCATACTCGTCGGCTGGCGAGCAGCTGCAACTATTGATGGCTCCACAGCGTCTGCAGCTTCCTCGTCTTCGAGTCCGTCTCCAACCCCAGATCCGCCTCGATCCCGCGCAGCAGGTTCACCAGTATTTGGCGTTCCTCCGGCGCTTCGAGGAACTGGCCCACTGCAAACAGCAGGGGTGTCATGTACACACGCGCACAACTCGACGGCCGAGCCAGCGCGATCCCGATGATCTCCCGGCACCGATAGTCGACCTCCTTGGTCAGCTCGCGATACCCCTGCACGCGGTCGAAGGCGGTGCTCGGAGCCGTGACCGCATCGGTCGGGCGGTTCAGAGATAATGCGAGGCGGCCGAAATGACACACTTGCATCGCATAGGCATACGATGGTAAGGAGTAGAAGATCTCAGGAAACGGGACAGGACTTGTCTCGGGCGGATGTGACAGGTTGCGCGGCTTCTCAAGGCGCACGCAAGGGCGGATCGATTCTGGCAGTCGTTCGACCCATGTTTGGTACTCAAATGAAAGCCCCAGCCATGTGGAAGTAGTGGGATACGGGGTGGAGCTCTCCGAGCCCTCACTAGATGGAGAGCGAACCAGTTGTTGCAGGGACGATTTCTTCGAGTCGGCTAGAAAGTTGACAACTTTGCAGGAGAGCCATTCCAGAGAATGAAAGGAGAGGTCTTCTTGGAGAAGAAAAGTGTCACTGGTAATCCCGATGCTCCCCTCATCATCAAGTGGTATACCGGCAGACCTCCAGAGTTTGAAATTGCTGGGATCCAAGTGTGTCTGCACGCGATTGAGAAACGAGCTCAAGTAGTCCTGACGGACAAAGTTCCAAAAAGCCGCAATAACGCCATGTGGGAAGCTTTTAAGGGCTGGTGTTATGCCTTCATAGAGGCTGACGATGGATTCGAAGAGCGGTCTGACACCGGAGAGATGTCTGTTTTGTGTATATCGTTAGTCCCCATTGAGATAGTAGATTTCCACACAGAACAAACTCACAAATGCCATTTCTCTGCCGGCTCATCCATCGATTTGTACAGATTGAGAATGGTCGAAACCGCGAGGGAGTTTTCTAATTTCTTCCCCAGAGCAGATTGAGTTTGTGAGTCGAAGGGGGCGTTCTTAGATTGATTACGCAGCCAGTCATTGATTGTCTCGAAAGGAGATTTCAGCACAGCAGAGCTTGAAACTGCTGTGTAGGACTCAGACAGAGCAGTGTTCAGTCGCTGGCCAGCCAGGTAGCCGTACATGGTGGCTTTATGCAGCCACTCTGAATCCGACACATCAGGGTACGTTTCCAGTATCGCAGGAGTTGTGAATAACCCAGTATTTTCGGTGATTTTCACTCCTTTCATTCTACCGAGGTGCTTCGCGGCCAGAGCAGTGATGGAGTATTGAAGAGCCACATCGTCTTTGGCTCGTAGCGGAACATGAGTCGCAAAGAACTTGCGAGGGTCAGAAAGATCTAACCTACATACGAATGAGCATAATGACAGCACGCGAGTAGGGGACACAAACCATGGCGCCAAGGTCTCGACATAGTATCGTACTAAGAATGATTCTTCATATCCAGAACCACTTATGAGATCGGAATACATGTCTTGAATGCTTTCATTTTCGTCTGCCTGAGATGGACTGTGCGAAGTATGCTCCGCATGTGACGAAGCTTGGCTTCGTCGAGGCGCCATCGCAACATTAGGGTAAGATGAGTTATCGAATGCGTGGTTCGAAGTACTTGAGCTTCGAACATCGTTCCATCCAGGACCAATGACGGGATCCGAACCTACCATGCGGGTCGGGTCAATCTCTCGACCAGCCCAGTCCGGAGTTCGAATAGCGTGACGTGCTTGCATGCTTGGGCCTGGAGAGCTTGCTTGAGACGATGCCCCTGCTGGGGAGTGCGACACAAGCTCACTCATAACAAGCGTTGAACCTGATGCAGGCGCTGTTGCTGCCCCAGATGGGAACTGACTTGGGCTTGGCATTGTCTGCTTGGCAGCGTCATGATTTAAGCTCGAAGGGTCACCCGGAGAAGTCTAGTCACTTGTAAGTATATGACTCTCATATACAACCCGACGAAGCTAAATCATAGGAGAAAATTGATAAGTACATACGCTCGTTGGGGCGCCGATTGGACTGTGGTGACGATTAGAAGCTTCCTCGCCATGATAAGGGGCGTACCGGCGCCTCACGGCAGCACCCTGATCAATGAACTTGCGCATTTGAACATATCCGGGACAGTCTACACCAGCATTGATGCATCGTTGACACTTCGGACGCGCTTCATCACACTGAATGGTTTAGCAAGCACCTTGGTCGTGGCAAAATGGCTGGACCAACCTTCAGGTGTCTTTTCTTGCACCGCTCGCATGCTTTATTGGACGGAACTCCAGGCATTGTGTCTGTTGGGTAGGCCACAATTCATGAAGGTCGCGTCTTCTGTGGTAGAGTCGAAATGACCCGCATCTCATCGCAAATCAGCAGACAACATGCTCATGGTTCTAGGTGTGGTTGTGGAGATTGTTGATAAGGATAAGGAAGTTGAAGCTCCTAGAAGCTTGGCAACCGGCTAAACCAGCATGGCGATCCTTTGGTTCAAAGGGGGATGTTTTCCCGCTCACGGAACAGCATTGTTCCGCCTTTCGCTGTGCAGAATATACACGACTCATGCAATCTCAATTCTACCATATTCCTATAGCTGTTGCCATCCGTTAAGGAAATCTATGAGCTTGTAGTCACAGCTTTTTCTAGGATAAATCTCACCATATAAGGTTATATGTGGTATACGTGGTATCAAATACCACGATCGTCAATCTTATCCCGCACAAGGAGCGCAACAGAGATGAGGTACACTACAATATAGTATTAACATGAGTAAATCTCCCGGCTGTGCTTTAGGCAGTAGGGAAGCTTCTACAATATGTACCTCCAGCAGTACACCTGAACTTTTATGATTCTCACACTTGTGATGTCCACAAGCTTTGTGGGTTACTATCTCCATGTTTAGGAGGGTTTATGAACTGATATGTAACAATAGATTCCCTCCTTCTTCCTGCAGTTAAACATCTCTTGCATGGGTAATATGGGGCACAACAATAGTAGTCTCGTGAAGGTTCTTGCAATGGGGAAACATCACTTCGAGCATGCACATTGCCGCAGTCGGGTCATGCTATCGACAGATCCACCACTTTCCCTGATCCCACAGTGGACACATCCCAGCAATGCTCCGGCTCGTATTGACTTGACGCAGCGCAGCAACATAGGCTAGGCCCAGCTCCAGAGGAAGACAAGCAAGGGGAGCCTTGAAGTCACACTCGTCTACTTCAGCTTCCACGCGAGGTTTAGGGACCAGGTTCAAGCAAATGAGTTCGCGGTCGGAGCCCGTCCCCCACTGCTTGCACCTTTTGAGCCTGAATTTCACTAGCTGTGGCATATGGCTCAGTAGCGATAGAACGTCACACCAGTTCCCTGAATCAAGCAAAACCCGATGCATATCGAAATGGCGCAACGATTGCGTTGCCAGTGTGGCAAAAGTGGCAGGCACAGAAACAGGGACTGCCATTTCGGCCAACGCAAGTAACTCCAGTACAAGCGTAGAAGAGTCCGGGGGTACATCCTGCTCCATTTTGTTCTCTGTCTCGGGTGCAGACTGGGTCAAAGAAGTTTCTGGTAAGTTGAGGAGGCATGCTAAGAAGTCTGCAGCCAATGATTGAGTCTTCGCCCTCGCGTCAGGGACCCTAATATATGGAGTCTGAGGCTAAGACGACGCATTCCTTGGAGAAGTCGCGCTACCTGTCTCTTTGAAGTAGCGAGTTCGCGCGGGGCCCCCGCGCTATGAGCCTTCCACCCGTCGAAAAACACAAGCAGACTCCTCAGTTTCAGCAGTGATGCCTCCTAGAAGCTCTGTACAAGGACTCGTGGAGGATTAATCGCTTCTAGATCACTAGTACTCGAATATTCAAGATGGACTACCATACTTTCGAGGTTAGGTAGGCAGGACAAGACTGTCGGCAGCTGCATTGTGATCCTTTCCCAGCTCATTCTTTCGGAACCGTGATCTGGGTCAATCAGATGCACCTGGCGGACATGTACCGCATATGAGCTGTAGCAGATCTCCTCCCATAGCCCCCGCATCCACGTCAGTGTTCGAAAGAAGTGTTCGGAAGCAAAATAGCAGAAAGTCTTGTTGATCAGTCGTAATCGGGCCAGATCATGCATCGAGACTGAATCAAGATGGGATAAATTGACACCAAAACAATCTATGACTTCACAGCTGGCAACAAATTCCACAATCTGCGAGCAATAGTCAGCTTGAGAACCCATCGCAATTCCAAAGGGGCCTTACAATGGACATAATCCCAGCTGAGAGGGCCATGTTTGTAGACAGTTTCTAGGTTTCAGGGTGGTTGCATTAAGGGAAGAGTGATTGAGAAGAAACAGGGGAAGAGAAAGGGATGTTTGCAAGAGTGTCATAATGAGCATCTGTTCGATATCTGTGAATCACTGTCTGCGCCATGAAGTGAATGATGAGGACTTGAAAATTGCTGTTATATCGCCCAAAAATGCCTAGCGGCCTTGTTTCCTAAATTGGCAGTCACTAATACTGGCCGGGGCCGGGGCCGGGGCCGGGGCCGGGGAGGTCACTCACACCTACTACGTACTCAAGTTCTCTCGTCATCCAAGGATGGGAAGAACGACAACAGCCTTGAGCTTCGTTAAAGACTGTCACCATCACTGTAAGATGGGCCCTCTCCTCCAAATCCGATGCAACCTCCGCCTACCATGTGTGCAGGGTTGGACTGTTATAGCGCGATACTTGCTAGAAAGTCAGCCGACGCATCGTCCCCGCACACAAACGACGCGGAGTATCACAAGAGCAGATCAAGTGTACACCATGAGACTACTCAAAGAGCATTGATCAACACTTTCAAGGATATAGTCATGGTATGAGCCTTGTACTTCCGAATTCTCTGCTTGGAATCTATAGCGACTGCGGCTAATTGCAAACCTGCTTCATCAGGCGTTGCATATCACACGAGAATGACATCTGCTTCACATGCGCTCTGAACCTTTGAGTAGACACCTATCGGCCTCGAAAAATCCAAAAGCATCTCTTTATATTATCGCCCACTACGAAAATATCAAATCCAGATAGACTCGTGTTTAAATAAGCTTATTAAGGGAAAAGCTCGGTATGGGGCACGAGGTCCAGCATCGGCGGGAGCCAATCCTTATTCCACGGGCTGGAACCACCAAGTATGAGAAGCATCGGGCTCCTTTCTTTCTAACCTAACAAAAAGCCAGGTTCTCGGCAAAACAGTATTCTTCATCCCAATCGCTTGCCGCTCTGAAAGGACCGAGGTCCGACCAAGGAGTCATGAGGACACCAAGGGCCTGTCTTGAAGCTAACAAGGGATAAGCGACTCACAAGAAACATCCCTCAACCGAGGACGAGGAAGTATTGGGCGATTTCAATCCTCCGCCCTTCGGTAATCGGAGCGCGATCATCCCTTGCAGAAACTGCCAGCGGATCATCGAGGTTGTGTTACATGCAGTAGCTTAATCAGGGTTACATGGCTGGCAGCTCTATACCCATTCATGCAGCCAGTTTGTGATGTGACTAGGATAATTGGCAAGTTTGATGCAATATGGCTCAATGAACAGGTCGCAGCCAAATGTGAGTCCAGATGAGCTTCGAAACAATCGCATTGGTGGCTTTGATTGTTTTAAGAAGACTGGTTGCCCCCCGCATCGGTGCCATGGTCCCTTTGTTGCTGTGGAATGTTTATAAACACTATATGTTCAATCCATCCCCACAACCGCCAACTCACTGGAGTCCAGCTTGGATAATATTGTCTGAAAATGGACCCACTTTCTCTTTCAAGGCTTCTTGGAGTGCTTGGATTAACAGTTTTAGCTTCTGCTTCTGTGACTCGACGAGTACTCAACGATCCTAGCGTGTCCTTTGATGTACTCGACTACATCGACCCGCTGATTGGAACTTCTAATGGAGGTAATTACTTAGCTTGGCCATAAAATGGCATTCAAAATTGACAAGACTGTTAGGTCATTCTTTCGCGGGTGCAACTTTGCCCTTTGGTACGTCCCAACCTGATCAGCCCACATCTGACTATTCTTGACAGCTAACTTCTGTACAGGCATGGCCAAAGCAGTAGCCGATACTCTTGGTGAAAATCAGGCCGGATTTGCCTATGACACGCAAAATGTCTCGGGGTTCTCTCATATGCACGACTCTGGGACTGGTGGTGTAAGCTCGACCTCCCTAGCCGGTGGCTGAGCTCATCATTAACCATTGGTAGTCTCCATCCCTGGGCAACTTTCCTATTTTCGTACATTCGAGCTGTCCCAGCGATGACCTAGATCAATGCGCCTGGCAGCAATCAGCGCGAGCCACAGCCTGGTCATCGCCCCAGGCTCGACCAGGATATTTCTCGATCTCATTAGATAATGGCATCTTTGCTGAGATGACCGTCACTAACCATTCTGCGCTATATCGTTTTACGTTTGAAAACGCTTCCAGCGAAACATACAGCCCTGTAGTTCTCGTCGACCTAATGGATCTTCCCCAGTCTCGCACAAACGGAACCGCATCGGTAGACCCATCGACAGGCAGACTAACAGGCAACGGCACCTTCAGTCCTAGCTTCGGCATCGGGACATATGACCTACACTTTTGCGCGGACATCAAAGGAGCACAAGTCCGAGATACTGGCGTCTGGCAGAACAACCGGGCGGGTCTCAACCAGACATTTTTATCGCTAACATTGGATGGCAGCAATTCTGCATCGACCCTAAGTGGAGGTACATTCGTCAGATTCAATGCCCCCACGGCCAATGACACGATTCTCGTCAGGGTGGGTGTTAGCTTCATCAGCGTGGATCAAGCCTGTGCCAACGCAGAGAACGAACAACCCAATTTTGACTTTTCTGGCACGGCGCGGGCAGCGGAGAGTGCATGGAGGGAGAAACTGAGCGCATTCAGTGTTGATGCAGAAGGCACATCGACCGACCTGCAGAAAGTGTTCTGGAGCGGTATTTATCGCGCAATGATCAGCCCACAGGACTACACTGGAGAGAACCCACTATGGCAGAGTGATGAGCCGTATTATGACAGCTACTATTGGTAAGTAACGCTGTGCCTCCGGTCAAGCTTCATCTAAAATTTTGCTTAGTATCTGGGACTCCTACCGCGGTGTGCATCAACTGTTGACACTGGCGGATCCTCTGTCGCAGTCATTGATGATCCGGAGCCTTATTGATATCTATCGTCATGAAGGTTATCTCCCCGACTGCCGCATGTCCCTCTGTAAGGGCTACACCCAGGGAGGTTCCAATGCAGATGTACTCTTGGCTGAGGCTCTCTTGAAGAACGTGAGTGATATAGATTGGGCGACGGCGTATGAAGCCGTGTTGAAAGATGCCGAAGTCGAACCTTCGAACTGGAATGTTGAGGGACGAGGTGGCCTGACTAGCTGGAAGACACTCAACTATATACCAACAGATGACTTCGATCCGTACGGTGTGGGACTGCACACACGAAGCATCTCCCGGACGGTTGAGTACGCCTACGATGATTATTGTATTGCTGAGATGGCCCGGATCCTGGGTCATGAGAGCGACAGCGAGAAGTATTCACAACGCGCCAAGAACTGGCAGAACATGTTCAAAGACGATCAGAGCTCAGCCATCAGCGGAGTGGACACGGGTTTCACTGGCTTTCTTCAGCCACGCTACCCGAATGGAACATGGGGATACCAGGACCCTATTTTCTGTAGCCCGCTGTTAAGCTTTGACTCGTGCTACCTGAATGCTAATGGTCATGAAACGTATGAAGGCAGTGCTTGGCTTTACTCATTGTGAGTATGTCTGATGCTTTGAGCTCAGATGAGAGCTAACATCTGTCAGTTACGTTCCGCAAGACATGGCTTCTTTGATCAATCGACTCGGTGGGCGTGAGAAGTTTGTCTCTCGACTTACGTACTTGCACAGTTCGGGCCTTCTCTACGTCGGTGACGAGCAAGCCTTCCTCACTGTTCATCAATTCCACTACGCTGGACGCCCTGGACTGTCCACAAAGCAGGCACATGCATATATTCCCTCGCAATTCAATACCTCAGTCTCTGGTATCCCGGGCAACGATGACGGAGGAGCCATGGGGGCGTTCGCAGCTCTAAGCATGATGGGATTATTTCCAGTCCACGGGCAGGATGTCTACCTCGTCAACCCACCGTTTTTCAAAGAGGTCAGCATCCTGAACAAGGTCACGGGCAAGACCGCCACAATCCGAAACATCAACTTTGATCCGACGTATCAGTCAATCTACATCCAGAATGCCACCCGAGATGGTCAACCATGGACAAGAAACTGGATTAGCCATGACTTTTTCACGGAAGGTGGAGTCCTCGAACTTACGCTGGGAACTGCAGAGAGCGACTGGGGGACCCAAGATGAGGATCTGCCTCCGAGTATGCGCGGTTGATGGACTAGACTCGTCATCACCCAATGGAATGTTATCTAAGTCTAGCTGCAACAAGCTCCTTGAGGAACTGTCATCGGAATGATTGCTTTCTTTGCATGCTCCTATATTTGGGATCAAAACTTCTTCTCACGCAATGATTATCGACTTTATCCTTCCTGTCATCTGACAGAACACTTGCCCTAAAAAGGCCACGAAGCTCAGCTAGGAGAAGGTACCAGCCTGGCCTCAGGTCAAGCCCTTATGCTACGGACTAAACCCTTTACGCAGTACTCGAGGTCTCTTAATACTGAAAATGACCCGAGAGGCTTTGGGGCTCTATTGAAAGCGTCGGCTAAGAACAAAAGACTAATAGGAAACTCACCTTTTGTATCATTTTCTTTGTGCAAGTCCACCCAAGCAGGGAACACATGTAGCAACTCAGGCCTATGCATCCGAAAGCCCTTTGACGGTATATAAATTGCGATGGCAAACCTGAAGATGAAATCATTCCAACGTACTGCACAAGGCTCACGTCTATAATCGACCCTAAAAGTGGCGTAAGTTTACGCCATGAAGATCATCAACCCGGTTCGAGACTTGGAGTCTCCCCGGACAGAACGCCTAACAATTTTCCATCCCTTCCTTAGGCTTCCACCCGAGCTACAGCTTCGAATCTGGGAGATGTGCCTCGAGGACTTCGAGCTTCTTCGGTGGAAGGAATTTGGTATCATAAGCCTCTATCCGATGAACACGAAATACTTCGACGGCGGCCCCGGCCGGCGGCCCCAAGTTGCCCAACGGCTCCACATCCCCGTCCCACCCCTCAAGCAAGTCTGCCATACATCCCGCCACGTTGCTGAGAAGTGGCTCAGACGAGGACAGGCTCGGCGCGTAGCGCTCGGGGCGGCGGATCCTGACCCTGACGGCGACGAAGATTATGGGGATTTCTCGTCACGGTCGTTCTGGAAATTCTCCGTGGTTCGATGTGGAAAGACCACGATGGGGGGCTTGTGCACTACATAACCAACTACTGGCAGAGTCCTTGGAAGGAAGTCTTGCTGGGTTACTGCCACCAGGTCTATCTCTCGCTGGACGACTACCAGCAAGTGCGGGCGCAATGGGAGGGAGGCTACCTACCGAAGCTGCGGTGGCCTCGCCGGCGCCCCGGGGGGCGAAGGCCGTGGCGCAACTGGGAGCTGACCGTGCCGTTGGAGGTGCTGCAGCTTGATCTCGATGCGCTAGCTGTGCTATTTGGCGGTGTGGTATACGGTCTGCAGAAAGTGCTTGTCGTCGTTGACGGGCTGCCGCGGGGTCGCGCCGGCCAGCACATCAAGACTACGGACTGAGTGATCATTGACGTGACAACGCCAGAGTATTGCGAGTGAAAGCGGCTAATGCGGGGCCAGCAGATGAACGTCGTGTGGAATGACGGCAAGAGTGTCTTTGAGCAAGAGGTCTATGACCTGATCGAGGCTGCGGCGCGCCGGGTGTCCTTTTGCACCCAGGGGGAGTTCACGATCATCCCTGCGATGGCGGAGCATAGATTTTGGCTTAGGTAGTCATTCATTCCTCTTGTTTGTGGACTTCTTGGTTACCGATTTTCTTTGTCCATGCAAGCACCTTGTGGTATGGTGGATAGATGGTGGACGTCCGTGAACTAGTTCAACCACGTCCACCCACCATACTACACCCTACATGCATAATCTAGGTAGATAATCTACCCGGTTTGATCTACTATATTCCGATCAAATTACATCATACCGAACCAATCTCAACACCAGCAGCATCAAACATCCTCCAATAAACAGCTACCATACCCTAGAAGCCCAGCACTCCCAGCCCGAAGTCAAAACAAGCTCATCCATACCCCACCCCAGCCCCCCTCAACCGTAGGCACCAGCATATCCCTTAACCTTAACGCCCTCCCTCAACCTTAAATCCCACACCTGTCAAAGCATCTACCATGAACTCTGCTATATGCTATGCAGCCCACGTAGCCAGCCGCAGGAACCCTCCTGTCTCACGTACAGCCCAAACATTGCTGCATTATCACTGTACGCGTGGCCCAGATGCAGGAACCGTCAACCCACCGTACAGTACAGTCCACCTTACCTCAACGTACGTGTCTACCGCACAGCACCGAGGGCCAAGCCACGGTAGATCAGATCATATCAGATCAGATCATCTAGGCAGCAACATTACCTGTTAAGCTTAGCTGGGCCTGGGCTTAGGGGTATGTACTGGACTGTCCTTCGCGTGATACCGCTACTCTTACTTTCGCCCGTTGAGGTTGCTTGTGAACGTTCGGACCGTTTGAGGTTTACGAGTGGGTACACGGCTCATTGGGAAGAATGCGGGATTGCGGAAATGTTATACCTGGGTTATGCATAGGTTGGTGGGTTGCCTGTAGAGGATATGTGTGGGATTTAGGAGGGAGATGGGTGGTCTTTCAGTACCATTGGATACTCAGGGGTATGTTGAAGATGTAAGTACCGGACTGCATGTAGCTGAGGGTTATACTGGGATTCGGTCGAAATTTCCCCTCTCCCCCCCCCCCCCCAACCCTCCAGCCTGATACCTTCTTTGGGTGATATTGGGCTCTATTGCTGTATCATCAAGGTTGAGGTGGGGTCTAGCTCTAGTCTGATCGCTCGATCGGGGACATGTGCTCTGCGTCTTGACATGTGCGAGATGGCAGTTTCTTCGAAAACTGGAGTGGATGTATAGCCCAGGGGACGAGATCCTGTCTCCCGCAGAGAGAGATGCTTCCCACACTATCATCTTGCTTCCTCCTAGCTCGAGATGAAGAGCTAGTATCATCTGGCCTCGATGCAATCCACCGGACACAAGTCCAATTCACCTGTACAGCTCGGATGATGTTATGTAAACGTATGATTTTATCGCTAGGCAGTGAGTCGAATACATTCCCAATCAAGATCAGATTTTTCCCTGCATGGCTATCGTCAATCGCCACGAGACACAGAATCAAGCACACCCCAATCATTTCCTCCCAAAGTGTTACCCATCCAGCTCTTATTAAAACATTAAGACATTAAATCATACCATCCCGTGCGGTCATTTTCACATCATCAGTCATAAGCAAAATGAAAGGGGAAAAAACGAACGAACAAACGAACGAGTACCTCGACCAGAGGCCAAAAGTCCCCTATTTCAAGCCGATCAGATACCAGACTCATATGGCCCATGATCGCCTCGGTGCTGGAACCCGTAGGGGTTCGTCTCGGCCCACTCATTCCACGCAATACACGTCTCTTCCAGGACATCTCTGTCCAAGAACTCCTCAAACTCACTCTGGCGCTCGATGATCTGCTGCGCGAATCCCTCCGCCGCGTGGAAGCCGATGTGGCAGTGGATCAGCCAGGCACCGGGGTTGTCAGCCTCAAACCCGATGACGACATACCCACCCTTGCCGTTTGCTGCGGGGAGGTTGAGCGTGTCGCGGCGCGTGGGGTTTTCTGTCTGCAGCTTCACCGTGGAGGGGTCATAGGTACCAAGGCCTTGGGCTAGAATGTAGAAATCGTGGCCTGATGAACTTGGTTAGGACGAGATCGTGAGCAAAGACAAGGAGAGCTTACCGTGTAGATGAATGGGATGAACGGCAGGAATGGTCGTCTGAATGATCAGCACGGTCCATTGATCCGCAACGCTCGCCTGGATCACTCCCTGGCCTGGCTCCCAGCTGGACTTCTTCGGAGCATCGGAGGTTTGCAGTAGGGTTGGGTCACTCCAGGAGGTATTGAAGATTTCACCTCCCATCTTCCATAGGTAGATCGGTGGCTTGCCAATGCCTCCGATGCCAGTATCAGAGGTTACCGTGTTCGCCTCGCCGAGGTCTGCGTTCAAAGCAAGTTTCGGGACAAGGGTCGACGTCGGAAAATCCTGACAGTCGACGTCGCCCCCATAGTTCCATTTTGTCGACCGCGGATCCGAGCTCGGGTTGGATCCCCTGTAACGCAAGATGCCTTTGATGTTGTCGGCCGCCGTGTTGTTGCTGCAGTACGATTGCGGCATCGCGCGAATCCAGTAGTTATCCGGTCTTTGGTTGGCAGTCACGATGATATCGTACCGCTGGCCCATTCCAATCGGGACGTGATTCGTCTTGAATGGCACCATTGGGACGAAGTCAGCCGCAATCACGGTGAGGTCATGATTGTCGATCGAGAATTTGAACTGCGTGTGCATGGCAGTATTGACCAGACGGATCCGATACCTCCGACCTGGCACAAAGGTAGTCTGGAAGCGTTGGCCGACAGTAGGGCCATGCTTGGGAACCCAGATATTCGTCCCATTCAACAAGCCCGTCACCATGGTAGGCAGCCGGCCACTATTGAGATCCTCTTGATAATAGCTATAATAGGTCTCATGAAGCCAGTCACTCAGAAAGAGAACACCCAGGTCTTGATCGTAGTCAGCCGTAGAAGGGCCATGGATCACGATGCCTCCGTAGACGCCCTCCCAAGCCTGGAGAGAGAAATGCGAATGGTACCAGCTTGAACCGTACTGCTCGGCCTTCCAGACATATGTGTAGCTTGATCCGGGAGGTACAGGGCATTGAGTCAGAGCCGTTACCCCGTCCATTTGGTTGTTGTTCAGCTGTCGAATCCCATGGAAGTGGATTGCAGTGCCATTGTCCTGCATGCGATTGGTGACATGCACCTTCACTGTGTCTCCCCAGTTTGCCTCGATGGTTGGACCTGGGAATTGTCCATTGACAAGAAGCACCCGCCGCTCGACCCCATCAGGTGCACGAGTGGTATTGATGATGTCGAAGAAATACTCCCTCACAACGCCTGTATCCGGGGCAGACTTATAGTAATTTGTATTGATGTCAAATCCTTTCCAAGGCACCTGAGAGTTCTGTAACGACTGACTCTGATTTGCGGCCCTTGCCTCCAGCTGAGACGTCTGTTTGAATGGAAAGAGATCGTGCGCAATCGGACTGCTCAAGGCCACTGAGGCCAGGAGCCATAAGAGCAAAAGGAAATTCATTGAGTAACGAGGGGAAATGGAAACGAGGACCACAAAGGAATAGACCGATTACTGACTATCCTGACATGGGTCCCCGCCTTGGACCCACGGCTTTATACCAGCACCCAGACCGAGCCGGTGACTGTAATGTTTAGCCTTGGCCTATTCAGGATTCCAATTCGGCTCATGTTGTCTGCTCTGTCTCCATAAATCAGCCTTCCGGTCTGTCTCGCCCCGGGGAATACTGATTTGCAGGGCTCGGTGACTTCCATGCAGCACTGGCCTTGACAGGTCTTCCCGAACCATCGTTCATACTCGGATCTAAAGCAGCCCTAATGCAAGCAATCCCCCAGCTGTACGGATCTCCACCCAGTCATATGAGTATGAGACCTATGGAGGCATCCAATGACGGACACGACGAAGTTCTGAAATGACCGCTAGCGCAGCAGCAGATCGACTTTTTGGAGAGCAATTTTGCGAGGAGGAAATTCGGACCTCAATTTCTGATTTGCAACCAACTCACACTCGTATCTAACATCGCAAGCCCTACTTGAAAAGGAATGAGCCTTGACCTCGTGGCATATTGACTTCTGCATGATGGCCGGCCCAAGGCTGTGAATAAGCGACCATGGATCTCCATCCCAGGGAGAACATCAGTCTCTGGAACCTCGCCTATGAGAGAAACGAGCGTTCAGACCCCGGAAATGCATATTCAGCATTGAGCTCGAGCGGATTGGCCGGCGCACTTCTCGGATCACAGCCAGCTTTGCTTCCAAGAATGATATATGTCATGATTCATGTCCTTGGACGATTCAGAAGCCGACTACCGCGGCGCACACTGTGCACCAAAATGCTCGCATTACTGCAAGCCTGAAAAGTAGAGTCATTTTCACCCGCACTATTTACCGTCCGCCAGCACATGGCATGCCTGACGCTGATATCGGGCGCGTTGGGAATGGTGCTGACCGCTAGTCGTCTTTTCCTGACACCGCTCAGACATATTCTCCATCCGCTCGACGTATCAGATATCAGGTTCTTCCGGAAAGAGCTTGAAAGGCGGCTCATCACTCAGAGATCCATTCTTGAAAGTGGAGCGACACATGAGGCTCATTGCGTTAATTTTAGAACCCAGTGAAAATGAATCTCTGAAGCAGATAATCCGACAGGTGAGAAACCTTCCGTAAGAGGGGAACTTGTTTGGAAACGTAATGACGTGGGACCTTGCACCTTGCTACATAGAAGATCCTTGGCCAATTGTGGGGAGACACCGCAGCATCGGGGCCAGGCGAGCGTAGTGGCCTTGGCGATTGGGGCGGGATTTCTGTCAACAGGTAGAGAAAGACGTCGGTCACCCCAGTGCATGTAGAGTCTCGCTTGAGGGTACCCAGGTGACCGCGTTGCATAGAAAGATAAGAAGAACGACCACAGAGAAAGCAGAATGTAGCGAAAAGGAATGGGAAAAATAAAAAAAAAAAGCAAAACTAAATCACCCGCATTCTGGGCCAAGCAAGTGAGGGATCCGCCTTGTCAGGCATTTCCCAGGCCAACATTGAAGAGTCATATTCTCAACGAAAGCCTCTGATGCAGTAGGCTTTTCCCGGGCCCATCGTGGGGCACTAAGTCACTAAATCTTGGCCTTGTATAGATTGACAAATTAAGCGGCCCCGCAAGCCACGAATGCACTCTATACGAACCCGATTAGCGAAATCACGCCAGCTAAACCCACTCGGGCCGTATGACGTGACTAGTAGAATGGCGGCTCAAGCCAAATTTCGAGCTCAAAGTTGGAGATAGGGACAATGGCCAAGCTCAAGTTCCTCAACCCATCGGAGAGCCCGAATGGGAGTCGAGGACCTGGCCGAAAGTTACGAGTTCATGCCCTGCAGGAATGCCAGGGGCAGTCAGTATGCGCTGGCATAACGCCGCCAGCTCTCCTCCCTCATTCACGAGGGGCAAAATCCACCGAACATGGGCTGGACATGATTTCATAACTTATCCCCCGAAGAGACATTAAGCGTCAGGGGCTCGAGAAGATACGGGCGCGCGCTCATGGCGCGCAGAGTGTCTTGCGGTGGGTTCCAATTGGCGAATCTGGATTCCAGCACTATGGCCTCGGATGAACCGGCCCAACGGCAATAGCCATGTCTGAGTAACGCTCTCTCGGTTTGGGGGGAAATGAATCTTGTCGCACGCACAAAGGACCGACCCGCGCGGTGCACTCCGCCACGTGCCCGGCAGATTCTGAAGCCAACCAAGTGCGCGCTGCGCCCTCGTTAGACCGAGTCCTGGTGGTAGAGAGGCGTAATCATTACTGCGTAAGAACAAAGATGGGGGATACGTGACGAGAGCAAGACCATTCACAAAAACATCCGATATCCAGAGACTTAGTAGCATGAACTACGCTTCTTGCTGTGTGTGTTCAGCTGCCAGGGTGGAGTCTTGGTCCTGCACTATTCCTAGTCCAGTACTGAGGCGACCTGCTGGAGCTAGGGATCTTGTGATCAGTCGTTCCTTATTGGAGATCGTTGGGAATATTCTGCCCATGATTACCACTGGGAACTAGTAGAGTGAGATCGCGTGTCCTGACAGCTAGTGTTGAGAAGATGCCGCTTAGAAATCGTGCTAACTTGTGCTATTGGGCATTAGGACCGCCTGCTAAGCACCACCAAGACGCGGCACACGTGGAGCCTTGGGTTGTTTAATTCTTTTTCTTCTGGGTGCGAATTGCCTCCCAGTGATTGTACATCGTATTCGGATGACCACCTAAGACGCAAAGGAGTCTTTCTTAGCCAGTAATGCAGTCGGGGGTGGGTGCCAAGCTGTTGACCTACAGATCGTGGCATGACAGCCAATCGTGAAATCAGGACCTCGATGGACGAGTAGAAGTCAGGCTGCTGAGGTTCTGGTAGACACACTAGTAGTTACATACTAGCTGATAAGCAAGATCAAGGATCGGCAATTTAGTGCTGGAGCTGTGGAGAGGGAGTGACCGGGGTGAGGGGGCTAGAGTTGTTGGTGGGTTGGTGGGTTGGTGGGAGGTTGAGGAGGGAAAAGCAAGCAGCTGGGAGAGTTAACCGAAGATGGCGATCCTTGACGGGCAGCCACACTGGCGGGCATTCCCCACGTTGTTGGGGATCATGCCATCTCCGCCTTCACCTTTGTTTTGACCTTTTCCCCAAGTTCTTGGGATAATCTTGGCCGCAAGCAGAGCTCATGATAAGAGACAGACTAGATTGTCGTCTCGTATATCTCCAGATTGCTCCCAGTCCGTCCACAACGCAATGCTCTGTGTCCCGCAAAAGACCGTGCAATGATTACCTCGACGCTGCAGCATGTGAAAGGCCAGCCAAGCGGTCACCCCAGTTCTTGCAATTCTTACGGTGTGGGACATACCTTGATTACCAGAAGTCGGCAAACTGACAAGAGAAACCAAGACCTCCAAGTCAGAGATCTAGAAGCCTCTGAGCTCGGCTCTCGCCAGAGTGTACTTGCGCAAAGCCGAGCGGCCTGTGCGGGGACTAGCCGGGGTAATGTGAAGCTATCGCGACGCCAATTACGTACTCCTGCTCAGCTACGCCAGCATTTTTGTTTCTCTGCACCGCAAATACATCATACAACACGATGTCTTGTTGGTATGATGGACTGCCGTGGAGGAAGAGGGGAAATAGAGGGAGTCCGAAAGGACTACAAGCACAAGCGATGCTGATGAACCAACGATTCCCACCGTTGGCTCGCTTGCAATGGTTGCTATTTCCGCCCACTATGAGCAAGAGATCGCACCCCACAGGGATCATTTACTAAGGAAGATGATTTTACGGGGTTAATGGCAATAGCCGATCGACATACGCCGACGCCTGCGTGCAGCACCGCCGTTAGTGCGACCGATCCGTACGTGAGATATATGAGGATCTATCTAGTGAGTCGACTAGTTCTGTAGCTTCGATCTGTCCTAACAGGCATGTTATAATTTATTGGACAATTGGAAGAATGAAGAGGTGGTACAACAAAGTGCCCGTCTCAAACCCTTCCTTTCGGCGTCAGATCAGAACTGTGCAACGCCTCAAAATAGGACAATTTCTGCTTGACTAACTAACTATCCCCTGCGCCTCTACGCTGATCCAATCCCAACACCGATCTAACGCAACAGCATTACACCTAAAAACAGCTACAGCTCAACGAGACCAGTCTTACAAAGTTCACACTATATCCACACAATAATCATACCCGTAACCTATTTATACACATCCAACCCAGAAACAAAACCCCTTCCAGAACGAGTAATAGTCCCTCATTCCTTCAGCGGATCATGACCCCAGTTCTTCAGCGACCGATAGCTCTTACTATCCGTGTTCTGCTTCGCGGTCTCCTCCTGGGCCAGATGCCGCTTGCAGTATGACACCACCCTCCGCATATGATCGATGTCCTCATCCGAGTACTTCGAGGCATCTTTGGACGGGTTGCCTTCGAGGATGTCCACGATTTTGCGACCACTATCAAATGCGGGAAAAGACACACTCAAGCTCAGCATACATGCGAAATTACACGCAGGGCTACAAGGATGATCCCTGACGCAAAAAGAAAAAAAATGAGAGGGTGCGGCTTACCTCTCATGCCCGATCGTCTCGCCTGACTCACTGTTCTTGCTCCAGCCGGAGGATTGGGACTGTTCCTCTTGGAGCCAATCGCGGAGCTCGTTGGGAGTCATGTTGACCAGCTCGTTGAATTCGCTGGGGTTTTGTTTTTTCCCGGATCAGCGCTACTTTTATTGGAGTGGCTCGTGGGTATGTTGGTTTTAATGCTTACTCGATAACCGTGTCCCTGCTTTTAACCATTTTGGAGTTGGTTTATTGGGATTTTTCTTGTGTGCTTGGGGACCAGAAGTGTGGTTGAATTACCAGCTGTTTTGTACCTTCGGCTGGGTGGGCGTGACGTCACCCTTTTCCGCGAACAAACACCGGCGTCATCGTGTGTATTGCATCTGAGCTGGCTGCAAACGCGGTCGGTTCCGAGATTCTATCAGAGGATTCTGCGGAGAATTACTCACCAAGTTAGGCAGAGTTCGATCGACCTCGAGTTTGGTTGAATTTTCGTGGTTCGGGGTAACTCGGTTACCGAGCGAACCATTTCTAGGTAGCCTCGAAGGCAGATAATGCAGCATAACATGAATACGCTGTGCGCTATAAAGTCCCTCATGTTCAATTGCGAGTATGCCTACAAATCCACTCATCCTCCAACAATTCTCTCGCTGAGCTACGCCGAGCAGGGTCCCACTGCAACATCTTCCGCACCAAGCGCAAGAAATCGGCCTTTTCCTGCCCTTCAAGGGTCGTTTCCCTCTGCTCAAGCGATATTGGTTCTTGCAATGGAATACCAGCACAGAATTCACCTGTAATGCCAGACGGGGTCAGCAAACATTGAACGTTTCACGGTGGAGATTACCTTACCTTCATCAGAGAAGAACTTGTGCTTTAGTCTGCCTCGAGCAAGCAGACTGGGTGGAGGAGGTCCAAGCAGGCGAATGATCTCTGCGAGATGGGCCCTACTTCGATACGTCTGATATTCTGGGTCGTATCCGGTGAACAGGGATCCGCCTTCAAACACATTCCAGATCTGTGAGAAGAGAGAACGTCAGAAAGCTCGCACGCAGCCAGGATCATCAGCGTCATTCGCTTACCATGCAACCAACATTCCAGATGTCAACACTATACGTCCACGGGGCCTCGAGGATCACTTCCGGTGCCCGATAAATATCAGGTTGAATATCCTCGAGGTGCTCAACATCACCAGGCATAGCTGAGCCAAAGTCACAAAGGACCGGGGCACCCCATTCCTTAGGCATCCCAAGCTCCCGGGATACGTAAATGGTCCTGCCATCAAGCTCTTTCCTCGGACAAGGGGTCTGAAGCTCTTCCTCAACAAAGTCCTCAAAGACAGAATCATCACCAATGCCGAACATAATATTGTCGGCCTTAATATCTGATAAACCTGAAGCGTAAGCATCACGAATTAAGGATCTCGGGGCACTCAAGGGGTATTGTTGGTAAATATACCAGTATGTATGATTTGGCATTCCGTATGTAAGTAATCGAGCGCCAAGAAAACGCGCTTGAGAATGAATGCCAGGACAGGCACAGGTAATCTTTGCACCGGATTACGATGCAGAAAGGTCAAAGTACTCTCCCATAAAGGAGGATGTACCAGACAACGATGCTTATCGCCAGGTCCATCAATATCGAAAGAGTCAAGTAACGATCTAACAGCGCCACGACCTGGGTGGCTTTTCGAGCCCCTCTCTATACATCTGTACATGTTGAGCTCGTCATCCAATTGCTGTCCAAGAGATGCAGATGTGATGTAGATCTTAAGGGTAACATATCGACGATAACTTCAAGTTTGGCACGTGAGCAGGTTTGTTTTCAAACGGTCACTCTCATTTACGGCAAGGAATGCTCACTTCATATCCCGCGCAAGCCACACAGTCGAGCTAGCTCCGAATCCCAGTTTCCCGACAATTTGATATTGTTCCTTAAGAATCTCACCTATCCGAGCAGGATAATAACGAGAAGGAACATAGTCTGGCATAGTCTCTTCTTCAACTTTTTGACTGAGAGAGATCGGGAGGAAATTCGCGTTGGGGAAATTGAGGGGCTTCCATGTCCGTCCAAGCCGAGGTAAAGATCGTAAGAACGACGGTAACATTATCGAGAGCGATGCGAATGCACCTTTCGACTATCTTATCTGAAGCAAACAGGAATATGAAATGTTATCAGCACCCTGCGCTGGTACAGATGATGTAGATGGCAAGGAAGCAAGGTACCTTGGGGAAAGGAGGACGTGAGGATCATTCTATCACGTGATGCAACCCAGCTGCACGATCATCTGAAGGAGAGCAGGGACGGGAAAAGAAAACAACCTCCGCGTAGCAGGTTCTGCACGAATGTGACCTGTTAACCAGTCAATACGTCTGCATGCTCAATACTCAGAACGATTCTTTAAATCAAGCAGGCGCTTTCAAGCTCTGGCTTGAGCATACCGATTCAACGGTGCTCAGGTCATTGCGCAATCCGCGTGAAAATGACAAAGATGACCAGTGGAATTTAAGCGCTCGAGTTTAACCTGCTAGACATAATAAGGCACCGGCTCAACGATCCCTGTAATCTACCCATCAATGAGAGCTCGACAGCAACCGCCGCTATACTCTAGTATCATTGAGTTCTCTTGCGCAAACCCAGGCACTATGCTACATAGGCTTCATTGGTTGCGACCACCTTTCGCCGTCGGAGCGCGCTTTGTTCCATCATGTGTGACTAGATTCAACACATTTCAACACATGAGATCCACCCAGCGGCTGTTCGAATGCCAGAGGCTCTTCGAGACAACCCAATGAAAACAGCCGGTCCGGTTCCTCTTGCATTGGAGACTTGCTCTAACCGCTGAGTATAGTACATCTCGTCATGGGCATGGGCAATGTTCTCAGCATTTAAAGTCTCGCAACGTCCTCGCACTCAGCATCTGTGGATCACTAACTTTGCGCATGTCAGCTCTGAACTCTGCTTTCCCTGTCTCAAAGTCATATATAACTCTCTCCTTTTTAGCAGTTTGAAGCACATTCGTCATGTCTAGAGCTTTTTCGACCGCTCGTCAAAGTCTCGCGAAATGGCTGGGGTACAATAAAGAGCTACTGCCTAGTGACTTCAGGAATGCCGCTGAGCGTTACTCCGAGAACGGTGCTGTGAAGGTCTATCATAGATTTACTGATACCTTTCTCTCTGCTAACTCGCGATTAGAAAGTCGGCAAGATCGAGTCCATTGAGATCTTGTAAGTACCACTTCAGATTCCTCCTAGGTACTTAATCACTTATCCATAAGCCATAGGCATCGCAACGACGGCAGCAGCCCTGTACACCAGTCTCACTTCAATCGAAACGACAAGGCGCTGGTTATCAGTGCCCGCATTACACCGGCTGACGGTAGTCGACCTCGAACCCACCACATCTATGCAGATGGTACTGGCACTATCAAGAAAGGCGACAAGCGCGAGTATTCGACGTCTTCCGGTCACAGAGCTTAAGCATTGCCTCTAGAGAGAATATTTTCCAATCACACAAGGCAATATGTTGACAACTCTGTGTTGTTATGTTCTAGTATGCTGGGATCGGAGGGAGAGAGGTGATCATGTCTGTTTAGAAATTTTGTATTCTTAGCACTCTATACATATCGTCACAGTGGGCTATTTGTGTGGGTTCTTGTCTTTCTTGGTGCTGTAGCTTGTCTAGGCACGCTACAGAGAATAGACACTACTACGATCTCTATTCAGATCAGTCCACATCAAAGTGTGCAATGTATATGAAGCCATATTGTTATTTCGACCTTGACTAACGCCTGCCCAATAAAAAATATGAGCAGATAACCAGGAAATACCAATTTTTTGGGCTTCCTAAGGTATGTGAGGCAAGGAAGAGCAATAATTAACACCTATGAAATGACCAATCACTGCTCCTGAGACACTAGTTGACCTATGATCCACTTTCACATACAATATGCGCATGTTAGATGTTCACCACAGTGTATCTGTCAAGAAAAGGCCCTCATCGCAGAGACAATATGTGGTGGCTTTGATGGTCCCATAGAGACCAACTTCGTTATTAGTGGAATAGGTACAAAAGCATTTATCCTCGGGTGATGCTTTCGCGATGAGATAAGATTATGGTCCAGCAGTCATGTGCTATACCCAACATTGCGATAGACTCTACTCGAATCAAATGTCAGAAGCTCAGTCATGCCTTTTTTACAGAGATTGGGACAATAAACAAACGCATCGGAATGGTTGCATAGAAATACGAAATTGTTCCGTTGAAGCCGAAATATGCATGCACTGAATGCTTGGCCATCAGAGCACCTTCTTCTTATGCAAGCTTGAACTGACATTTAGTGCAGAGATCGTTTCTCCTACCCATTAAGCTGTTCCAGTGCGAATCTTTTGCTTTGACATGAAGTCAAGTCCACCAACTACCCGTGTAGGCGTAGGTGAGGGATATTTGAGTTGGCGAGGAGATGATGGTGGAGGCATACGTCGAGATTGTTGCTCGGTTGAGTATGATCACCCACATATGGATTATTGGCCCCTTCGTTGCGGGCTTTGATGCCTCTTGATGCATCGGTTCTTCGACATGAGACCACCATCCATAGACTAACTTTCGCCGGGAATAGGCCCGAGGGATAATTGCACGCTCTCATCCGTCCTAGCCCAGGCGAGTATGCCGGCAAAAGACAGAACGCAGACGGTCTACCGAAAGCCGCCGAGGGCAATTCCGCACCGCTGAATCTGCTTATAAACGAGCTCCTTGGCGAGGTAATCTTGGGTGGCATCAATAATCGTATCAAGCTCATCAACACCATCGAGACCTATCTCCGCCAGTCCGTTTGGCACATCGAAGCGAAATAGGCGGCTTGCATCATCCAGCTCGGTATGTTCCCTGATGAACTTATTCATGTCCCTCTCCGTATCGACATAGTCCTTGGGCATCGTCTTGATCAAGCCGAGCATCGACTTATTGAGCCGCTTGATCGACGGTACGCCGGTTCCAATCGATATCAGACATTGGATCTGGCTATCCAACGATCCTGAAGGCCAGATTCCTCTGGCTTCTATCCAGACCTCCCGCACCGGGTTATTCGCTTCGGTGGTACTGTTGTAGAACTGTCGTCTGCTGGGGCCGATCGGAACGGGGTCGAACAGTGGTGGTGTGGACATACTCGCTTTCCCTGCTTGCCACACCTTCGCGGTCTTAAACAGCTCATTGGAGCAATATTTGCTGGGGTAGCTCGTCAAGGGGGCAGAGTTTCGTTTGGATCCGTCGTCTGTAACGCAGGCAAAGCTTCGTCGGGTCAGTCTTGCCAACTTGAAGAGAATGATCAATTCGACTGCATGCTTACACTCTGCACGAAGTATCAATGTCCCTCAGAAGCACATCGTCCTCATACCCAAGCTCGTGAAGAATTGCTTTCATCGCCGATTCCACCCTTCGTCCATCGTATTTCGACTGCCTGCACAGGTTGCTTGTGAAAGGGATATGTCTTTTGCGCGCGAAGACGAATTTCAGGAGTCGTCGGTAAGCATTGATACACTGGTCGATGTCCATCTTCAGACGACCTAGCATAATCGCGATCAATCTATAGTAGTTTAGCTGGCGACCGATGCTGCTGTGCAGTTATTGCGCAAGATCAGCTTACCCGCCCGAGCCCGAACCTCCGATGAGATCAAAATAGTCGCATGGCCGCGGCGTATTCTCGCCATCAATAGATTCCATGATGTGCTTGAGAATATAAAGTGAAGAGAGGCTCCTAACTCCCCCGCCATCAAGGCTGAGGAGACTGATGTTGCGCTCCACCATCGATACAGTCAGTGGTTGTGTTGACTATAGATGTAAAGTCAATTCGAATGCTGTTCCAGATTCTTGAAGTCACTCATTTCGGGAGCTTGAACGTCTAAATACGAACAGAAGGTACAATAAAGATTTTCGGTCAGATGAACCGCCTCATGACCCCGCGACGATGACGCAAAGTTGCTAATCCAATGAAGCACTATCGGGGCTGTGATTAATGCAGCCAGTGGCAGGGGAGCTCCTGGTGACAGCATTTCCGACCCGGTGGGATGATCGACACTGTCAATGCGGGCTAGTGGCAGGTGTTCATCGAATGGCATTGACGCCTCGTGCCTCGGGCATGTCAATTGGCGATGCCCAAGCCACAGACACGGACTGTCATCGTTAACTCTGATTAGATGAGCTTCTCCGTGTTGGAGGCTCCTGTGTCGCGCTTGGAGTTGAAAATCATAGGCTGCCATGGCCGCCACGTAGGGACGCTTAGCGCCATCAAGCTCCAAGGCCGGAATTTCCAACTATCATTGGGTCTCGGATGTTAAATATCCTTCTGCCTGAACTTACTCGATGCTGTCCACGGCTCTGTGTGGGAGCGCATCATTCGTCTTGTATGATCTCGTGTGACATTTAGGCTTGAAGGCTCGAAATTTACATTCCTTCCGCCTTATAGCATATTCAAGATCCAGCATTAGCATGAGACTCATCAGCCCTGAAGCACCAGGCTCTGCGTTATGTGTGATAATTGAGGGGCCTTCTTTTCGCTTGTTGTGGTGGGAGTGATGGTCTTCGCTGCGTCCTTTGCGATAGCTCCGACTGGCTTCCTGTCAACTATACCAGGACTGTCAGCAAATGATTCTTATCAAAGAGATCAAGAATATCTTCAGATACAACATTAATAGACACTGATCGAAAATGGACGTATCGGGTTAAAGATTCAGACAGCGAAGGGGAGGCGGAGAGAGAGAAGAGCTCGGAGAGCTCGGAGAGCCTCCGACAGGCGGGGTATTTCGATCCTCTCCACCCTCACCTTCACACTCTATAGAAACTACCCCACGATCCCCACCCAAGCTCTACTTTACTTCTACCACTTCCCTTTTACAACAAACCATCGTCCAACCACCCAAGATGGTCCTCGCCAAGCCCGAAAACAAAACTGTCCTCAAATCCTTCGACCTAACCGGCAAAGTCGCCGCCATCACAGGTACAACAGTATCTCCATCCCAACCATCCACCTCTCTCTCACCAACCAAACAACAGGCGGCGCCCGCGGCATCGGCCTGGAAGTCTCGACAGCCCTAGCAGAAGCAGGAGCCGACGTGAGCCGCCTCCACCCCCTTCCAAACCCAACACCATCCCGCCCGCTAACAATCTCATTCCCCCCAAAAAAAGATCGCAATAATCTACAACAGCTCCTCCCCGGAAACCGCAACGACCCTCGCATCGACCCTGGCCTCCGCCCACAACATCAAAGCCAGCGCCTACCGCGCCGACGTCTCCGACCAAGCCTCCATTGCCGCCACCATCCAACAGATCGCCACCGACTTCTCGCGGCTCGACATCATCGTGGTGAACTCGGGGATTGTCTCCAACGTCCCGGCGGATGAGTACACGCCTGCCCAATGGCACGAGATCATGAAGGTCAACCTCGACGGCGCCTTCTGGACCGCCCAGGCCGCCGCGCGGATCTTCAAGGCCCAGGGCCATGGGAATGTCATCTTCACGGCGTCGGTCAGCGCGACGCTGGTTAATGTGCCGCAGAGGCAGGCTGCTGTATGTTCTTCCTTCCCCAGAGTCTTCCTGTGATGAGATCGGAGTGAGCTGGACCGCAGCTTGGGAAATGGGCGATCCAAGGGCTGCGCTGATGAATATGTCTTCGTTGGGACCGGGCTAGTATAATGCTTCCAAAGCGGGCGTCGTGCAACTGGCCAAATGCCTGGCCGTCGAGTGGGTGGATTTCTGTCGTGTGAATTGCATCTCGCCCGGGTTCATCGAGACGGATATCTTGGACATCCATCCGCAGGAATGGCGGGAGAAGTGGTTTGGTATGATCCCGGCGCAGCGGATGGCGGACGCTTATGAGTTGAAGGGGGTAAGCTCTTTTGCCCTTTTTGGATGCGTCTTGTAGAACCTTGAAGCAAATGCAGATGCTGACAGGATTCGTTGGGGTTGGTTAGGCGTATGTGTTCTGCGCGTCGGATGCATCGAGTTATATGACTGGGGCGAATCTTGTGATTGATGGAGGGTATACGCTTCCATGATGCATCCAACGGAGCCGGAAGAGAAGCGAGGATGTATGGCTCAGGTATTATACTATCTCATCATCTTCTTTTTTTTTGGTTTTCTCTTGGTCATGAAATTAAGGTAAGAGGATGCAACAACTCTAGTCTAGCTATACAAATATACGTATACATGGATATCATAACAGTCCGACACCGAATCTCGTCTACACCAATCTGAAACACCTCGTGATATAGTCCCGCATCAAGCACATACATAGTCCGAAGTTCCAGGTGTATTCTTAATTCTCAATTCCCTACCGACCATCAAAAGTCTCATTGCTTGTTGACACCGCTCGTCGTCCCCAGCCACTGAAGAGCCCGCCCCCATTGGCAGGCTCTGCGGGTGCTTTGGATAAAGGTATACCCAGACTAGATGATGACCGGCCCAGGAACGAGAGTCGAGCTTCTGTGTTTTGGCCATTTCGCGAAACCACCTTGCGCAGTGCGTCGAGCGCTCCCTTGACCTCCTCGAGTTCCTGGCGTGCCACTGCCTCGGCTGTCTTTGCATTCACCAGTTCCAAAAGCAATGCATCTTCCGCGGCCGGCTTGTTGTTTTCCGTCGCCAGGACTGATTGCAGCCCCAAGCTGCTCGACCGCTTGTTGAATGTTGTGCTCTTCTGGCTCTTCTGCGAATTCGTACGTACCAGTTTGAGTTCTCGCAGACCCGTACTCGTATATCCTTCGCTTGTGTCGCTCGTGGGAGATCCATATGATTCCGGCGGAGTATCCGAATTGCGGGTCTTGACAGTCCGCAGCTCGCGCACCATGCGTTCCAGACGCTGTCGCTCCCGATAGCTATCTTGGATGCGGCCACGGGCTTCGCGGAGCTGCTCCCGCAATGACGAATTGTCTTTGTCAATCTCGTCAATACGCCGGGTCAGGCCTGAGCACCGACTGGCCTCCGTGGCATGCATCTCCTTCCATCGCTTGAGGTCATCACGAAGTTGTTGCTTGGTCTGATCCATCGGAACATGCTTGGCAGATTCTACCGTGGCGAAGCGTGCGTCTGCCTTATGGACCAGGTCCATTGGAGGCTCATCGCTGGTTTGTTTGATGTACTGCAGCATTGACTTGGCCAGCGCTTGGTCTTCCTCGCGTTCCTCTCGCTCTTGCTGCAGCTCACGTGTGAGATCCGCATGTTGGCGCTGGAGATCGCTCAGAGCCATCAAGAGATCCTCGATCTGGGTATGGAGATCACGATCTTTATGTTGCGACATTGCAGATTTTGCGCGCGGCTTCGGTACGTCCGTCGATAGCTCTGTCGGTGCTGTGCTGGCATCGGATATCGATTCGACCGAGTTAAGTGTGGATGTCATGCTTTGTTTAGACGCCGATCGCCGGATAGCCGCGCTAGCGGCGTTAGGGTTGAGATTAACCGACTTGGTGGAGTTGTGGGAAGAGCCGGCCCAGAGCCGCCCCAGGAAGCGTGAGGCCGTTGCTTGCATCTGGGGAAAAGAGATACCGGTCGGCACACCCTGGGATTGATTGTAGCTGGCTTCTAAGGCTTGGAGACTTTCTTTCGTAACCAGCGACGTGAGTGAGACGAAGTCGTTAACGAATTCATCTGCATGGCAAGCGTAACTGTATATCATTAGTTGAAACTTCCAAGTATTCATGACAATTCACATACGTATCCCAGAGACTTCTCGACAACAGAAGCTGCATGACGTCCTCAAACTCGGCGCAAGCCATTATCTTCTTTTCGTTCCGCGTCATGAGTGACAGAGCCACGCGCATCAAGGTCTCGCAAGCTCCCTCGAGAAAGATCACATCGTAAATGCGAAGAAGCATTGGAAGAGGGCATGCGACTGCGAAAAATGATAAGAACCACTGCGACACATAGACAGGCTCCACGTTGAGCGCCTCCAAGTGTGCAAATAATCCCGGTCGTAACCGAGACAAGAGGTTCTGGAACTGATACACTCGAAGATGAAGGCCCGAGAGGTCTGGGAGGTAGCAAGTCCGCAAGTCATAATGATCCATTAACCTGGAGCCATTAGTATTGAAGCTAGATTTCCGTGTGGTGGAGTACTTACCGCACAAGCACGCAGAATGCTTCTGCATCCGTCATGTGCATAAGCAAGGGACCAACGACAAAGCCTAGCCCTTGGCAGTAGCCGATCTTCGTGTCGTAGAGACTGAAACATTTCAAAACCCGACCCAGCATCTGCTGTCCTTCACCATTGGGGTCACGAAACATCTCCACATTGGGGAAGCTACGCCCTATATCCTTGCCGATCAACCCTTCATACGGACTTGTTTCGCCACAGAGCCTCTGATATTCTGATAACAAGGTCGAGTCTCGAGCACCAGCCAAGCTGGGCCACACGACGCCGCGGAGTGGGGGAGGAACACCGCTTCTAATCTTGTTCGAGGTCAAGGTTGGAAGGCGCTGGGCTGTCTGTGGATAGTCCGCGACCAAGGCTGCCCAGAATTCCAACTCAGTCATAGGCGGAGGTGGTAGTTGCGAGTATCGGAGGGACGACCGGGGGTCCTCGTCGATCAGGCGCTTGATCTGATGCAGGGACTGAGATCGAGACGGTCTTTGCGACACTTGCTGTGCATGAGTCTTCTTTGGTAGACCCGATTTGGGATTGGTCGCCAGGGCATTGTTCTCCTGTTCAAGACGTGCTAAAAGCAGAGCGGTTGACTGGCCCATGTCAGTCTGTGAGTGACTCCCACAGCGCATTCTGAAAGACATACCTCGTCTGATCCTTCACAACGGGGCTCCTGTTCTTCCGTCTTCTCCAATTCCTCCCAATCCACCGCATCTTGTCGATCATGTTCCCCACTACTGCGGCGGGATCGAGTCGAGCTGGAATCATCGCGGTATGCAACTGGCTGTAACTCGAATGTTTGTGGGTCTTGAATCGGTGTGGTTCTTGCGTCAGTCTCTTCGTCGCTTGAGTTCCCGCTTGTCGGAGTAATTATGTCGATCGGTGTGGGAGGAATATTCAGTGTCCGCCAGTCGGGTTGTGTGTCTTCTGAATTGGAAGTCAATGGTACGGTGACCATTGAGTCGGTGTCATGCGACACAGTGTTTGTCGAGTCCGAATGGACGTGCGATGGAGTGTTATCGGAGCTTTCTGAGGCCATTATGATTGTTCAAATTGCGATGGTGGATGTCGTTCAAGCAGTCCGCTGGCACATTCCTCGAAAAGATCTAGCCGTCAGGGGTGCTGATAGGGCGAGGGGGGTTGTTGATGAGCGCGACAAGAACGGTGGGGTTAATTCGAGAGCGAGACGCGATAAGGAAGATGAGCAGTCGGGAGAGGGGCCGTCAATGGCGACAGCATATCTTGCGTGGGTCGAATTGGCGCTTCTGCTCCGTCAGTAGAGGTGATCACCGCCTGTGCTCGTCGTTTGGGTGATCTGAACGGGGGTCAGATAAATGATGGGAAAGGGAAGGCCAGAGGGGGGGGGGAAAGAAGAAGAGAAAGGGAGGCGGCGTTATTTTGGGGGGTGAGAAGAGAGGAGGGGAGGTTTCAGGGTCGAGAATTGGGGAATCAAGTGAGCAAGAGAGTGAGTCGCGATGAAATGGTTTAGTGTTAGTGTCGGCCACTAGCAACGCTGACACTCTTGCCTCCTCTTCTCCCCTCCCCCCCTCCTCCCTCTTCTAGTCTACCATTTGCTCAGGGGCCGCCGTCGGTTTTTGAGGGCATCCACCGAGCCTCGCCCCGTCGATCGCTTGCCAATAATCACCCTATCGCCAACAAACAGCTAGACAACGAAGTACTCCGGTTGCTTGCTCGGTTACCTCCATTCTACAGTGTCTCTGTACTATGCACAAATTGTCTAGATGTCGCGAACGATGGGAATCTGATGTCTGATATCTGTCCGCATTGTGAACCATGGAAATTGCCTGATCTAACCCGGAACTCCGTTCTTTGGTCGAACGGACACTAGTTAGCTATGAACAATTTTCGCCTTATTAATTATTATTATCTTGTATGACGCTCTTCCAGGTTCCCACCAATTTATTCGGCAGCCGGTCGATCCAATTTCCAAGACCCGTACGACTGCAGACTTACTCAGTATCATCACCTGAGCGATCGATCCACTATGGGTTCGCTAGCACTGCAGATGACGGGCAGAAAAAGGGAACAGGGGACGCATAGACACCGATGATTCGACAAGAGGGCCCAATCCAACATCAAACACTCGACTGCGACATCGACCGCAGCAGGTTGGCTACTTATTCTCCAAGGATTTCCGTACCTATGAAGTTAGTATGTTGGTGTGCATTCCACATGATGCTGACGGAAAGGACTGGAAGAAACTGCCCCTGAATGTAATTTTCAAACATGGCCTGACGCGTTTCAAGTGCCCGAGCGAATATAACATAGCACTTTGGTTGGAGGATTGCTGGAAGCTGAGTGGTATGATTGGCCTTGGCGGCCTTGCTCTAAGGCTGGTTACAGTACGTTACTGCCGAGCTCTTGTCAGGGTCCGAAACGTCCACGGATTCTAGAAGGCCTGCGGGTGATTCGGGCCAGAACCAAGAAGAGTATGGTGGCAAGACCAAGCAAGCTTGGTGTCACGACTCACAAAATGCTGTGTCTGTTAATAGACTATTCAAGGTCCACTCTGCAATGCTGTAACTTGGACTGTATGATGGCTAGTCAAGTGAAGTCACTGCACATCGTAGAAAAGCAATGACTCAAGACATCGACTGAAGCAAAGGTCAACACATATTTTGGCCGCGGGGGCCACTCAGCACAGTACCCGCGAGATAACGAGTCCTTGCTCGTCAACATGTCAAGAATCCACCAGAACCATTTAAATCCCCAGACTCCAGGTATCACTATAGAACTTATCTCACATATAAGTGAGCATATACTAAGGTAGAGTTGATTGAATTCAGCAAGGGGATAGTCTGCTGGAACTATAGTATGACTATGTGTATGTATGTAGTAGCGGGTGGTGGTTGTCCAGGGTGACTCACTCCAGCCCCGAGCTGCCAGCTGTAGTTCAAGGAAAATCAACCTTCAAGAAGAGAAAGAGATCGAATCTCGCGTGGCACTCTTCAATAGATAATAACAATACAAAGCATGATGCCACTCCCGAATCCTCGCTTTGTGCTAAGAATAACCAACGGTCAAAAGTCAATGACGAGTTTGTTTCCCCTCCCCCGCGCCTGAGCCAATGGTCCTTGCATGTTTTGGTCGTACCTTCCGCTTTAGGCCCGAGTGTTTGGGATTTACTCTTTCGGGTGAAGCCTGCGCCACTCGTGGGGCGGACCAACCTTGATCCGCGCCGGTCGCTGTTCAGTTTCTTTGAATCGCCGCTCAGTCGCAACAGCGCGTCAACAAAGAACGACGACAAAACTACTAAACACGGCCGACAACAAAGGTAACCAGCGGGGGGACAGGTTACACCTTCATACAACACCCGACTATCCCCTCTTGTATATCAGATAGCCTCCACCGGCGAGGTCGATTTCACACTAACTAATCTTCTTCGTTTCTCCTGTCTTGTCACTCTTTGCCCTCCTTTCCCCTCGTTCACTCTTTTACACGCGCCCCGAGCGTATTCAACCCACAATGGACGATTCCATGGTGGAGTCCGTCTTCGAGGACGATGGATCCGACTTCGCCCCCGAGCCAGCTCCTGTATGCTGCAATCTGTCCCAAGCTTTCATTCGACAAATACTAATCGTTGCGTGAACGGTACAGAAACCCAAAGCCAAGGCGGCGCCCAAAAAAGCGGCAGCTTCAAAGGCAGCGCCTAAGAAACTAACCCAAACCAAGTTGACGGCAAAGTCTGCATCCAAAGCAGCACCCAAGAAGCGGACCAAGCCCGACAGCGACGATGAAATGGACGACGCCGACCCCCTTTCCGATATCGACTCTATCATGTCTCACACCCCTCCTAAGAAGGCCAAGAAGGCTCCGGCCGCTTTGAAGAAGGGAGGCAGCAAGCCTCTTGCCGACGTTGAGAACGAGTCATTTGGAAAGGCTGACTCCGCTGGTGATGATGTCGCCATGGACGCATCCGAAAAGTTCCAGAGGGTAAGACTTGATGATGTCTACTGGAGAAGAAGCAGCGCAGCTGATACTTAGTTTTCTAGCTTGATCCGCGCGAGCATATCCTCAAACGTCCGGATACATACGTCGGATCCGTTGAACGCACAGAACAGATGATGTGGGTTTACAACTCGGAAACGGATGGTATGGAATTCCGCGAGGTCTCGTTTGTTCCAGGTCTCTACAAGATCTTCGACGAAATCGTCGTCAACGCCGCCGACAACAAACAAAATGACCAAAGCATGGATGAGATTCGCGTGACGGTCAACCGGGAAGCCGGCGAGATTAGCGTGTGGAACAACGGCAACGGTATTCCCATCGAATGGCACAAAACCGAGGATATGTACATTCCGCAGCTCATCTTCGGTAACCTCTTGACCTCGTCTAATTACAACGACGAGCAACAGAAGGTCACGGGTGGCCGGAACGGTTATGGTGCTAAGCTCTGTAACGTGTTCTCCACCGAGTTCGTACTGGAAACACAGGACTCACGCCAAAAGAAGAGGTATAAGCAGATCTGGACTAACAACATGTTGAATTGTGGAAAGCCTAAAATCACCGATGCGAAGGGAGAAGACTACACCAAGGTCACATTCAAGCCTGACTTCGCCAAGTTCGGAATGACGGGCATTGACGATGATTTCGAGGCGCTTGTCAAACGTCGTGTTTATGACTTGGCTGGAACAGCGAAGGTGGCCGTTAAGCTGAACGGTACCCGCGTTCCCGTACGGAATTTCAAGAAGTACATGGAAATGTACACCAAGGCTATTAGGAGGGAGCGCGGCGAGGAGGGCGCGGGAGCCAAAGATGAAATCATCACCTGCAGCCCGGACCCTCGATGGGAGGTCGGTTTTGCGGTCTCTGATGGCTCCTTCCAGCAGGTGTCCTTTGTCAACTCCATCGCAACTACCCAAGGAGGGACACACGTGAACTACATCGCGGATCAGATTTGTAGTAAGCTCGCCGAGACTGTCAAGAAGAAGAACAAGAATGGCGCCACGCTGAAGCCAGCCCAAATCCGCAACCACATCTTCATCTTCGTCAACGCCCTGATTGTCAACCCGGCGTTCACCTCCCAGACCAAAGAACAACTCACGACCAAAACATCCCAATTCGGTAGCAAATGCGTTCTCGATGACGACTTTTACAAAAAGGTTCTGAAGACAGAGGTGATGAACAACATCTTGCATTTTGCCCAGCAAAAGGCCGATCAGATGCTGAAGAAGACGGACGGTGGCCGGCGCAGCCGCATGAACAACCCCAAATTGACGGATGCCAACAAGGCTGGTACTAAGGACGGTCATCACTGCACCCTGATCTTGACTGAGGGTGAATCAGCTAAAGGTCTGGCTGTGGCTGGACGATCAGTTGTTGGCCCTGACCTGTTCGGTGTGTTCCCGCTTCGAGGAAAGCTGCTCAACGTGCGTGATGCGTCTTTTGATCAGATCTCGAAAAATGCAGAGATCCAGAACATCAAGAACTTCATTGGTCTTCAACACAAGAAGGAATACACGGACACCCGCGGTCTTCGCTATGGTCACTTGATGATCATGACGGATCAGGATCACGACGGTAGTCACATCAAGGGGTTGCTCATCAACTTCCTCCAAGCCCAATTCCCCAGTTTGCTAAAGATTCCTGAGTTCCTGATCGAGTTCATTACTCCCATTGTCAAGGTGTGGAAGGGTGACCCCAAGAATCCCACCAAGCAACGGTCCTTCTTCACCATGCCAGAATATGAGGTGTGGAAGGAGGAGCACAAACACGAACGCGGCTGGGAGCACAAGTACTACAAGGGTCTGGGTACCAGCACCACTGAAGATGCCCAGGTCTACTTCCGTGATCTCGATCGTCACTTGAAGGAATTCCACACACTGCAGGATAATGAGGCTGGGCTGATCGAACTCGCCTTTTCTAAGAAGAAGGCGGATGAGCGAAAGGAATGGCTTCGTCAATTCAAGCCTGGAACGTTCCTCGACCACTCCGTGTCCAAGATCACATATACCGACTTCATCAACAAGGAGCTTATCTTGTTCAGTATGGCGGATAACGTCCGGTCTATTCCTTCAGTTGTTGATGGTCTTAAGCCTGGTCAGCGCAAGGTCTTGTACACTTGCTTCCGTCGCAACTTGAAGAAGGACATGAAGGTTGTCGAGCTTGCTGGTCACGTTTCGGGTATGACCGCGTACCATCACGGTGATGTTTCACTGCAACAGACCATTGTCGGTCTAGCGCAGACCTTCGTTGGTTCCAACAACTTGAATGTCTTGGAGCCTAGCGGTAACTTCGGTAGTCGTCTTCAGGGTGGATCTGACTGTGCTAGCGCGCGTTATATCTACACTCGACTCTCTCCGTTTGCTCGTCGTGTCTTCCACCAAGCGGACGAACCTCTTCTGACCTACAACGTGGATGACGGAGCTACGATTGAGCCGGAGACCTACGTACCCGTTGTTCCCATGATTCTCATCAACGGTGCTGATGGTATCGGCACAGGTTGGAGTTCTTCTATTCCCAACTACAACCCAGAGGATATTGTGGACAACCTGAAACGAATGATGGACGGTGAACCCACCAAGCCTATGCAACCTTGGTTCCGAGGCTTCACTGGTGAAGTTACCGACATTGGCGGCGATCGGTTCAAGTTTAGTGGTGTCATCAAGGAGACCGGGGAGAAGGAAGTCGAGATTACCGAACTTCCTATCCGTACCTGGACACAGGACTTCAAGGACAAGCTTGAAGACATCATCAAGGCTGAGAAGACGCCCTCTTTCATCAAGGACTACAAAGACTACAACACTCACACCAAGGTTCATTTCGTCATTCAGCTGGACGAAAAGAACATGAAGACTGCATTGTCCGAAGGATTGGAGGAGAAGTTTAAGCTTACAAAGACTATCGCCACCACCAACCTGGTCGCTTTCGATCCCGAAGGGCGGATCACGAAGTATGCTACAGTCGATGACATCCTTAAGGAGTTCTATGCGCTCCGTCTGAAGTTCTACGAGCGACGCAAGCAACACCAGCTCTCAGAACTGCAAAAAGACTTGGACAAGCTCAGCAACCAGGCGCGCTTCGTTCAGATGATTATTGACGGGGATCTGGTCGTTTCAAAGAAGAAGAAGGCCGTCCTTGTTCTTGAATTGAAAGACAAGGGTTTTAAGCCGTTCCCCAAGGTCGCTCAAGCCGTCAAGGCAGGCGAGACTGAGCCAGCTCTCGAGGATGAAGAGGAGGAGTCGGCCAACGAAAAGGAGGACACCAACAACCTCTCCAATGCCTACGACTACTTGCTGGGTATGGCTATCTGGTCCTTGACGCAGGAGCGCGTGGAGAAGCTCCGCAAACAAATTGGCGACAAGGAGATGGAGGTCGACGCCTTGATCAAGCTGTCCAAGGAAGACATCTGGAGACAGGACCTGGATGACTTCATCAATGAGTGGCGATTCCAGCTGGATGACGAAGCCCGTCGCGAGCGCAAGGTCATGCAGATGGGTCGTCGTGCCTCCTCCAAGTTGATGACTGCCGCTCGTGGACCTGTCGGTCGGAAGCGTAAGGCCGCCCTGGATGAGGACCCCGATGATGAAGACTTTGCTGCGCCGAAGCCCAAGAAGGCTGCTGCGAAGAAGGCTGCACCGAAGGGGACACTGCACAATTTCCTAAGCAAGTCTCCTACCAAGCCCGCTGCGAAGCCGATCGACGATGACTCCGACGACGATTTCTTGGAAGTCCTTCCTAAGAAGAACCGAGGTGGATCGTCGAAACCCGAACCTGTCCAGAAAGAAGAACCAGTGTCGGGTGATTCAGACATTGAGATCTTGCCCAAGAAGAGTCGAGCTACTTCCAAGGCCTCTACTAAGGTAAAGTCTGAGGACCCTGAAAGCTCCGAAGTCAAAGAAGCTCCCAAGCGTGGACGGAAGCCCAAGTCGAAGCCTGCAGACGATGACGACCTCGATGACGATGCCTTCCTCGAAATCGCCAAAGCACAGGCCTCTGAGGCTGCCAAGCCCTCCCCTAAACCTGCGCGGGCGGCTCGCAAGGCAACTAAGTATGCCCTGAGTGATTCAGACAGTGACAACGGAGATGACTTGTTGGGAGACGTGAGCAAGATGGTGAAGGGAATTGGTGGCACCGCGGGCGGGTCTACGTCGAATTCTCTCGAGCTCTTCTCAGAGCAGTCTGGGCCTGGCAGCCGCTCGGGACTGCAGACCAGCACCAAGCCATCCAAGGCCTCTCCTGACTTCGATGCGGACGAGACCGACTACAGCAAGTTGGTGCCCCAGGGCTCTCCCCGGCGGTCCCTTCAGGTGAAGTCCAAGGAACCGGCTACTCTGTTGGATGATAGCGATGAGGATGAGCCTGTGAAGCCAGCGGTCACTAAGGCGAAGCCGGCCGCCAAGGGTAAGGCTGCTGCTTCAACTGCTGCTAAACCGGCCGCCAAGACGCGTGGTCGCCCGAAGAAGGATGCCACCACCAAGACTGCGGCTGCAGCACCTACAAAGCAGACCACCCTGTCTCCAGCTGCGAAGGCCTATGCTTCGAAGCAGGCGAAGACCAGCGCCGCGGCGAAGAAGAAGCAGCTGGCGGATGATCTGTCCGACGATGACATCGATGCCATGGCCAATGACATTTTGGATTCGCCGGCGGCTCCCGTCAGTCGGCCTTCGCGACGCACGGCCACCACGAAGAAGAAGACCTATGTGATTGACGATGATGATGATAGCGATGATATTGGTGGAGGGGGCAATGACTCGGGAGATGACTTTGAAGACAGCGAGTGAGTGAGTGATGGAATTGATGGAAATTTAGAAGGGATCTTTCGATGCTGAGCGTCCATGGGAAGCCCTGGCCCCGTCATTTTTTCATTGTGTTTCTTTCCTACTTCTCTTCATCACAGGATCTATATTCTTTGTCTATTAATAGGATGTGTTCATAAATTGCAAAGGGAGAGATGTCCTGCGGGCGTTTTTGTTTATAATTGGGGGGATCTTGAGTTGGAAGCAATGAAAGCAGAACTGCAAATTGCCAAGTGCCAATATTCCAAGCACTACGTAGTGGGACCGTAAGGCTGCCACTGCACACTGCAAGCACGAACCTGAAGGAGTTCTCGAATTCTCTTCTCGTCCGAGTAAGTTCAGGCGCCGACCGACCGGACTTCAGGCCGATCTCCGGCAGACCCACTGAGCTAGTGTGGCCTCCAGCGTCATCGTCTTGTTCCTTCGGTGACCCGCGGATCCTCTCAAATTCCCAAATCCTCCCAAATCCCTCACTTCTAACAGGCGGACTATACTGCCCCTCCTGGATAGTCTAAGGAGTTAGGAGTTAGTTCCCTTCTCTGGCCATCGAAGAAGTGGATCTGGTGGGTCGGAAGGATGTGAGGTCGGCGTTCATCCGGTCTCGAGCCACCTTTTGCTCTCAATTTCTCATTTCTTCTCACTTTCCCATTAATCAGCATTGTTGCCTTTAACTGTGTCCATGTCGTCAAGGTTTGTCACTCCCTTTCTCTTTCCAATCCGTCTGGCCATTCCGCTTTTTGGTGCTTCTATCCCACCCGCAACGGTTGCGTCTGTTTCACTGACTCTCTCATGCAGGCCTATCTTCAATATCGACGCATCGGCCACGCCGTGCGCAGGCAGCTCGAAGAAGAGTATCCGGGCTTTTCCCGAGCAGAAAAGACCGATGATTTGATCGGCGGCGATGTCACGAGCAACGACACCCAGCGGCACCCACAGTACAGTCAATTGCCTGGCGTGCAGCTGAAGGAGATTGTCGACGACGATGGAACCACCTCCTCCATTCTCCTCGTCGAATGGGAACACGACCACGACCCCATCAATCCACGCAACTACAGCCTCGCCGCGCGGATCTCGGCGACCCTGCTCGTGACTGCGCTGGCGTTCGCTGTGGGATGTGCGTCGTCAATTGAGTCAGGGGTCATGCCTCAAAACGCCGCTGCGTTCCATGTCAGTGATGTCGTTGCCTCTTTGGCAACGGGCATGTACCTGCTTGGGTTCGCCGCTGGGTCCATGGTGTCTGGTCCTCTGTCCGAGGTCGTTGGCCGCAATGCCGTGTACACGGGGTCTCTCACCCTGTTCATGATTTTCATCATGGCCTCTGGGTTGGCGCCGAATATCGGGGCGCAGATCGTGTTTCGGTTTCTGGCTGGCGTGTTCGGCTGTCCTCCGTTGACTTGCGCCGGAGGGACCATCGCTGATCTGTGGAATCCGTTGGAAAAGACACTCACCTTCCCTCTCTATGCGATCTTGTCGTTTGGCGGGCCTGTGCTCGGTCCGGTGATTGCATCGTACATGGGCGAGGGCACGCTCTCCTGGCGGTGGACCAACTGGATCATCCTGATTCTCTCAGGGTTCATCTTTGCATTAATCCTTCTGTTGCAGCCGGAAACGTATGGCCCCATGCTACTCAAATGGAAGGCGCGTCATCTCCGGAACCTCACGGGCGATCCGCGCTACAAGTCCTCCATGGATCTCCAGAAGACCGCGCTCCTGTCCAGAATCAGCAACGCATGCATCCGACAATTCAGTCTCACCATCCACGAGCCCATCATTCTGCTGATTTCCCTCTATATGACCGTGATCTACATCGTGCTGTTCACCTTCTTCGACGGCTACACCTACATCTTCTCCGACATCCACGGCCTCTCGCAGGGTCTCACCAACATCGTCTGGGTCGCGATGTACGTGGGGATCTGCCTCGCGGGGTTATTTGTGCCACTGATCTACCGCTGGACGAAGCGAGAGTTCAAACAAGCCGCTCTTGCGCCTTCGTCATCCTCATCATCTGACAACGACGAACCCATCGACCCCAACCCGAACAACCCGCACGAGCAGCAGCAACAGCAACAGCAACAGCCCCAACCCATCCCTGATGAAAAGCCTCACCACCACCACGCCCCGCGCCCCGAGAACCGGCTCTGGTTCGCCATGATCGGCAGCCCGTTCATCCCCGTCAGCCTGTTCTGGATGGGGTGGACCTCGTACTCCAGCGTGTCGGTGTGGTCGCCGATCGTGGCCTCGGCCGTGTTCGGCTTCGGCACCATCACGGTCTTCATCTCGTCGTACATGTACGTCATCGACGCGTACGACATCTACGCCGCGTCGGCGCTGGGCTTCATGACCGTCTCGCGCTACTGCGCCGCCGGCGGGATGACGGTGGTGGGCGTGCCGTTCTACCAGAACATGGGGGTGCATTGGACGCTGACGATCCTGGGGGCGATCAGTGCGCTGATGGTCCCCGTGCCGTATGGGTTTTACCGGTGGGGGGTGAAGATCCGCGGGTGGAGTCGGTTTGCGGTTTAGGTTACATTAACAGTGTGTGGAGGTTTTGTTGAGAGAAGAAGCTGCATTGGTGCAGTAATCTGGGGCCGTGGATGGTTGGGGATTGGTCGGTTGGGTCGGGTATGGTTGGCTGAGGGGCGGTCCTCGATCTCCGTTTGCTTCTTTCTGGGCCTTTTCCATGCCTCTGGAGGCTTGAGGGCCTTCGCGCCGCTTCTTGTCGCCTGCGCCTGGCTCATTCACTGCGCGGTCCTTTTTGGGGCAGAGGTGGTTTGACTTTGTGGGATACATCAAAAGTGATACATCGGTTAGATACTTAGATTGATAGATCGGTACAGTACACATCTGGATAGATGGCATAATGTAATTAGAAGGGATTCGAATATACACAGATCGAATACAGTGATCATGGTCATGGTAAGATACTAAGTCCGTCCCTCTGGGAAACTAGAGACATACATGAAGAGGAACACCTGCATATACTACGCCTATGTACTGTAACATCTAGGCACCTAACCAGCACGAAGAGAACTAAACCCCCATCATCCCAACAAACAAAAAAAACCCCCCAAAGGACGACCAACCCCGCAGCATCACAAGGCGATTAATATGTCAACTTCTGTCCTATATCTGTCAACCTCATCCGACAACAAACAAACCAAAGCCCAGAAGGGACGATCATCCGCGCAAGTTACCAGAATCTAGGTTTTGCAAAATCCGAGTTGGACCGAGAAAAGCTTGTTCGACCGTAGACAAAGTGGCAAAATAATGTTGCTCTACACGTGTTGGATTTACTGCTGTAGACGGCAGGGCTACGTACCAACGGGGGGCTTTTATACTGGGATGGGGGAGCCTGGTTCCGGAAAGGGAAGGGGGAGTAGGAGGTGGAGGCGCATTACCGGGGATGATTCCGGTGCGTCTTGACATGGTCGATGTACAACCCAAGCTTAAAGGTTAGTGGATGGGGTTGGCGGTCGGTCAGCCAGTCAGATAGTCAGGTTTGCGTCTCGGGGAGTTTGGTACTACATCAGCACTGCAGGCAGAAGCATATAGTCTAGCATATAGCATATACTGGTGTGGTGTGCACAAGGGGCCAAATGGGGCTCGGGTACAGCGGAAGAAGACAGTGAATGCATGATGGAGGGGGACCACTAGTGTGTGTGCAAGACTCAACCTGAACCTACCTTGACCTCGCTTTTGGCTTCCTCGTCCATGCCGGTGAGGAATAGGTGAATATTGGAGGGGAGGGGGCAGATGGGTCTGATTTCTCTGCAACAATTTCAACAATTTCAACAATTCCAAATGGAGGCACTATGTCTTCCGTTTCTTGTCTTTTCTCCTTTTTCTTCACTGTCTTTTTGTTTTTTTTTTTTTTTTTTTTTTTTTTTTTTCAATCTCCCCCAAAAGGATGGCCCAAAACTCAACTGAAATCAACCCCCCCAAACAACAGCTGAACCCAATTAAGAGCAGTGTATCCTCAACTGCATGCAATCGTACATGTACAGTACTTGACTATCAGATAAAGCGACTGCAGCGCCACTACCATCACCACCATTAACCCACTCAGGCCTAGTACTATCAGATAAGTTACCTACCTAAACCATAACCCAGTAAGCCATGACGCCACTCATCCGAAAACGACCCCTACCAACCTAGGTACAGCTATTTAAGCTTAAAATAAACTTATTTTCCTCCGGAAGCAACAGACTACTAGGTACGTACATTCCACTCCACCCCACCTCCAAGCGGTCCAACAGCCCGCAAGGCCAAGGTCAAGGTCAGGTCAAGGTCAGGTCAACGCTGACAACAAAGCCCAATCCCAGCGAGCTAACCCTCACACTAGCAGCAAATGACTAAAACAGCAGGATGCAGTGGATATCCCGCCGGGCGCGCATGGCATAACCCTCGATCCCCGATGACGATAGACCATCGACCTCCTTCGGAACTGACACGCCAGGCCGAGCTTTCGTGGATGCAGGGCATGGGCATGGGCTAAGGTGGGAGACCTCTGCTGGACAGAACGAGCTGACGGGATTGGATTGGCCGGGACGTCTGCGAGGCGGTTTCCTGCATCGTGCTACTCTTATCCAATCAGATGATCTAAGATTCGAAGGAGGTCGGGACGCGACAGATGATGCGGTGCAGTGGCATTTCGTCATCGTACCTAGGTGCCTGGTCATCCTTGGGAATGGGGATGAAAGGATTCGCGGGTTTCGTTTGGTGGGCTTCGAGTCGTGGGGATGGACTCTGGATGCTGGATGCTGAAGCGCAGGGAGAGGTCATTGCTAGGTGTAGTGGGATGCACTCTACATAGTGGGTAAGGTACTTGTGAGGAGGGTGAAGGGTGGAGGGGGGAGGGTGCAGGGGTAGCTGCAAGGGGATGGGGGGAGATCCAGAAAGCTGGGTGCAGTGCTTGTCTTTCGTCTTCTGCCTTCTGCCTTCTGCCTTCTGCTTCATGGAGGAGGGGTGGAGGGGGGAGGGGGGAGGGGGGAGGGGCAGAACCCCATGCCTGATTATACTTAAATTGGGACTCTAGCGTGCTATCGTAGACCACAGGGTTGAGGATCGGTCTGGAGGGACGAACCATTTCCAATTCGTTTACTGCCTACGCTTTTACTGAATCTGCAATGGTGGGGGTGCGCCAGTAGAAAGGCCCAAACGGTCAGTGCCGCAAAAGGAATCAGCTGGGATGGGATTCTTGGGACGCATGCATGCATGCATCCACACTCTTAAGTAACATAAGCCTCCTGTTGTCTGTTGCGATTGCGTGCTCAACCTTGGGGAAGTAGCAGTCCACCATAAGTCTGAGAAGCCTGATTTAGAGGCTAACAGTGAAGAAGGTAGGCGTTCTCTGGCGTCTAATTCAACTAGATAGACACCCTTGGGGAGGCGGAACTTGATATCTGACCTGACCTGACTGATTGAGAGTCCATCCCGAGGGAAAGACTTAGCTTATCTCCCCATGTAAGCCAGTCTGTCGTGTAATGTGACACTAGAATCTAATCGATCCTACTTTTTGAGTAAGCTTACTTGGACTTGGAATGTCTTTTCTCACCCCCTCTTTATTGTCTCCTCGCTATGTGCTAATCACAAGCGGAAATGTAACTAACTACCTATCGGAAAATCTATTGATCGCCCTGGTTGGCCATTACCCCTCATTATGTTCCTCCCAAGTGGCTTCCCCCCCCCCCTTTTTTTCGTGACGTTTCCATTTTTCAAATAGAAAAAAAAGCAAAGCCTGCCGAAGAAGAAAAAATAAACCAAAATGAGCAAAACTCCCAGAGCAAGAGAAACCAGCAAAGGAAAACAATACAACATTCTGATAAATTGCCCAAGTCCAACGCCCTCGCCATGCAATCAAAACAAAGAAAACATGCAAACAAGCATGGAAGAGAGAGTCATCAAGGCAGACCAGACCATGCGGCAGTAGCGGTCATTTCAGTTCTCCTGCCAGCCATCCCGACGAGCGGTGGCTTCCCTGAGCTCCTGCATATAGATAACCGCGTGGCATCTCGGACAGACTTTGGGATAATTATCGTCGATTGGGCCTCCTTTGCTCATTCCCACCATGATATACGCAGCCTCGACTTCTGCCTCCGTGTACTCGCCTGTCAGTGGGAGCGTAACTCGCTGGTCATCACCAGCGTTGTCGGCTATTCCTACCTCGGTGTCATCGGGATCTTCATCCATGGCATCGGAGGCGTCGGACAATGCCTCTGCTAGGGCTGTGGGGCAAATAGAAACCCAACCGCTGGTCGCCTCGTCACCCTGCGAGCCTTGAGGAGATGAACGATCCTGGCTTGATGGAGAGGGCGGAGGAGTCAACTGCATTCGCGGGGTATTGATCGGTGTCCAGCCATTGCTAGCAGTAGACGGCGGGCAGTTGTCATCATCGTTCGATGAGAGGTATCCGGCCAAACTATGTAACAACTAAGTGAGTATGACAACTGGAAAGGAATGCTAGACTCAAAGAAATTAGAGGAGGGTGTGCTTCGCGTACCTTGTATCATCATCATCATCCCCATCATCTGGACTGGGACTGGGATAGGGCCGGGCGTAGGCAAGTGCGGCGCAGCGTTGCGCCCTTGCTTCCTCCGCGGCCACGCGAATGATATGCTGGTCAATCTCCCACTGGCGATATTCGGGATGATCCGGCGGCAGACATTGGCCGGGGAAGTCAAGCCCAAAAATCGGAGTGAAGGCGTACCGCACATGCCAGCAGAACTTCTTGGCTATGGCTTTGGCACATCCAAATGGCATGTAGTATCCTTTGATCCCCAACATTGATTAGCCGGTGGTCTTCCAATAGCATAGGACAGTCCAATACCTTGTGACTCAATCACTCCGCCCGTGAGCTTGTGGCAGACCTTCTTGAGGCCAAGGTTCTTGTTGAGCACTTTCGCCGGAAGAGTCTATCCCATCTCAAGGTTAGCATGTAGACAAGAATAGGAAGAGGGTGTTTGTACCTTGCCCCAGGGCTTGTAGCACTTGAAAATGCCCGTCGTGCGAACGAGCCCAGTGGTGTAGTCCCATATGATGAGAATCGTCTGGTCCTCGCCAGGGACCTTGAACTCATACCCGAAGACTGTCCATAGTCAGCATCTTACTCATGTGGCTACAATAAGAGAGCTCAACTTACTATCAATTTCTTTCCGTCCCGTTCGCTCGTAGAAGTCACTCCTCGCGGGGTTGTACGGAATGTGGCGCGTACGGGAGGTAAAGCGGATAGCATGCTTTTCGTAGATCTCGGAGAGCTCCGCGTCGTAGTACTCGCAAGGGGGGTAGTTGATCGGGCCCCGGGGGGGCCCTGATCTCAATTCAAGAGCGTCGCTAATCATCTTGCACTGGGCTGAGGCTGTCTTGGGGACGACGGTCTCCACGGTGCTGGCTTGGTTGAGTGGTGCCATACTGGAGGAAGGTGTCCGACTTGGCTCAGGCTCAGGGTTAAGCAAAGCACTTATGGGCAGCATGAAGATGTTCAAGAGGGGCTTAAAGTGGGAATTGGAAATGGAAGAGGATGGAGGAAGGAAAGATTGCAGTCTAGGGGGCTTTGTGGGAGATTTTAAGCCGGAGAATCCCACAGAGCAGGAGAGCAGAAATGGCACTTCCTTCAACAGCGCGAAGGGAATGGATATCAAGCTGACTTTTTTCCATTGACTTGATGCGTTCGTTGAGGAATATGGCTGGAATAAACGCCATTGGTTCTGCACACAGTTCACCGACAACCGTTTCAGCTAGAAACATGCACCAAACTCAATGAACTTTTCTTTCAACAATAATCAATGGTTGGCTAGATTGGGGTGCTGTTCTTTCCAATCCCATTGGCTGGCTGAGGTTTGGAATATCAGAGAGACTCGACTTGGGTTTGCGGTGAGTGGCCGCGGGAGCGGGCATATTGTGACGACTTGGACCTTCCAAACGGTCTCGAGCAGTCATTTCCGGGGCAGGTCTGGTGCCCAGAAGCAATGGAAAGGGAGACAAGCATAGGTCGACACCAATGTCTCACCCGCGACTGGACCTCGTCATGACCGGCGCCGCCCGACACTCAGCAACAAGCTTCAGGCCACCAATTCCATCAAAATCCTTGTTCCTTTTTCTGGCTGCATGTAACCCTTCAGCCATCGATTGTGGTGCTAGTAGCAAGCCAGCCTTCAGCAAAGCTTTCCCTACGAAGGGTGACACCCGGCCGGCAGCATTGGCTGGGACAAGTATGACGATGCCGTAGCCATTTCTTCCTTGAATCAACAGTGTGTAACAAGGCTGGTTGAAACATGGCTAAACGCGTCTGAGCCGCAAGTATCGAGCTCCGAGCTACGAAGTCGTCTGGAAGGTGATAGAACACCCAGCTTTTGTGAGACACAATTGGTTTTTGCTCGTATGCTGGCGGACATGTCTTTCCGGCAAACCATGAGGGCTGCTGGTGGTGGGGTCGTCAATTCGCTGGTCACCAAAAACAGGTGAAAGTCAAAGAAGGGAGTTATTTGGGGTGGCTGAATCAGGGTATGGATGAGTAGATCATGGATGAGAGTTGTGACGTAAAGGTAAAGGAGGTCATTCCAAATTGAGAGAGATGGATTCACTCTCAGAGCAAGCGGAGGGAGAAGCGGAGGGAGGAAGACTACTAGACTAAGGTAGTTAGTCACGGGTATTAACTTAACTAAGAGGAGGAACAGTAAGTTAGCGGGCACCTGCCACCTGCAGTGCGGAAAGTAAGTTAACCTCCAGTTACCACAAATTAACTTACCTGGAAGCAGGCTTAGCTTAGCTCTCTGTAATAATAAGTTGTCGTTGGTTGCCAATTTTTGTATGATCAGTTCAACAGCCCAACAATTCAACGAATTATAGGTCATGAATAGCATTATCGTTCTCCCTTCGTGGTCTTTCTTTTGTTTTCTTCTTTTCTTTTTCTTTTTCTTTTTTTCTGTTTCGCTTTCGTTTTTTCTTGTTTCTTCCTGGTTTTTGGGCTCTTTTTCCACCTTCACCCGTCGTCTATTAAGGATTCTATACCAGTTTTTTCGCCTTCCCTTTTTTTGCCGTGCAGGTTTCCGTCAACGTTGTTATAGTGTACATGCAGTACAGTGCAAGTGACAAGAGTCCCAACGCTTGACCAAAAGAGATGTCAGACACCAAAATTCTGTCAATCCACCCGGGTTTTCCCTTTCAGCTTCGCGGCAAGCCGATGGCAGCATCATCGGAAATCATCTCCGTGGTCCTCAAAATCCTTTTCCGTTCACGGTAGGGAAGGGACGAACTTCACACCTGGTGAACTGTAGTATGTTACGTCATTTTGTTCTTCTTTCTTACTCCACCCTTTCTCTATCGGTAGTGCGTGCATTGACAGGTGACTCATTTAGAAGCAAACGGCAACCCTTTCATGAGCAATTGCTCTCTCTTGCTCTAATGCCTCTTCATCTTTCTATTATTGTTCGATCCTCTAGCAACCTTCAAGATCCGCATAGTTCATTTACCCATGGAGCATACTCAGAGAAATGAGCACGACTCAGCATGAGTAGTTAACTAACTTACCGTACCTGGCGGCGGATTTGCTCATCCACCCTGCGGAACTCCCCCACATCGATCGGAGATGATCACATAAACACTAATCTACTCCTCCCATTCCATTGGTACTTCCAACGGCCAGCAGGTTCCTTGAAGCTTATTTCAATTATGATTACTATTCCAGACCGAGGTTAGTGCATATGGCTAAGCGATTATTCTCACAATAGCTGACCTTGGCAATCCAACTACCCAACAGGACAAAATGAGTGGGTATCACTTCGAAGAAGATACGAGAGCCATTTGTCTTTATAAGGGGCTGGGGCTACGCGCACGACGAGGATACATCTTTGCATGCAATTTCACCCGAGTCCCACGTCGTCAAACTCGTCAACCTCGCCGTGCCTCATACCCTGTAAGAGACCTTGTCTCCCTACAAATGGGCATAGGCCCTGCATCCAGGCTGAATTCAACCCGACCATCCTACCCACCTCGTCGGGCCAGTGTCGAAGGATAGCACACAATGATCAGAACAATGATCAAACCCAATATCCTTGCAACGTTGCAGGGTTCTGCTCTCCAGGAGCCAGACTTTGAACCGATACCCTGGGAAGACCCACGCGAGAGACGAAACCCCCACAACTGGCCAATCTGGAAGAAACTGTTCCACACGGTTGTGCCTTGCATTCTGGCCTTCGTGATGTAAGTTTGCGGGTCACTTGTCACTTCCCACAGAAAAGAAGCGGAAGGAAAACGGAACTGATTCCATGGGCAAACAGCACGTTCGGAACATCGGTCAATGAAGCCGCGCTCGATCTGATAGCGATCAGATTTAACGTATCTCGGACTGTATCCATGCTCACGCTCACGGTATACACACTTGGTCTGGCCTTCGGGCCTCTATTCATAGCACCGCTATCAGAGACTATTGGCCGCCGTCCGGTCTATGTCTTCACCTCGTCCTGTTTGTTGGCTTTCAGTGCTGGTGCCGGGGCCGCGAACAATCTTGCAACCCTACTCGTATGCCGTGGGCTGGCGGGGGCTTTGGGGTCTGCTGGCGTTGCGATCGGTGCGGGCACGCTGGCTGATATCTGGGATCTGGAAAAAGAGGGGGGTCCTGCATCCTTGCTCTTCATCCTAGGTCCTTTCCTTGGGCCCACGATGGGCCCACTCGCCGGGGCTTATGTTCTGAAGGATCAAGATAGTGACTGGAGATGGACGCAATGGGTCATGGCCATTCTCTGCGCGGTGGTCTGGCTTGGCGCGGTTCTGATGCAGGAAACTATGAAGGAGAGAATCTTGAGCAAGGTCAACAAGAACAACAATCACTCTAGAAAAGAGGAAGATTCGCAACAGCAGCCGGACACCATGAAGCCCTCCCTGCAAGACTTCATCACTACGGGGCTTGGACGGCCCGTGAAGCTTTTGTTTACGGAGGTCATCGTGTTCTCATTGACCCTGTATACAGCGTTCGCCTACGCCATGATTTTCAGCTATTTCGCCAGCTCTTCCTACGTCTTGACGGTGTATTATGGATTCAACTGGCGGCAAATTGGACTTAGCTTTATCAGCGTGATCGTCGGATATGTTCTTGCAGCGTTCATGTTCGGGGTTTTCGACAAGACTCTGTACGTCAGGGCACGTGTGGCTGGCGGAGGCGTTGCCGCTCCTGAGCATCGCCTTTACTCGGCTATGGCAGGCAGCGTACTTTTACCGGTGGGGCTATTTTGGTAAGGCTCGAAAGCTCTTGAGACTTGACTGCACCATCCATGTGGTTCATTCTTGCTAACTGCATTCCGAATGTGCTTAGGTACTCTTGGGAAGCTCACGCCGGCGGCCACTGGGCTGCCCTTGTCTGTGCAGGGATCCCTTTTGGAGTGGGAGCGTTTTCTCTTTTCGTAAGTATCAGGCCGCAACCCTGGATCTAGTGTGAATGCAGAATGGTGGAACTAACCTAAGCTTCTTGTCTTTAGCTATCAACCATCACCTATCTTGTTGATGTCTATCAAGCCGGAGCTGCAGCATCGGGTGAGTCTCCTCCCGTCTTTATTTTGTTCTACAGCCTTGGACTCATCTGATTTCCACTTCTAGCACTGGCCGCCAATGGAGTTATTCGATATATATTGGGCGCGACGTTCCCCCTATTTACCGTGCAGATGTACGAGAAACTTGGCGTGCACTGGGCGGGCAGTCTCTTTGCCTTCCTGTCGCTCCTTCTGCTACCAATCCCTTGGGCACTCTTCAAGTACGGGGCTTCGTTGCGCGGGGGCAAGAAATACTCGGGGTAGTGTAGAGTTTTCCACACCGATTCTGATTGAATCTCATATTCTGAAGTTGTTATAGATGGATGGACGAATTGGAGTTTGTATAGAGCTTGGTGGTTAATTTTCCTTGAGTCTCAAGGAGGTAGGGAGTGGACTTCTCAGGGCTCCTACAGCAGAATCAAAGATAGACTTAATTAAAGACTGAATACAGGAATGTTCTATAACCACTGGCAGCCGACCCGGGAATTCTGGCCCGGACATTTCCGTTCGACTCAAGTTCTTCCCTTAAGTTCGGAACCATAGATCTGGTACAAAGCATATACTACGGAAGGCCATTGCGGCCACTCGGCAGATAAGGAATCTGCCGGCAAAAGTGAGGAAAATTCTATATGCCGAGTGGCCGCAATGGTCTTCCGTACTATACTTAGATATTGAGATGACAAATAACTTTGTTCAAAACCCATGCGAGCATAACTTTTGACTTTTTCAAACAAATTTTTCCAGATGGAATCCCCAATTGTTGTTGTTGTTGTTGTTGTTGTTGTTGTTGTTGGAAGATACCATCCACCAACCTTGAAAGCCTCCGTTGATGCCTGAGGCCTCAAAAGGCGACACTTTGCCGACCGAGGCTGCCCTCCAAGTCAGGTCAGCAGCTTACTTGCACTCCACCTAACTATCGCTTCGAATCCTCCTCCTGGAATCAACTTCTGTCAAGGCAGTGAGATATACCTACTACGAGACGTCCCGAAGCTGATGGAGAACCTCGATTTCACTGTCGCCCCGGTCGATCTGGTGCTGAACTGGCCAGATGTGCATGGTCTGGAATTATCACTACCGCTCGACGTCTTCGATAGTCCAGTCAACGATGTCAACGATGTCAACCAGAACACGCTCCATTCAAACTGCATCACAGAGCCATGTGACTCCTGTAGACAGATGTTGCTAGACTCTTCTGTGTTAGAGCCGGACTTGTTGTCAAACAGCAGCAGTTATAAAGATTGCATCGTCCCAGAACCAGAGAGCAGTCACACGTATCCCCAGTCTCAACAGTGGAGCGATACTCACAGAGAAGCTCCAAGTGCTGACCCTAACGCCAGCGAAGGAGCTGCTATCATGTGTGACCACGATCGAAGACTGCGCAAGCGCAGTGACTACAACAAATTCCCGCGGGAGACGATTCGTATACTGAAGGAATGGCTGAGCCAACATCAGGACCATCCTTATCCATCCAAAGAGGAAAGGAGAGAGCTACTGCTGCGAACAGGACTAACACCGACCCAGCTACGTAATTGGTTCGCTAACACCAGGCGCCGTGAGAAAGAGAAGGCCCATTCGGCCCCTGCACGCCGGACCGATCTCATCCAAGCAGCCACATCGTCAATGACCTCATCAATGACCCCTCTAGAACGCTGGCAAAACTCGCCTCCAGAGGAAGAGTCAGCCGCATTCAGTGATATTGCTCGGGCGCTTTCGAAACGCCCTTCTACGCCTCGCCCTCAACTATCCTTCACCTCATCCAATCCCAGTTCAGCTTCTTCAGTCGACTGGGCGAGCCATCCCTCTCACGTCGAGCAATGGGGCGTACTCCCGGCGTCGTCGGGAAGCAGCCTCGACACGAGTGCATCGTCCACCTCGAGTCTGTCTAACACGTCAGCGCATTCTTATCATTCGTTCTCGCGCTCTGAATCCCAAGATCAAAACCGCCGTCGTCGCCGACACAGTCGACGAAGTAAACTTCACATCCCTGCCAATACTATAGCCTCGCGTCGGGCGCGCGGGTCTCGGCGGTTTCAGTGTACATTCTGCACGGATACGTTTTCGACCAAGTATGACTGGCAACGGCACGAGAAATCAATGCACATTCCTCTCGACGAGTGGAGGTGCGCACCCTCCGGGGCCATTGTTCCCTTGGATGGCGGTCATGTCTGCGCTTTCTGTTTACATCCTAATCCCGACCAGGAGCATCTGGATGTTCACGAGTACTCCATTTGTCAGGAGAGGAGCCCACTCGAAAGGACTTTCTACCGAAAGGATCATCTCCACCAGCACCTGCGCAGCGTCCACAGCGTCAAGTTTGTCGCTGCATCCATGAGCGGGTGGAAGAGTAGCGTTACCGACATCAAATCGCGCTGTGGGTTCTGCGACGCTCGATTCCACAGCTGGACAGCCCGCGCGGATCATCTGGCGGCGCACTACAAGCAAGGGGTCGACATGCGTGAATGGCAAGGCGATTGGGGCTTCGAACCCGAGTTGCTACGTCTCGTCGAAAACGCCATGCCGCCGTACCTGATCGGCCAGGAGCAGCTGGCGCCAAATCCTTTCAGCGCCTCTGCCATCACCGTGCTCAAGCCAAGCTGGGAGACCGATCAACCGGCGCAGCTTCCGGAGCAGGAGAACCTCAATTTCTGGCCGGTGATACAACGAGAGCTCACGGAGTATATCACACGTCAACTTGCGAGTAAAGTCGTGCCCACGGATAAGATGTTGCAGGACCATGCGCGCATGATCGTGTATGGCTGTGACGATGGGTGGAATCAGACGTGCGCAGACAACCCGGTGTGGCTGAGTAACTTGAAACGGGATGCTGGACTGGATGCTTTTCAGTCACAGAATTGTGATACGCAGGTGCCGTTGGCTGCTACTGAAAGTTGGCAATGGCCGTTGTTCGAGTTTGACCCGCCCGTGCACGGATTTGAAGATTTGCATCTTGAGCCGCAGCAGCCAGCATACCAGAATCCATACCAGTAATATACCTGGGCAATATTCGAACCCACCGAGATATATGAGGCCGGGAAGGTCGGACTATTTGTCTTTTCCGATGCATCCGAGAGTATTCTTGTGAATTCTATCATTTAGGAAAGACCCTCAAAAGATGTTGGATGTAGGGCGCAGAGAGATGACCCACCCACATCGAGAGGTTCGAAAGGTGGAGTGCGTATGGGTTAGACCCGCCCCACTTGGACCCAGTACTGTATGTCAGATAGTAAAGAGTATAACTATAGACAATGTTATCCTCACGAGAGGTATAGTATAGCAGTGACACTTCCCCAGGTCAATTCAATCCAACATCTACATCTTCCCACCTCCCAACCACCCTCCGACTCAACTCCACCCGAATCCAAAACAAAGCCAGAAAAAGTCTAGACCCCCAATGTCGCGCAAACCAGCAGCCAGCTCAGCCCAGCCCTCGGTGGCTGAATCAGAACCCAACCCAACCCAGCCGATGTCAAACCAAACCAAACCAAACCAAATCAGTGCAAACACATACACTCCTAGTAGTCTCAACTTCAGCGGTCCGGTCAAGTCAGGCCAGGTCAGGCCAGGTTCCCAAGACTGAACCCGAAACACAGTTGAACCTCTCCAGTATTCATCCAGAACACTCCAGACCGCCCCGGCAAAACCAACTGTACCTAAGGCAACTAGGACTAGGACTCTTCCATCAGCATCATGGATCACGCTGTGTCTCATACCCCACAGAACCCGCGCACCTCGATCCATTCATTCCAACTGAACTGAAGAACCTTGAATATCCCCAATATACCAATATCTCACTGGGCAAGCACAGTAAGACAGACCACCCCCCAGGGCCCGATGGAAAATCGGCACAGCCACCCCTTCCCCTGGCCCCCTCCAGTCTTACACTACCCAACCAGCAACAGCAACAACAACAACAACAACAACGACGACGACTCGAGAAATAGTAACCTAAACCCCCCCCCAAGGCCGACACTACTTACAGCCTCGTCTGCCCGGCTACGGTCAACTCAACTCGTCCCTTCCAAGGGTTGTTTTACCCCTCCCTCCCTGCCTGTCAAGCTCCTCTTTTTCCCGGCCCCATGTATGCAGTATGCAGTAGTACAGCATCCCGCGACCATCCTCAAACGTTGGGAGACACATTGGCGAAGGAGCAAGTCTAGGCCCGGGGAAGGGCTGGATGGACCCGGGACCCGACCCGACCCGACCCGACCAGACCCCCGTCCGTTGTTCGAGGCCAGTACCAGTACTAGTACAGCACGGATCATCCATCCCAGCGATCCCAGCCGGAAGCGGGGAACGGGGAACGGGGAACGGGGAACGAGGAACATCCGCTATTACTGTTACTTGGGATGCGGCGGGATGGATGTGCAAGGGTAGCGAGGAAGACAGGGGAGTCGAGTCCGGTGGGCGATCAGAGGCTAATGCTCCTAACTATGTCATGGTAGTACCGGATACAATGCTGTGTTCCAAGCCCTCGTCGAATCCCTCGACGGATTCGAGCCGCGCCCTTCACGAGCACCTACACAAATGCTTGGGAGAGCAGGCTAGATCGGTCTATGGGTAAGTGCATAACGCGATTGTGTGTGTAGCTAAAACATGAAACCTAAGTCGAAATATGACCAAACGCCAGACCGGTTATGCCCACCAGCCGTTGCTCGCAGAATTCAGTTCCCCAGTGACCCCAAAGAAAAAAAGCCCAAAGCCCCCGTTGTCATTCACAAACACGAAAAAAAGTCCATCAAGTATCACACAAGCGTGAAACCGGGTAACAGCAGATTAATTAAAGGTCCAGCCACCATTGAGACGCAAGCGTTGACGCTCGGCCAAATCGCGTCGGATCTCATCTTGCGTAAGTCCGTCGGGGCCAGACCAATGGGCACTACTGGTGCGCTCGCGGAATTTCTTGATCTTCTTGTCCCCCTTAAACGTCTCCTCCAGGGAGAATGGGGCAATAGGGCCAAAAATAGAGTCCGCCTCCATGCCCTCCTGTTGTCGCAGTAGCGACTCCAACTCTTTCGGCTGGGCCCATTTGGGCACAGGGAGCATCTCGGCGTCCGAGTCCTCGTCTTCGCTGTCCGTGGCAATCTCCGGCAGGTTGATGTTCTCGCCATTGGGATAGCTGGGCGACTCTTTGACTGGGTGCTTTTGCGATGAGCTGGCAGCGGGCGTCCGATGCGCAGCGGGCGGTGCCATCGGCGGTTCTGCGAACGGGATTTTGCCACTGGCATATTTGGACATGTCCATAGGATGCGCAGGTCTTTGCGTTTGTCCAGTCTTCAGAATCGAGGTTGGTGGTTGGCTGTAGAATGAAGGTTTCTTGGGCTCCTATGAAGAGGTTAGTAATGAAATCATGTGCCATCGAACGACTTGGAATTACCTTGCGGATGTTGGACTGGCGGATTGGCGGAGCCATTGTAGGGCGCATCGAGGACATGCGATTCTGTTCGTCTTCTGTCCTTCTGCGCTTAGACTCGCCTGCCGGTTGCACCGTGCCCGTCTTCAACGCCGTAGGCCGCTGGTTAGCCTCCTCGTCCAGGCCTCTCTTAGGAGGCTTGGCCGGGTTAGGCTGAGGTTGGTTGACGGAGCGATGGAAAGGCTGGATGGATCCGAGACGAGAAGCTGGTCTCATGGTTCCCAGCTCACTCCGCTGAGCAGCCTGGGAGGCCGACCTCTCCGGATGGGTTTCAGGCTGTTGGCTTCCTTGCCTCTCCAGCCTCCGTTGGCTCTCAAGTCTCCGCTTCTCGATTGCCTGAAGTTGAGCGGCTTTCTTAGGGTCTTCAGCAACAATTCGCTCGCGTCGTTCGGCCTCTGCGCGACTGCGCATGTCCTGGCGACGAGCTTCCTCTTGCTGCTGGGCCGCTCGTTTCCGTTCAAGCTCACGGCGCTGCTCCTCTCGACGCCTGGCCTCGCGTTCCTCCTGTTCACGCTTTCTCTCACTTGCAAGTTGAGCCTTGCGCTGTGACTGAGTAGACATAGAACTCTTGAAGCTGCTATTAGAAGATGCAGTGTGTAGTGAGGAGTTGCTCGCCTTCTTCTTCAGGGTAGGTGGCTTCACCGCAGAACCCGGTGTCGGAGCGGGGACACTGGACTCCCGCATGCCAGAAGACATGGTTGACGATCCCAGCGTTATGGGCCGAGAAAGAGCACTGCCCACACGAATGGAGACAGGCTGAGGTCTGGGCTTCTGGAGTGTTTCGCGAGTGGGTTTGACAGGACGACCCTTTGCTTGCTGTTGCTGCGGGATAGACGATGGGGCGGCGGGCTTGGATTCGGTTTCCGTTGCAAACTCTGTTTCCTTGGATGACTTTTGCAGTTTGGGCAATCTCTGGGATGTTGGTGCAGCAGGGGCCTCGGAAGTTGCCCGAGACTCGTCTGCAGAATACTTCTCTTGTGCAGACCGGAGTTGCATGGACCTCTTTTTCTCATGCTGCCGGGTTTTCTCGGCCAGTTCCTCTTGTAGTTGGCGTTCCTCTTGCCGTTGGCGTTCTTCGTATCGTTGACGTTCCTCTTGTCTTTGGCGTTCCTCTTGTCGCTGACGTTCCTCTTGCCGTTCACGTTTCTCGAGCTCCATCTGCCTACGCTTCTCTTCTCTCTCGGTAGAGCTGCGGGTTCTACGCCCTTCCTGGCGTGGGGGGCTGAGAATATGGGCAGACTGTGGTCGCTGCGGCTTATCCATCAACTCGCTAATGGGACGACCACTCGGCCGCAAGCGTGGTTGTTCTGGTGAGGACGCTTCTTTTCGAGCCGCAGCCGCTACGCCTCCGGTATTCGTGAACAGGCCCTTCGCAGATTGCACGATGGACTGGAGTCTTGACTTTGACGCACTCAAGGGTCCATCCCATCGTTCCGGCGCAGGAGAGCCAACAGGTGTCGTCGACAACTGGGAGTCAATATGAGCCGACGCGCTCTTTTGATGACCAGGACGTTGTGGGGAGGAGTAAAGAGGCGTTGTCGACTTTCCGCGGCCCACGTCCGAAGTGCGCTTTGCGGTAGTTGTTGTTCCTGTCGCACTTCTCGTATTGTCTATAGCAGAAGAACGATCGTCCTCAGCAGCCCGCAGAATCCTAGCTCCCGACAACTTGGTGTCTTTGCTGTCAGTTCGTTGGTGTGCCTGTGTGTTCGACCGATAGGGCGAGTTCATTGGCTTGATCCAGTCGTCGTCAATCTGCATAGGCTCCGCAGTTGGCGCATCACGGGGCTTCTGGCTAGGAACCTCTGGTCTCGTCTCGGGCTTGGAGATGGGCAAGTCGGGATAAGTGACCTGCGCGGTTGATAAACGAGAGACTGCAGGGATGGACTTGGTTGGTCGCGATGGCTGCAGTTTACCCAGCATGCTGATCTTCTCATGCAGCCTTTGAGTCGAGGACTTGGTATGGACCTTGCTGGCTTTCGTATCAACATCCGATTCTCCGTCATCGGTTAAATCCTTATTGTCGTCGATATCCATCTTATCGTTATGTGTGGTGTCATCCTCCATGCCAGACTGTGTCGTTCTGTGTCCTCCAGTCTGCCTACCAAGATAGCTCCCGGTGTTGCTAAGTTTAGAGATCTCCAGATGGCTTGTGCGAGACAGTCTTGAACCTCCCAGACTCTTCTTGGTCAATGGCTCGCGTGCAGGAAGCGACGCGAACGAAAGACTACTCTTGCGAATGGGGGGGCGTGCCGGAGGTGAAACGTCCGAGGGAGAACCGATATCGTCAATATCGAGAGCCATTTCATCCTTAGCATCCTCCTTCCCTTCCTGGACAGGCTCGGCAGCAGGTGCGGCGGGAGTCTTGGCAGGTGAGCTCGGCTCCACGGCTTTGGCAGGCTCTTCCTCTGCCTCAGGTTCTGACACCGGCTGGTGGCTGAGCTCCGGTACTGTCTCTCGCTCGCTGTGTTTCTGTTGCTCCTGCTCGTCCTGTTGCACGGGCTTGACCTCAGGCTCTGGCGCTTGTTGCGACTCGATTTCCTGTTCGAGCTCAACGCCAGGCTCCTCAGGCTCTTGACGCGCCTCGGGCTCCTCAGGCTCCTCCGGCTCCTGCCGTTCCTGCCGTTCCTCGAGTTCCACACTTTCCTCACGCTGGATCTCACGCTGAACTTCGGGCCTAGCCTCGGGTTCGGCCTGAACTTCAGTCTCAGGCTCGGGCTCATCTTCAGGCTCTCTCACGGCTTCCGTCTCGGGCTTCTCCTCAAGCTCAGGTGCTGGCGTGACAGCGGACTCTTGTTCCTTTGGCTCTGTTTGAGGCTGCGAATGAGAGGGCGCGTTTCGGCTCGGTGTTGGTTCGACCTGCTCGGGTTCAACTGTTTCGCCTCGGTGGCGTACATTCTCTTGGGCGGAGTGGAAGGAGTTTGCTGTCATGCGGCGCTCTTCTGGTAGTTGGGTATGTTCTTCCGTAGCAATGGGCTCGGTCTCCATCGGTTGTGTCGATGTTTGGGATTCGGGCTGTACTTGTGTCAAGACAACATCGTCTTCCTCATCCTCCTCCATTTCTTCTCCCTCGGGCATGCCATGATAGCCGGAGTCGGTATTGTACTCCGGGAAAGAATTGAGGTTCTTGCTCAAGTCAGGATATGCGGGTTGAGCTGCTTCATTGGTAGTGGTAGTTTTAGGTTCTGTCACGGGGGTTGGTGCTGCAGGGGGCGCAACGGGTGCCTTGGCGGGCGAGCGTTGAACTGCCGGGCTTGCGGGGGGTTTGCTGTCATGCTTGCTTTCGAGTTTGTTCTCTGTTTTGCTATTGTGTGCAGAGGAGAAGATCTCACTCAAAGGCTGTAGACAGTAAGCAATGAGTCCGCCAATGCTTTCCAGGAGTAGAGAACGGGTCGACGTACCACACGAGGCTCGGTCGCATCGCGCTTTCGCGCAGTCCGCGGGGTCTTGCCGCGCAATTTCCCTGGGGTCTTGAACGCATCGGTGAAGTTACTGGGCGAGGGTCAGCATCGGAGAACGGGATCACGGGTATGCGGGCGCAACGGACAACTGGTTGGTAGAGAAGATCTCGGCCATATGCTCATTCAACCAATCCATCTCATGGCGCACAGGATATTCGACCTCTTCCATTTCCTGGTCCACAAGCTGCATACAGTTTTCCTTTTCGGATGAGATCCACGCTGCAGAGCCAACGGGCTTCTGCGCCCTCGCGCCGGTCGCAGCCATGGCGATGTAAACAAACGCGGATTGGGGATCGGAGTCGTCAAGAAGACATTAAAATTGATCGTAAAGGGTCGACGGCAAGCGGGCCCAGTCTAGATTTTAGTGACAGTCAAGAAATGAAGCATAGGACCGTGGTGTGTCGGCGGAGGATTGATGGTCGGCCGGTGGGCTTCAGGCCTGTCGTCCGGAGTTTGAAGCATCAAAACATCGGCCAACGCGTGAGTCCCGCTCCAGCACGTGACCTCTACATCACTGGTGCCTGGCGCTTAAGGCACCAAGATTTGAGCATAAACCGTCCATAGTTACTTAGCATAGCTTACCAACATATCATTCTGGTTTGTGCTGGCTATGGTACTATTACTAGCTACCTATCCAGAAACAAAGTGGTTCTTCTCCACTAAAATTTTGCTCTATCTCTTGTAGCAAGTCTTGTTGCTGCCTGGCTAAATTCCATGCACATAGCAAAGTGGGATTGCCACGCAACAGTTTCCCTTGATTGCCTCTCAAAGGACCAGCTGCTCCGTACATACATAGAACAACGACTAAGCACTGTGAAATATACTTTCGTGACATCATTCATGGCCAGATCTAGATTGAGTGCGGATGATGTGCTTTTCGATACAGTGCGCCTCCACCAAATGGTTGGCAGCTTATGATCGGATGCTGGCCCCTCCACAGCTCAGCACCAACCGCTGCGTCACTTGCACTAATATCCCAAGCGTGTGTAGGCTGCCGGGTTGTGCTGGATTCCGGTTTCGTGTCGGTCACCAATGGAAACATTTACAAAAGCGCTGGATGGTTCTCAATTAGAAGCAATTGTGAGCGGATGCTGACTGATTGAGGTGTGACCGGCGAGTGACATCATCCCAGCTCAGACCGAAGTAAACACAGCCGAACAATGCGTTTGTGGACTATAGAGGTGACTGGGGAGGAGCTTCGTAGTGGAGATAATGATAATGGTGGAAGTTAAACCGGTAAAGAACAGAGAGTGTCAGTCCTCTCTCAAGATTCAGACGGGTGAATTAGCTGGCAGATATTGAGGACAAGTCTGGATCTTCGACCTGCAGAGCATGCATCTCAATGCACGAACTCCTGTTCGCTGGATGGATTGATTGATGGATGCTGGATGAATGAGCTCTCGAAGGATCTTCTCCCAGCAGTGAGCAGTGAGTCCCCTTGCATAAGCGCACACACTGTCTTATTCAATCAGTCAATTCAAAAGTCATAAGCTGCTGGGTTATATCAAAGATATATTTAGTTTGGCCGTGCAAGTTAATCCGAAACACCGGTCGAGGCCATCACATGTTCGTTTGGTTCTGTTCGTATTGGGGAAGGGAAGGCAAACGAATTATTACTGTAGAGTCAAACCTAAGGCACACGACCAAATCAAATCCACCCGCCGGCTCGACCCCATTATTGCATCACCTTCTCTCGCTTTCACTCTCGCCCTCGTCCTTTTTCTTCATCTTCTCCCCCATCCCCGCTCGACTCAAGCTCTTCTTATTCTAATCTCTCTAATCCTCTTCTCTCTGTGTTCAGCTGCAGTCTCGTCTGCTCGCCCATTTCAACCGCCGCAGCTACCTTCAGCTCAGCTCAAACTTCTCTCAATTTTCCCCTGACAATCCACCCTTTTCCTTATCTTTCCAGCTTTCCGAACCCACACAACTTTCGTCATGGCTGCTGACGTGAGTTATCCCAACGTGAACGGCCATGGTAAGGTACGTATCCGAGTCTTCTGGTCAGTCGCATGGAGGGAAGAGCGTTCTCAAGCTAATGTTTCGCCTGATCTTCAGTCCCACACATTTCGCATCTCACCGAGAGTTCGAAATCGAGTTACACAAGCTAACCACTGATCCCTCCGTCTAGGTACTATTACCAATGGTAAGCGCCAATTCTTATTTCCGGCCTCTTCCCTGGGGGAAGAAGAATTTGCTGCCATACCTCAATTGCAATCAAGCTGACAGTCAGTCTCATAGGACCTCTGGCCGACAACATCAAATCCGAGGCGACCCGCACCAGTCAAGAGCTGCGCGAGCTGCGCAACGCAGCAGTGACTCCCTCCACCACCGCCGCGACCGGCCAGCCCCTAACATGTATGTACACTCACACTTATGCCACGCCGCTCGTCGCTAATTCCACAAAGACTACCACTCCCTGCTGTACAGCCTTTTGAGCGTGAGTGACTGCGAATCCATCCCACACAGACCAGCCCTAACAGATATTCCATACCAGTGGGAACAACCCCGAGCCACCGCCGTCTCCTTCATCAGCGTTGTAGCTTTCATCTTTGCCGCCCGATACCTTCCGCTCCTCCGATGGTTCTTCAAATTTATCTATGTGGTTCTGGGCTGTGAGTGGCACCTGCACAACAAATATTTCGACGGAGGACTAATACATTCAATAGTCACCGCTCTCGCCGAGCTGGGTGGTCAACTCGCCCTGAAGCAGAGCGTCGTCGCATCTTTCCGCCCTCGCAAATACTACACCGTTCCCAAGGAGACGGTCGAAGCCGTGTTGGAGGATCTTGAGCAGCTCGTCGATTTCGTCCTGATCGAGTTCCAGCGCGTTCTGTTCGCCGAGAACCTTGTTCACACCATTGCTGTATGTCAATGCTACACCTGTGACACATGGCGCATCGCTAACCGGCCACCAGGCTTTCCTCGCCGCTTTCTCCGCCTACTGGTTGATCAAGTTCCTTCCCTTCTGGGGTCTCTCCCTCATCACCGTCACCATTGCTTACTTGGGTCCTTTGGTCTACATCAACAACCGCGAGGTCATCGATGCCCAGATCGAGCACCTCCAGGAGATGGTCAACAGCCAGGCCCACCAGCTGAAGGACATCGCCGAGGAGCGCACCGCTCACGCGACAGGCATCGTCAAGCAGTACGTCGAGGACTACAGCGCCAAGGCCCAGGGATTCGTGCACCGCCGCTCTGCTTCGCGCTCCGTGACCCCCGAGGTGGCCAAGGTTGCCAGCAGCCCCGTCATCAAGAAGGAACCCGAGGCCGAGCCCGAGATCAAGATCCCCGACTTCCCTGAAGCCCCGAAGGCTGAGCCCGTGGCCCCCGCCGCTCCCGTCGCGCCCTTGGTGGAGTCAATTGAGCAGCCTGCCGTTGAGGCTGAGGAGAAGGAGCCTCTTCTGGCTTAGAGAGTGTCTTGATTCGGGGTGTGCACAGGTGGTTGGCTGCCTCCGAGGGTTGTGGTAGTTCTGACTAAGGGTATTGAGGAGTCGACTGTGATGGCATGCACAGCCGACTGAGGCTGGGTAGTATGTATGCGGTGGTGTGGTGTGTGTGTACGATGGCAAAACGAGACCCCATTGGCCGTGGTGGCTAACGGGACGTTTTTCCCTTGTACTTTTCTTTCTACTTTTTTTTCGTTTCATTTTTCTCTTGCTCGCAGGCCGACTGTGAAGTATATCTTCTGTTTGGGTTCATACTTATATTTTATGCGTCGTATGGCAATTTCTTATCTTCTGGGAAAATCAGACTGGTGTAGGACAGCAGTCATCCTCGTGAGTGCAGTAGTCTTTATGAACGATGCCTATGTAGACAACGGAGACAACCGGACCACGACCCAAGTAAGATCAGCAATCCAAGCACCGAGAATCCCCACACAAAAACAGAAAACACGGGACCCCCATCGCGGAGAATCCATCCCCCGAGCTGCGGGTGCAGGTGACAGCGCCTTCCGTTGATGGAGGACGGTGTAACCCCAGCGTATCCTTGTCCGAAAGCCGATGGGCGAGCACGTACTCGATCGAAAGAGAATACGCACGCACAGCTTAAGCAGCGGGGAGGGATACTCGGGGATCATGGGTGCTATAACCACCGCGCTAGAAGGATGCCTCCGCGAGCGGCAAAATAGTTCGCCTACACCAGAAGGTAGAAGAAATGAAAAAAAGGATTGCATCATCCGTGAATCGAACACGGGCCTCATCGATGGCAACGATGAATTCTACCACTAGACCAATGATGCTGGTTGATGTAAGTCTCCTCCAAGTTTTCTTATATACACCCGCTTATAACGCAAGATTTGTTCGTCGATTGCGCGTCACTTTCTGTTTGTTATTGGATAGCGTTGGGGAAGTGGGAGCTTGAGGGTTTCTGGTTCTTGATGTATATTCTTCCGCGAAGTGTAGTTTTTGATATGCGCTGGGGTGGTTTCGGGGTTTGTGTTTCGGATCATCGTTGAATGGTGAGGTGGATATATAAAGTATCTACTCCGTACCTTCTTGGGGGTTGAGCGATGTTTGAGCTGTGTTGATGGAAAGTCCAGGCTGACATTGGTTGGTATCCATCCCAATACGACGACTCCTGGTGATTATAGATGGTGGTTGATGTATTCCCAACTCACACCATCAGCACCGACACAGCATGCACGAATTCCCCAAATCTACAGGCTAAAGCGCATACGAGCATGGCTCTACTTGCAGAAGATGCGATACATATCTATCTACTCATATAATGCTGTAAGTCTATATTGTACATACAGAATGAATTCCAACCGTGTAGATACGTCCACAATCACCACAGAAACCACTCAGAGGAAAAGGGGGTGACTCCCCCTTACTCAGCCTCCGGCTCGACATCACTGACACCATCAAAGCCCTCATCCATGGCGTCGGGGTTCAAGTTGGCCGCATCCGGTGCAGCGCCGTCGCGGTGCTTGTCCTTATCGTGGGAGACGGTGCGCCAGCCTTGCGGGGCGGATGAGTCTTTCAGGTATTCGGACATGGGGAACTAGAGGAATGTGTTAGACGGGGGATGGTCATTGCTGGCTTCAGGGAGGGGAAGAAAAGAGGGGGGGGGGGCTGTTGCAACATACATAGTGATCGTTCTTCTTCATGGTCACCACCCAGGGGACGTTGTCGAAGGTCACCGCCCGGAGACGGAAGTATGTGTTGTCGGGGATCTTGCGGACCTCTTCGACGAAGCGGTCGAGGTTCGGGGTCGGAGTGCCGTTGACGGCGGTGATGAAGTTCGTGGGCGAGAGGCCGTATTGGTAGGAGGGGGAACCGCGGCTCTGTTGTCAAGGTGTATTGTTAGTGATGGGATGGAAATTGATAGTGAAAGAAGGAATAACGTACCCTAGCACTGACGTAGACCTCGCTGTGGAGCTTGGAGATCTGCTGACGAACGGCGTGATGGGGCTTCTGGAGGACAGCACCGCAGAAGACCACGGCGCGGTCGGTTTCCAAGTCCTCCGTCGGCACCGTGGGGACTTGGATGCGCATCTCCTGGCCGTTTCGCACGATGAGCGCCTCCAGGGATTCCTTCTCGTACATGATGTCCAGCTCCGAGACACGGGTGATCAGCTGCCCGTCCAGGGTGAGGATGATGTCGCCTTCCTCAAAGCTGTCTACGGCCTCGGAGGCGAAGCCTGGAGGCGGACAGTCGACCTTGCGGACCATGAACAGTTGATGCCGGGCGGGGTTCGCCTGAGTCACTTTCTCGATCCACTCCTCGGACACGCCCATGATGCGGGCCTGGCTCATCTGCACCACGTAGCTCTCCATATTCAGGATCCGCAGCGTGGGCATCTCGCCTTGCTGCACCTTGGACAGGACAGGCAGAAGAGACGGCGTCGCGAAGCCCAGATGGTACTCGACGTCCTTGTGCGAGTTCCCCGTCCGTTCGCCGAGGTAGTTCAGCCAGAGGGCGTGCACCGTGCCATCCTCGCCGACCAGTACACCATTGGAGCACTGTCCGCTAAGGCCAGTGTCTACCGTGATGGCGTCCAGGTTGATCGCACGGTAGCGCGGGGCCGAGGCATTGGCCGGAATTGACACGGTGGTAATATCGGTGACGGCGGTCTTGGCCACCACGATGCGGAAGTTCTGGTTGAATCCGACGAAGATAGTGTCCTGACCCTGCTTGATGTACTCAGTGCTGAGCTTGGCGCTCTGCACCGGAGCCTGGACCAAGCTGGGGTCGTACTGAATGATGCTGTAATTCTGGAGAGGATGCAAGAACACCACCTTGGCGGTGACAATGATCGAGTCGGCCACGGTGACGTTGATGTCGCAGAGGTCGTACGGAACAATGGCACGCGAAACCACGACCAGTCCCTTCTCGGCGTCAACGACCAGACCGAATCCCGTCTTCTTGGCTTGAGGATAGCCGTCCAGCTTAAGAGGCATCGTGCACGACACGCGCACGAAGCTGCGCACAATGGCGGCGGCAGCAGGTTGACTCACCCCATCAAGCTGGATGAAATCGGCTTTCCTCGGCACAGGAGGCAGGGCGGGGACGGGGTCCGCGAGATCAGAGAAATCCCAGAGTCCAGTGGTATCATTGCGCACCGCCAACCGCATCTTCGGGTGCCAGTGTCGATCGATATAGACAATGCTGGTACCGCGCGTGTGGAGATCACGGATGTGGCGATACGAGATGACCACCCGCGAGCGATCAGGAATCGTCTTCATCACCTCCACAAACTCATCCAGTGTCCGCGTTGGCCGCTTATCCACGGAGTCAATCAACCATCCCGACAAGGTGTTCTCCAGCTTGAAAGACCCGGCGGCCTCGCAGACATAGACGCCGCGGGTAGCGATGGCATACAGACGTGCCTGTTGGTAGGACAAATTATGGAACGTGCCTCCCGCCACTGTCACGAAGCGGTCGGGCGTGATGGCATGCAGGTCGCCAACCTGGCACTCCACCTCCACATCTTGACCGCCTCTTTGTACCAGCAGACGCACCGTCTGCCCAACGCTCGAGTCTAGGATATCGTCCAGCCGAATGAACTGAGTGAGCAGCTCCCCGTTGACCTTCAGAAGCACGTCTCCCTCTTCCAGCTTTCCATCCGCCGGGCCCTCCGGCAGGATGATCTCTGCCACCAGCATGCTGGTCTCCGTGGGAGCTGCCTTCCGCACGGTGGCCTCCCACTCAGGTGTCAGGCCTAAGCGACGACACTCGTCGAATGGCTTGAGAATCCATTGTGTCTGAATGGTTCCTCGCGTGACCGGCTGACCGTGACGGATGCATTCCAGCGCACGCAGCGGCCGGTCCAGCGGGAGGAAGTAATCCGTAGCTGCGCCATCTGCGCGACCGCCAGCCTGCAAAGCAATTGCATGGCCATCGATGTTCACGACAGGACTGCCGGAACTGCCACCACTCGCTGCCGCAGCGGCCTGAATGTAATTGGTATTGAAATCGCTGTATCCCTCGCCGTATTCCGGAGCATTTCGATCCAATCGACTGATGACACCAGACAGAATACTAAGCTTTTCTCCTGCATCATTACCCACGACACGAATCTCCGATCCGACCTTGGCCGCATCCGGTTGTAGTTTCAATTCCTTCAAGTTCATATATCGAATCGCTTTCGGGTCGAACTGTAAGATTCCGAAATCGTGAACAGGATCTCGGTAAATCGGGCGAACATCACACTGATCTGGTTAGGGCTGCATAGAAAATTGGAGATAAAGCGCCTGCGCTTGGGTTGATAGGGCTACGCCAACTCACTTCTTCATGGTTGTCGAAAATACAGTAACCCCAGAAAGGTCCGGGACACACCACGTGTCGATTCGTCAAGATATAACCCCGCTCCGCGTCGACCACGAAACCAGTCGCCTGACTGCTCATCGACAGTTCCGTGTCAAAGGAGCACGTCTGACAGAAGTGGATCGACACAACGCTTTTCACGACCTCCTCAATGGTGGCCTGCCACTCAGGCGAGTCGGCCTGTGCAGCTCCCAGGGGCAACACCCGACCAGCATCCTCTTCCTCCTCCACATCGTAGACGGTTCCATTCGCGGGGGTGGAGTCGCCAGGCGTTAATGTGCTGGTTTCGGGACGGAGATGCTTTGCGGGCCGCTCGGCGGGCGCGGCGATCGAGCTGCGCTTGCGCTTGGCGCCTGCGTCACCATTCATATCCATCTGTAACGTATGACTCTGACGACCACGGGGTCTGAGAGATAAAGCCGCGAGCGAAGTGATGGAGCGAGGGGAAATAGCGCTGGAATTGTTGATGTTCCTCGGGGCTATATCACTTGACCACAGACCGGAGCTGTGACGGGGAAATCGCCGCGATTTTAGGCAGCGATGAGGATAAGGTAGTATGTGGCGCGAGGAGGAAGGGGTTCGAGGCGATATAAAGGTAGGCAAATGGCTATAAATTGAAGGTGAGGTGAGGTGGTGCCAC